CTCTCAGGTCACCTCTTTCCAAGGAATATGATTAATAATTAAATTAAAGGGATTTTGAATTTATTTTTTTAAAGCAGTCCGTAACAAAAAAGGCAGCAAGAAAAAGAAAAAGAGAGAAGATTTTAATGGAAATTACTGAAATCATGATACAGTTTAGAAAAGTCTGACTGCTAAGATGTTTCCTCAACCTTGAAAGTGCTTGTTGACTAAAGTGTGTAGATAACGCTCCCCTTAAACTATGGTCATTCAATAATAACCCAGACAGATTATTTTTAACCAAAACCAAACAGTTTTGGTTTCTGAATAGAAGGACAACTTGTCCTGCCTGATCAGTGCAAACAAATGATCATCAAGCCTGCTGTAGACAGGTGTGCATGTCAGATGGTACGCCATTGAGAAACCAGTGCCTCTGTCATTGTTCTACTGTCAATACTACCGAGATGGATAGATAATTTGGGCTGCAATGTATTACTCTTTCTGTTGGAGTATAGTTTAGGCTCCTAAAGTAGACTAATGAATTGTAAGGGAATTTTACTTAACCTTTTTTTTTTTTTTTTGACAGGACATTGCCGTTTGATATCCAATCACAGCTCGTACATTTACTGATCACTATTTAACTAATTTGGAAGGGATTTTGCTTTGGTTGGAATTATGGCTATAGAATAGATCCTGTTGATGATCAGCTGATTGTGTTTTTATTAATAGATCCAACAGGCTTACAAGTGTAATCCAGCAGGCTGGCGTATTTGTAACACTGCCAACACCTTCGACTCTCAATCTGCTCTGCCACAACGGCATCCAAATTCTCCTCCTTTTTACTACGTTTTTGTCTCTTTCATTATTGCCTTTGGAAGGCTGAACTTCTTCAGCTACCATGGAAGTACATCCTTTGCTGTGCCTCTTTGGCACAGGCAGATAAGGGAGGGCAGGGCTGATTTCTTTCTAAAGCCCATAACCATCTCCACTGTTTTAAAAGAGTTGTGCGGGGAGAAGTGCAGAGGGGAACGAACACAGCCTTGAGGCAAACTTGAGGTAGACAGACAGCCTGTCAATATTTTGGCAGATTTTAGTTTTTTCTTGTGCGATAGATACATTTAGCAACTTCTACTTGAGATCAGTTGAAGCAAAAGCTTTGCTAATGTTTTTGTTTGGTGTTTTAAGAAATATATATTTTTTTTATTATTAAGACTTGTGTAACATTCAGGGGTGGATTTAGGGAACTTGGAGCCCTAGGCAAAGACAGGTTTGGGCCATCTTAATTGAGAAGACAACACATAAAACAGACCCATTATACAGATAAAGATTTTTTTATACTATAGACCATTAAAAATCATAACTTATAAACTTGTAACTTAGAAATCAGCAGGGTCCAAATAAAGAAAATCAGCAACCAGTAAAGGTCCGGAGACTTTTTTTTTTTTATCTGTTACTTTAAACATAATTTAACACTGAAATAAAATGAGGTGTATATGCATCTATGTTATACATTGACTTAAAAAAAAAACTATGTATTTTTTTTTTAAGTAGAGAATAACAATTGTTCAATTTTGTATATAGACAATTTTCTTTTAATAAAACACCTGACTGACCTTTTATTTTTTTTTCTGTCTTAATGTTGGCAGTGGGCTTTAGGCTGCCCTGCAAGGCTTTAAACCTGGGTTTGAATGGAGACTAAGCCATTTTCAAGCACATATCAAGGTGCTCATTTTGAGCCTGGATCAATATTTATTTTTGATTCTGTTCATGGTGGAGAATCCTGCTTCACAGCAGCAGGTTGAGCCAAACATCCTCTAAATGTGCAGGGTCATCTTTAAGCACGCCATTTCACTTTTCTTGCTTTTCTTACCTGCTCACGCTGTGCTTCTAAATACAATGTCAGACTCAGCTCTGCAGTGAGATGACGCTAATCGGACTCGTCTATCCGGAAGCCAAACCAGTAGAAGAGGAATATGAAGCTCACTAGAGTGAAACACGCTGCCTTGGCAATTTTTGCAATTTTGTGCTGAAAGCCCTAAAAAGTATTTGGACAAAGATGGCTGAGCAAACGTGGCTACTACGGTCTGTCAATTTTACAGAAAGAACTCCATTTCACTCATAACACCCCCACCATGCTTCTGTGTTTTCATATGAGAGGAAGAAGAAGAATCCGTGTTTGCACACTGAGCGATTTGCCCACGACCACCTTACGACAGCCGACTAAATTTCAAACATGTTTGATTTTCTAACAACCTTATGATTCCAGATCAGGAGGTGGTCTTGAGAGGCTGATCGCCCCTGGTTACCACGTGTACACTGCCCGTTCGAAAAATTCTCGCACGACTGGAGAATCGGCCTGAAAGGGACAAAAAAATCATAGAGTATATGTCAGGCTTTAGGTCTTTTTGGTGTTTTAGATTTTTCTCGACATTAGATCAGTAGTCTCACTTGAGGGATGAGGCAACTCCTTGGAACAGGGTTTCTGTCACATTATCCTAGTCTACTTCTGTCAGCTAAAGACGTATTGTTACACAGTGTACTGCTACATTTTAGTGTTTTTTTTTAATTTTGCCTAATGGAGGGCTATTCCGGTTAAAATCCAATGCTTCATTTACAAAAAAATTGTTCAGCATAGTTTACAAATCAAGTAAACAGTCCACTTCCTCTGGCATCACTGTCTTCGTTTTGTCTCAGTAGGATAATGCCACACTAAACCCGTTGACCGCTGAATCTGTAACATGATGTGTTTGTAGCTACTATACGATGTGGCAACATTTTGTACCAAATTCACTATGGTCACTTCAGCTGTACAAAGTATTTGCTTTAAAATAAAACTTTTCTTTTCTGCCAATAATCTATACGGCTGTCTTATAATGCTGTCTACATTTAGCAAATATATTTTTGATAATTTATTTTGCAATTATTGCAGTCATGTTTTTGTGTCTACATGTAAAAATTTCTGTTGGGTGCCCTCATCAGGTTACAACATGTTACTGCATCTGATTTTGTAGTGTTGGCTTGCCTGTTATTGTGACCAAAAGGAACTGTCAGCAGCTCTTATCATAGTGTATAAAGAGTGTCTACATTAAAAAAAAAAAAAAAGAGAAGAAAGCGGCTCCACCTCTACATGCTTCCGTAGTCTAAATGTTTGTGACGCAGTCACTGCCAGTGTAATAGTTGCTGTCAGTCTATCTGTCAGTCTTAGCTAAGACCACGGCAAGGTCTAAGACCACGCCCAGGTCTAAGACCATGCCCAGTTCTAAGACCACGCCCAGGTGTAGGACCACGGCAAGGTCTAAGACCACGGCAAGGTCTAAGACCATGCCCAGGTCTAAGACCATGGCAAGGTCTAAGACCACGGCAAGGTCTAAGACCATGGCAAGGTCTAAGACCTCACCCAGGTCTAAGACCACGCCCAGGTCTAAGACCATGCCCAGTTCTAAGACCACGCCAAGGTCTAAGACCACGCCATGGTCTAAGACCACGGCAAGGTCTAAGACCATGCCCAGGTCTAAGACCATGCCAAGGTCTAAGACCATGGCAAGGTCTAAGACCATGGCCAGGTCTAAGACCACGGCAAGGTCTAAGACCATGCCAAGGTCTAAGACCACGCCCAGGTTTAGGACCACGGCAAGGTCTAAGACCACGCCCAGGTCTAAGACCATGCCAAGGTCTAAGACCATGGCAAGGTCTAAGACCATGGCAAGGTCTAAGACCATGGCCAGGTCTAAGACCTGGCCATGGTCTTAGACCTTGGCATGGTCTTAGACCTGGGCATGGTCTTAGACCTTGCCGTGGTCCTAAACCTGGGCGTGGTCTTAGACCTTGGCATGGTCTTAGACCTTGCCGTGGTCCTAAACCTGGGCGTGGTCTTAGACCTTGGCATGGTCTTAGACCTTGCCGTGGTCTTAGACCTGGCCATGGTCTTAGACCTTGCCATGGTCTTAGACCTTGGCATGGTCTTAGACCTGGGCATGGTCTTAGACCTTGCCGTGGTCTTAGACCATGGCAAGGTCTAAGACCACGCCCAGGCACCACCCTCTTAACATGCATCCGAGTCGAGTTGTTTAAACAGGCAACAAAATGTCAAATGAAATACAGAAACAGTACTGACACACCTGTTGCCACTAAACTATGTGTTGTTGTATTTGATCTGTTTATAAAAATTGAGGTACAATAGTAAACTGAATAATTTAGCTCTTTTTACACACTGTGTCCCACAAGGCCAATCTGTAAAACTGCTTTTCCTCAAAATGAAAGCTTATTGAATTAATTTGTCTGTGACCTTCATAGCTTAATTTGATTAGGATTAGCTCACAGCCCACTCTGTCATATGGCTATGTGTAAATCTGAATAAATCTATCATAGTAGCTGCGCTTCGTTGGATCCTGTTTGGCTCTGACTCCATCCTGGAGAGAAATATCAGCTGTGCTGCTGCCATCAACACCTTTGTTTATAGATGTTCGAGATCGACCTGTTTCTTCAGTGTAGTCCTGTTTCTCTGACTGTGATTGGCTAAATGTGCTCTCTTCATCCTCTGACTTGGGAGTTAGCTCAGAGCTTGCCTGCCTGACTGTGTTTCCTGAACAGGGCCGCCCTTTTTGTATCTCTGCTTCTGTCTCCTTGAACCCCAGTCGGCCTCAGCAAATGGCCGCTCACACTGAGCCTGGTTCGGCTGGAGGTTTCTTCCTGGTAAAAAGGAGTTTTTCCTCTCCACTGTCGCTACAAGCATGCTTAGTGTGAGGGGTTGCCTTCGATTCAGTTAGTCGATGCAATCAACTGGTTTTCCTTAGAAAACTTTAAATCAATTTGACTGTATGATCTGGTGAACTGTAAGGTGCCTTGAGATGACGTGTGTTGTAAACCGGCGCTATAGAAATAAACTGAATTTAATCTAATTGAATCTATGTGACTCCAGCAAGAATAACAATGATTATGATGTTAACAGTTGTCTGTCCATGATGTTGGAAGTTCCTCTGTGTCTATCTCTTCTTAATCCATTTTTCTCTTTTTTTCTGTTTCAGGATGGCAGTATGATGGGATAGATTTGAATATGGGTCAATGGGCAGGCATGCAAGTTCCTCTCCTCAGCCTGAGTCTGCAGCTCCTATTATTGATATTCAAGCCAACAGCCAGCCATACCCATGAAACTCCTCAGGATGCAATCAACTTCAGCTTCCCCCATTCTGTCTATCATGCAACAGTTTATGAAAACTCAGCAGCACGCACCTATGCCAACAGTAAAATTAAAATGGGCATTCATCTTTTCAAAAGGTCCTGGGAAATTCGATACAGAATTACCTCTGGGGATGAAGAAGGGCTTTTCAAAGCAGAAGATTACGTTCTGGGAGACTTCTGTTTCTTGCGAATACGGACCAAAGGGGGCAATGCAGCCGTCTTAAACCGGGAGATTCAAGATAACTATGTATTGACGGTAAAAGCCTATGTTAAGGGAGAGGCTCTTCTTGAGACCTGGACTAAAGTCAGTATCCAAGTTCTGGATATGAATGATCTCCGCCCCCTGTTTTCCCCCACCACATACTCTGTGACCATAGCAGAGAGCACTCCTCTCAGGACTAGCATAGCGCAAGTTACTGCCACAGATGCAGATATCGGCTCCAATGGAGAGTTTTACTTTTTTTTCAAGGACAAAATGGATTTGTTTGCAGTACACCCAACCAGTGGAGTGGTTTATCTTAGTGGAAAGCTCAATGTTGATGAACAGGACCGGTATGACTTAGAAATTATGGCAGTTGACCGTGGCATGAAGTTGTACGGAAACAATGGGGTTAGCAGCACAGCCAAGCTTTTTGTCCATGTAGAGCGGATTAATGAGCATGCTCCAGTTATGACTATAGTCACCCACAGCACCTCTAGGTGGGACAATAATAGTCTGTTTGCCATAACTATAGTTGAAGACCTGGATGAGGGCTTAAATGGGGAAATTGATTCAGTCAGCATTATTGATGGGGACCCTTCAGGACAGTTTTATATAGAAAAGCAGGAGGAAAAGGAATTTGCCATTAAATCTACCAAGAGAATGAAGTGGGAAGCTTTTCCTGATGGTTGTAACTTAACTCTGCAGGCTAAGGATAAGGGGTTTCCTCCCCAGTTGTCCCCTCCACAGGTTCTCCATATAACGTTTCCAAAACAGCAGACAACAGAGGTTAAATTTGAGCAAGACTTCTATGTTGTTAGTCTTAGTGAAATTTCCCCACCTGGCACGATTGTGGGTTTTTTTAAGATCCGGCCAGAACCTGATGATGCAGAGTATATCCTAACACCTTCTGCAGACTCAGGCTTTTTTAAAATCAATACCTTAACAGGTGTAATCTCCACCTCTCGCTGGTTGACTCATGCATCCAAGGATATCTTCAATCTTGAGGTATTGGAAGTGGACAGCAATCTCAGAGCTAAAGTGCAGATAACCACTCAAGATGCCAATGATAACACACCTAAATTTTCCCAGCCTTTTTATGAGGTTTCTGTAAATGAAAGTGTACCAGTTGGGACCAAGATATTAACAGTCTCTGCAGCTGATGAAGACAAAGGGGAAAATGGATATATCACCTACAGCATTCACTCTGTGGAGCAGCTACCCTTCAAAATTAACCAATTTTCTGGTGTTATAAGCACTAATACAGATCTAGATTTTGAAGCTTGGCCAGAGGTGTTTGTGTTTGTTGTGAGAGCCTCTGACTGGGGATCGCCTTACAGACGAGAGAGTGAAGTCAGCGTAACAATCCACCTACAAAATGTAAATGATAATAAGCCATTGTTTGAAAAAGTAGCATGCAAGGGGGTGATTTCAGTGGACTTCCCAGTAGATGAAGTGATAACCACAATGTCTGCCATTGATATAGATGAGTTAGAGTTAGTCAAATATAAGATCATTTCAGGAAATGAGCTGGGGCTTTTTGACCTCAACCCTGATTCAGGAGTTCTTTCATTGCGTAAATCCCCTTCTACGTTAAATCCTAACTTAAGTATTTTAAGTTTAAAGATAACTGCCACGGATGGTGAAAACTTTTCCGATCCTATGTTTGTCAATATATCACTTGTACACGGAAAATCTCTTTATAAACATTTTACATGTAAAGAAACTAATGTGGCACAAAGATTAGCTGAAAAGTTACTTAAAAAGTCCAAAGCTAGTACCAAGCCTAAAATTGAGGAAGGCTTTATTGACCTGTTCTCTGTCAATCGGCAAACACCTCAGTTTGATAAAGCTTTCCCCACAGATATCGCTGTCCAGGAGGACTTAACGGTTGGCTCAAGTGTTTTTAAGGTTAATGCATATGATAGTGATACAGGTTTTAACGGTCAGATTCTGTACTCTATTTCAGATAGAAACATTGATAATTGCTTTAACATTGACCTGCACACTGGTCTGATCACTGTTTTGCTGCCTATGGACAGAGAAAAGAGAGATCACTATATCCTCAACGTCACGATTTATGACCTCGGCCTCCCACAGAAAGCGGCTTGGCATTTGCTTACTGTCCACATAGTGGATGCAAATGATAACGCACCTCAGTTTTTGCAAGAAGGTTATAGAATAGTCATACCTGAAAACACTGCTATTGGCACAATAATAATCCAGGTTGAGGCCACTGACAAAGACCTTGGAGCCAACGGGAAGATTGTTTACTCTCTCTTGACGAGCACGACACAGTTTGACATTAACTCCACCAACGGGATCGTTTATACCACTGGCCAACTAGACAGAGAGTTAGTTCCTACCTATGACTTGAAGATTAAAGCTCGAGACAGTGCAGAAAAAGGAAAACGCAAGTCTTCAGTCACCATTTTGAAAGTTATTTTGGAGGATGTGAACGACTGTCCACCACTATTTATCCCTGGTGTTTTTAAAGCCAGGGCGCTGGAGGATCTTCCTTTAGGAACAGTTGTGGCCTGGATCGAAACTCAGGACCCAGATCTCGGGTTGGGGGGACAAGTTCGGTACTCTCTGGTTAACGACCACAATGGGTGGTTTGAGTTAGACCGGAACAGCGGAGCCATACGACTGACTAAAGAACTGGACTATGAAACTCAGCAGTTCTACAATCTCACAGTAAAAGCCAAAGACAAAGGAAAACCTGTGTCTCTTCTGTCTGTCACCTTTGTGGAGTTGGAAGTCATCGATGTTAATGAAAACCTCTATTCTCCATACTTTTTACACTTCGCCTTAACTGGAACAGTTGAAGAGAATGCTCCTATTGGAACTACTCTACTTCAAGTTGGTGCTGAAGATGACGATGCCGGTAGAGATGGAGAGATCCACTACTCCATTCGTGATGGGAGCGGGCTTGGACGATTTGCCATAGATGAGGAGACAGGTTAGTTCTCTTTCAAAAAAGAAACATTTATCCATCCATACATCCTCCATCCATCCATCTTACATCCATCCATCCTGCATCCATCCATTCATCCTTCATCCATCCATCAATTCCTGCATCCATACACCCATCCATCCTTCATCCATCCATCCATCCTCGATTCCATCCTCCATCCATTCATCCATCGATCCATACACCATCCTCCATACACCCATCCACCATACACCCATCCATCATCCATCCATCCATCCATTCATCCATCCATCCATCCATTCCTCCATCCATACATCCATCCTCCACACACCCATTCATCCTCCATCCATCCTCCATCCATTCATCCATCCATCCATTGATACATCCATCCACCATACACCCATCCATCATCCATCCATCCATCCATCCATTCCTCCATCCATACATCTATCCTCCACACAGCCATCTATCCTCCATTCATCCATCCATCCATTGATACATCCATCCACCATACACCCATCCATCATCCATCCATCCTCCATCCATCCATCCATCGATACATTCATTCACCATACACCTATCCATCATCCATCCATCCATCCATTCCTCCACCCATCCTCCATACATTCATCCATCCATCCATCCATCGATACATCCATCCTCCACACACCCATCCATCCTCCATCCATCCTCCATCCATCATCCATTCATCATTTATCCATCCATCCATCCATCCATTCATCCTTCATCCATCCATCCATCCATCCATCCATCCATCCATCCATCCATCCATCCATCCATCCATCCATCCATCCATCCATCCATCCATCCATCCATCCAGCAGAGCCATGTTTTACTTAGGTAAAGGATCGGCTAATCGGCTTTGGAGTGTTTCTGTCCAATGAGAAGCATATCTGCTGCCATGTCGTCTGACTGGTTAATGGTCAGCATTGACTGAAACCTTTTGCCTGCTCCAGCTTCTAGGACCTGCCTGTGGGCAATGGATGCTTAATTGGCAAACCTTTTTTGCTGCCAGCTTAACAACTCTGGGGCTATTTAGAATAACAGAAAGTGTAGCTTACTTACTCTTTAAGACATATTTTCCTGCTTGGTCTGAGAGAGCATTAGGTTACAAAATGAAATAATGCTATGAAAATAGCATAGAAAAATTATTTTGTGTTTCATGTAGGAGACTTAGTACTAACCTTTTTTTGTTATCGAAAAGATTATATTAGCTCACTTGTTTTGTGACCTTTGTTTTTAAGTTAATAAACATGATTTGATTAGTAATATCCCTGAGGGAGAAGGGGGATATTATAAATAAACAAATTAAATGCACGCATTGTTTTGTCTTCTTCTCTTTCAGGTGTGATCTACACCACTGACACATTGGATCGGGAGACTAAGGACTCTTATTGGCTGACAGTTTATGCCAGTGACCGGGGTGTTGTTCCCCAGTTCAGCACTATTGAGGTGTTCATTGAGGTGGAAGATGTTAATGACAATGCCCCACTGACCTCAGAGTCATTGTTTCGATGCTCAGTACCGGAAAATTCTCCCCGAGATGTTTTTGTAATTCAGATTCATGCTCAGGATCCTGATGTCTCACCTCCTTCCTCTGCTGACCAGCTAAGCTTTCGCATTGTTAGTGGAAACCCACAAAACTTTTTTACCATCAACTTTCACACGGGTGAGTCATTTTCTTTCTATTTCTGATCAGTCATGAAACATAAATACCTTATCTGTAATATTGACCAGTGAATTGAATAGAGCTCTAAACTTTGGCAAATTAAATTGCCATCATCATTGCAGCAAAAGAAAACTCACTTACTGTATATCATAACATATAAACAGTAGGGTTGTTGGTAGTAGACATTGCCTTACAGCAACTCCAGCCTGAGGTATTTTTTTCCTGCATGGATAAAACGTTCTTAGTTCATATGTGGGTTCTCTAAAAAGATTCATGTCATGTTAATTGGTACCTAAATTACCATTGAATCTGATTTTGGTTGATTTTTGTGCACGTCTCTTTGTTGCTCTGTGATAAGCCAACCCCCCCACCACCATGACAAACTGCATAGAAAACTGAGTTAGACGAGGGATCATTTTATTATTGTTTCATTTTTATGTAGGCATAGCTTAAAAAACAGTTACCGCTAAGAGTATTTCAGAAGTTTTCTCATAATTCGATGTATTTCAGGTTTGATGCAAACATTGTATTTCAAGGTAAAGGCTTAAAGAACTTTTCTGATTTATTCTTGTCTGTGCTCTTTATTTGCTGTATTTATTATGGTGATAATCAATAATTAGGCCTGCCTAATCATCTAATTTTTTATTCCAAAATGGTCCGTCTTGAGGCAGAAACTTCATTTCTGAAAGGAAATTGTGAAAAAACTCAGCTAATCGTAAGCAAGCTGTTGTTGCTGTATTGTTATTTAAAGACTCTATTATGTGGGACAGTGCAGGGGAGCTCTGCCTCAGTGCTACAACCCCAGCTCCATTTATGAGGATCAGCACAACCAAATATAGCCCCATACTGCTTATCATCATGGGATTTTAGGGAAGGATCCTGCCGCACGACCAGCACTGCTTCCCGATGCTTTGAACTCCTTCTGCAAAGGTTTACTACAAACTGCTGCAGTGACGGAAAGATGCAGGCCACTTATTGTAACTTGCCACTTGGGATGGGCTCAAACTTTTAACACATAATAAACATCAAAAACAGAAGGAAATATGTAACCTATGAAAAGCTGACATCTCATGGCAGTGTGCCATACTTTGAGAGCTGCATAAAACCCCAAAATGAGATTGAGATGGCTTCAATAATGGGACTCTTGCTAAAAGACAGGTCAGTAGTAGGATTGACAAAGTCAGTAAAGGTTTTTACTCATTAGAGGCTCAGGTGAATGTTAACTTGTCTTTATTGCTATAAAGACAAGTTATAGCAATAACATGGCAAGATACCTTTATTGCTATAAAGGTATCTTGCCATGGAATCTGGTTTTAATCAAAAGTCATGTAAAAGACCCACTAAACTGATCCTATGCTAAGAAACGTCAGAGCTTTAGAGCTTGGTAATCATTTTACATTAATACTTGTTGCTGTTTTTGTTACATGGACAGTCACATTCTGTCTTTTAATAATCTTCAGTCAGCTGTAGAAACTGATCTTGGCCTCATTGGGGCCAAGAAAATCTCTGAAATCCACTGGTGAACTTTTTAGCAGTAAGCTAGCTAATACTTATATTGTATCACACTTCCCTCAACATGAAGTAGTTATTTTTGTTAAGTTCTGTTCACAAATGCTTTAGCTAAATATGTTTTGTTTATAAAACACCACCAATACATTTAGACCTCGATTAACAACAATAGTTATATTATATTATCGGTCCTAATTCTTATTTCTTTGTTTCTCTCATATCACTTTCATTAACTTCCTTATGTTTCATTTCCATATATCCGTCTACTGTCGACAAGTCCTGTCCTATGGTCCTATGAAGTTACATATCCCAATGAAACAATAATAGTGATATGGAAAAGCGTGAAGAGATGAAAACACAAAGAGGGCAAAAAGTGAATTATTTTATAACTTCTATTTTCTTTCTCAGGACTGATCACTACAACCTCACGAAAGCTGGATCGTGAACAACAACAGGAACATGCACTGGAGGTTAGGAGCTCTTTATCACTTTCATCACTCACCTTATTTACTGTCCTTTAGTCCATGAAATGATCACCAACATATGTTTGATCATTTTCAAATTCCCTTCTGCTATATGTTAATGAATTACTGTTTGTATCGCAGCAGACTGTCGACAATTGGATATATTAAAAACATTACATATCTTATTCTATATCCAGGCTGATTCCGTGCAATTAATTGTGTTTCTTTTATAAAGTATGATTTGATGTAATATAACCAACTCCTGTATAACTCATGTATGAGGATGGGATGGAGGAAAGGAGTCATGTTTTGAATCTGCAGAAGAAAAACCACTAGGTGTCAAATATAAAGAAACAGGTTATTACACAGGGTATTAAATAGTAATTGCACATTATACATTGCACAAGTTATTGCCTTTGTAGTGTCTTATTGTAAATTCTGGTTGCAGCAGGGATGAATGACCTGCAGTAGCATCCTTTTTAAAAACAGGGTGTAAAAGTCTTTGACTAAAGGAGCTGCTCAGCCCCTCTCCAGTCTGGGTGCAGAGAGTGGAAGGTGGTGTCCATGATGGATGTAAGCTTGGACGGCACCCTTCTCTCAGCCACTTCCTCCACTGAGTCCAGAGTGCAGTCTAGGACAGAAACGCCCTTTCTGTCCCACTCTGCCTGGGGCCCAGCAGACGACAGCGTAGAGGAGGGCTGATGCCACCACAGAGTCATAGAAGGTTTTAAGCAGGGGCCTGCTGACTCCAAAGGACCTCAGCATCCTCAGGAGGTGGAGGCTGCTCTGACCCTTTTTATACAGGACGTCAGTGTTATGAGTCCAGTCCAGTTTATTACTGATGTGAACAACCAGGTATTTAAAACTCTCCACAGTTTCTATGCCTGCCCCTGGATTTTCATGGAGGGAGTGAGGTGGGGGTCTTCTTCTGAAGTCGATCACCATCTCCTTGGTCTTACTAGCGTTAAAACACAAGTGGTTCTTCTCACACCAGTCCACAAAGTTCATGGTGACCAATCGATACTCCTGTATGTGGGGGGTGTAGAGGGTGAAGAGGAACAGAGACAGAACTGTGCCCTTGGGGGCCCCAGTACTGCAGCAGTTCTGTCTGCGTGGATGAATTTAAAGCCGTCCAGGGAAACCACTTTGTCCGTGACAAATCCATCTAACCACATCTCCATTAAGCATATGATACTCGCGTCTCTGTGTCTTTCCTGTAAGCGGGTTAAAGCTGCGATCTCCTCGGTCTTGTTGCAAGGATCTTACGTTTCCCATGACAACCGACGGTAAATATCTTTTCCTGTGCCTCATCCTGCCACCCCTGCACCTTATTTCTGCAGGGATGTCTGGCCTTGCAGCGTGTTGTGGAGCAGGGCTGCTGTGCATAGGAGCACGTAGTGCAAGTAGTTGCTCCCGTGTGTAAACAGTAGGTTTGGAGTCGCGGACAAAGGGGTCTCCCATTGAAGCATCCAAAAATGCCAAAAGTAGGAGAAAGCTCAACACTATATGCACTTTAATATGTCAGCAGCGTTCCTCCTACGGTAATGTCCAGGGAGGTTGCTACTGTCCCATGGATGTAGTCACAGGAACATCAAACCGCTTGAAGATGGTCTTATAGCCTTTACCTTTAACATGTCTGTCTATAATTTTTATTCTAATCTCCTGATACCAGTCTTTCCTTCCCTTCCTCTGGTCCATGTTGAGTGTGGTACGCACCATCACTGTCTCCAAACAGCACAGTGACTACCTGTAGCCCTAGATATAGGCCTAATGACTGTTTAATAGATTGTAGACAACGGTGTCAATAAATAAGTCCGGTTGGTCAAGTATTTCTAGTCTTTCTAGGGGTGCTATAATTTTTGTCTAGGTCTCTTTTATTATTTTTTGTTTTGTTATGTTTTATAATTCGGTTGAATCATGGCTGAAAAGCAAATAAAATTCTGACTTTTATTTGTTGATTTTCCTAGATTTTTTTTTTTTTTTTTTTACTTATTTCATTTTTTTACAGATTCAAGTTATTCCTGTAACAATTGTGGGTTTAATTTGAATAAATTGAGGGATAACAACAGTTTGACCACTCCAACAGTAGTGTGGTGACAAATAAAAAACAGCATTAGGAATGGCAACAGGGTCTGATTTACAGATCATGTTAATAATCACATCCGAGGAAGGTCCAAGGTAGTATTGCCCTTTGGATGTAATATCTCTATGGTTTAATTCACAGTTTTTTTTTTTTTTTCTTATAGTTGATTCAGGTAGAGAGTGAGTGTTCATCTTGTTTAAAACCTGTGTGGGAATTTGCAGTAGTGAGAGCAGGTTGCCAAGAAGCAAAGAGTGATTAACAGCTGTATCTAGATAATAAAATAAAAAATAAAACAAGTTGAACATGCAGATAAGCTGCCCACCAAGATATTTTTAAAAATTTAATATGGTTAATAAAATATGGCTGTCTATATATAACTTTTAATTTTAAACATCAATCAAATCTTATATATGCTGGTTATCCATATACATTGCGGCAGTGCTTACTGACCTCCTGATAAAGAGGGACAGTGTGGGTCGACTTGACACAGAAATCTAAGAGCAATGCTGACAAACCAGTTATTGTCATGGATCAGGAAACATTAGTGAGAACACATTCCCTCCTAATTCTACGATTTTCAACTTCCTCAAGCAGCACAGCATCAATGTCGTAGCAGTGTTAAGAGGTTTTAGAGACATCAGTGCCCAGCAGCTTGTTTATGTTTGTGCTGATCTCACTGCTGGTCATCAAGAATAGGAATGTAAGGGCGAAAATCTTAATCTGGCTTCAATTCTAACAATCTGTTGTAGCTTTTCTAAAACGTGTGTTTGCATGGGTCAGTTGGCATGAGGGAGCACATATCTCCATGGCAGTTTTACAACTGTTGCATGGAAAGTGATGTACACAACTTTCAGGATAGATTTTGTGCATATACAAGCTTAACCAGCAAACCTTCTTTCTAGTCTGATGATTAATCCCAAAATACTAAAGGTGAAGCTTGATTTTATCTGCAAAGGGGTTTAGGAAACTTATGCAAGAACCGTTTGTGTTCATAATCATCCGTATGAGTGACTCAGGATTCATCATGTTTCTCCTACTTCTATTCTTCTCTCAGAAACAAACTAATTTTATGAGTGCTCCAGACTGACATAGGAGTCTTGCACAATCAGTTAGCTGTTATACAAACCTAATTTTTCACTTAGCAACTACATTATTTTCACTTGAAAGCAATTGTCCAATTTATTCGGCTTCATCATCATTTATTATGCAACTCTGCAATTATAAATTACATTTTTATGTGCTTATGAAAGAACTATCAGTCACTACACATGCAGCTGGCATCTCAGTATCCAGGGGAGATAAATTGATGTTATTTAGTCAAAGGGAAGAACAGTCAGTGGCTCTATGTGGGATTAAACAACTATTAGAAAAACATCTGAAACAGCAAATGAGTAGCAAGTTCAGTGGGTTGACAAGCCATCAAACAGCACGCTTACCCCACTAAAAGAAAATCATACCAACTGTCTAGTCTATATAGCTTCTGTCTATTCTGTGCACTGTAGACACATCACTTGGCATGTTGTATGATGAAGTGAAACTAGAGTAAAGATCTGCTTCCTACTTCAGTTGACTCGCTGGTCCTTATAGTTTGAAAAAAAAAAGAGTGCATGATTTCACAGACAATGTTATCCATTCATTTTAATACCAAAAAAGTAAAAAAAAAAAAACAATCCACTGGACTTTCTCTCTAAGTTTGAAGATGTTTTGCTTCCTATCCAGGAAACATTTTCAATTCAAAATGTCAGGAATAGCGTTGAGTTCCAGGCTTTTATACATTAGCACAACAAAGCCTTGTTTTTGTTAAGAAAACATGCAAATTGAAACAGATGAACGGGTCCACCCCTTTGGAATGGGGGTCGTTTGGCTTCTTTTGTTTGCCTGCAATGCCCCATACCTGTCTATGTCTCTGAGGGGGGTCATTAAAGGCAATCGTTGGCCTGGCTGAATAGGCAAGGTCATCGGTACCCCTTGGGGTTGCGATATAGCGGTCCACTTTTCATAATAGACAACTACTTTTCAGGATGGGAGACATGACATTACACATTCTCTCTCTTTTCCTCACTTATTTGTCACCAGTAATGTCATTCTGCCCAGGGGCGTTTTGAGCAGCAACATTTTAATAGTGACAGAGCTGGTTTTACTCTCTGGTTCTGCACCATCATGAAACTAATCCTTATCTCAGAGTATAACCCACTTTGACTAACCAGCTTGTCAGTGACTATCACTGAATGAGGAGGAACCAGATGCAGCATATCTTTGCTGGAGTTTAATTCGAAGAAAACAAAAGTTCTGAGAAAGATTCTGCATCGTCAAAGTCTGTATTTTTATCTCCCAAAGTATCCTTCTAGTATTACTGTTCAAGTCAAAAACAAATACAAACAAAAGTGGACAACAAAAAGCCTCTCACAATCCTGGTTCCAATGCAAGTGATCACATATTGCACTATCATCTTTATATTGAGATTTAAGTTTAACAGTAGATGTCCTCAAATAAAATTGTCTTTGGAAACTGCAGTTAACATGTTCTTCAGACACTTGTACCATCTTCTGAGACGTTCAAATTCTTGACATACCTAATGAAGGAATTCCAAATGAACTCAAAAAGATCCCGCTTGCCCTTTAATATATATGTCAAAGTATGTTATTTTATCACAAAGGGAATCGTCATGTTTGGAAATAAAAAGAGAGATGTATCAATAAAAAAACTGTCCCAGCAGTGAAACTCAGTGGTAGCCTCAGTTTGTCTGGACCTAAACCTAAACAAAACTGAAAGAAATAAACAACAAAACTGAATAATTTTATCAGACATTTTATCTTCCAACATGATGACTTAAAAAAAAATAAAAAATACTGACAGTAAATAAACCCCAGACTAAAATTCCCGGGGGTAAACTGAAGACAGAGGTCATTGCCAGAAGTATAACAGACTCTTCTCCAGGATAAACAGAAGGGACAGAATAGTAAGAGCACCACGGCTGATCATTATGACTCTAACAGTCTTTCTGGTGTTGACTAAGGAATCTTTATGACCTAGGAGCAATTAATTCACACTCATAGTTTTGAAACAAAAACGATACATGTGACAACCATTTGCTAAAATTCAGAGCTTATTAAAGCAGAAGTTCGGTCATATTCAGAATTCAAACTTCTTAAAGAACTTTAAATATGAAATTATTAAATACTGTTCAATAAATGTGTTTTAATTAAGAGTAATTTTCATTTGAATGTGCTTTACTGGAGGCATCCATGTTTGTCAAAGAACACTACTGCCACCTACTGGTTTGTGACGTCACGTTGCGGTATTGGCTGTCGATCAAGTCCCAGTGCTGTATCTGGTGTTTGTCACAACGCGCTGTTATCCAAGTCATCTTGAAAAAATTCTTCTTCCAAATGTTGGCTACATATTACGTGTTTTTCAATGGTGAAGTCCTCTGGTAATCTTCAATAATTGTTGTTGATTGCAGATGTGTCTAGTAGTTCCCATTGATTTTGCTTGTAAAGCGGGGAGAATGCCTGAAGATGGCAGGAGGGAGGTGTTACTATATTTGGGCAAAAATGGCCGCTCCTAGACTCAGTGATCATGACAAAAATGTCATTTTTTTATTGATTAAAGGAATAGTACACCCAAAACATGATTAGCCTTCATTTTCTACTCACCCCCATGCTGAACAACACTCTGGAGTACTTTTTTGATATCTCAAATGCATCTGGAGATCTGGGAGGCTTCTTGCTATCTGCTGTTATTCAAATAATGGAGGTCTATGGTGCCCGAGACAGAAAGGTCCATAAAAGTCCACAAAAAACGTGTCAATATTCCTCCATACTGCTCGTCCAATGTATTCCAAGTGTCCTGAGTGGGTAGCGTCCATAATTTACTCGAAAAAAGTCTTTTAGAATGATTTTAGAGCATAAACAGTAGTGTATAGGATTTCCTAAAAGCGCGTTCACGAGTCTACGGAAACCGCGGCAGACCAAACCAGATGAAAGTGCGCATTCAGCGTCTGCTCTGCCGATAATGCAAGCGTAGAAGAAGAAATGTGCTGTTTACCTGTGCAAAGAAAGAAACAACGAAAGAAAAATGTCTGAGGACTTCAGTGATGAGGAAGAGCATGAGTTCTTTGCCGAGCTGAATGCGCACTTTCGTCTGGTTTGATCTGCCGCGGTTTCCGTAGACTCGTGAACGCGCTTTTAGGAAATCCTATACACTACTGTTTATGCTCTAAAAACATTCTAAATGACTTCTTTCGAGAAAATTATGGACGCTACCCACTCAGGACACTTGGAATACATTGGACGAGCAGTATGGAGGAATATTGACACGTTTTTTGTGGACTTTTATGGACCTTTCTGCCTCGGGCACCATAGACCTCCATTATTTGAATGTCAGCAGACAGCAAGAAGCCTCCCAGATCTCCAGATGCATTTGAGATATCAAAAAAGTACTCCAGAGTGTGGTTCAGCATGGGGGTGAGTAGAAAATGAAGGCTAATCATGTTTTGGGTGTACTATTCCTTTAAGGCTAAATGTTTTAAATCACTGCAAACGTATTAGTTTTAGGTATAGATAATGATCCATTGGTTATTCCTTGCTGACCGGACTTTCCCTTAAAAAGAAATGTTTGCCTGTCAGACTGACCCCTTTTCCACCAGTACCAACTGGTTCCTTACAGGTCGATTATCTTTTTCGGCTTTTCCATTTGTAATTGTTTTGTGGAACAATTGAGTATTTTTAGTGCAGGCTTGCTTGTTTGTCCCAGTGCTCTGTGTCACATTGAAAACACTACAGCAGAGGAGAGTTGGTCAACGATTGTTGAAGAGTTGGTGATACTAGTCACAGTGTATTTCGATGACAGATGTCTACAACCAAGAAAGCATTTTGTGCTGGTCTTATTGTGTATGAGCTCTATTATAGACATTTTTAGCATCAACAAGTAGAACTGCCTTGAATTTAAAATCCTAAGCCCATTGAGATACTTAATATAATGAAAAATGAATCAAACCGAAGTAAACTGACCCCTACCTGACCTGAATATATTAGGAAATAATGGAAAGGAGGCGTCCGTACCAATGTCCTGCTTTGCGAATGCAGCTGGCTGCTGTATTTTGACCTCTAAGTTGGAACTAGGGATGAAGCAATTCATCCAATTAATCATGATTAATCAATTATTGAAATAATTATCAACTAATTTAGCAATCGATTAATCTTAACTGGAGTATGGAGACTGTAAAACATACCTTTAGCTGGCAGAGCAACCCACTTAGAGCAGGAATTATACCAAAATTGTAAAAAAAAAAAATGAAAAGAAAAAAAAACGATATATATATATATATATTTTGCATTCAAGATAAAAAAAAAATAAATTCATCTGTCAATCTGCCATATCCAGAAGTTTTTCTTTCTCCTGGTTTCATTTTGTTAAAACATATTCTTTAATGAACCTTTGGCTATCCAATTATTATTCGATAAATTTATCAAAAAAATTAACAGATTAATCGATTAGCAAATTAATTCTTAGTTGCAGCCCTAATTTGACCCCATCGCTAACCATGACTATGTTTCTACCCTAATAGAAATTGATTTTCGAATATTTTTCCACCCACAGGTGCTGGTTTCAGATGGCGGTCCGAGTCCCAAGAGCACCACGCTTTGGGTAATGGTTTCAGTGCTAGATGAAAATGACAACCGACCAACCTTTCATGAGAAGGTCTACCAGGTCCGACTTCCAGAGAGAGAACGGAGAAACAAGGCCGAGCCCATCTATCGGGTTTTTGCTTTCGATGAGGATGAAGGGCCCAACAGTGATCTCTCATACAGCATTGTGGATGGCAACGAGGAGGGAAAATTCTTCATAGACTCCAAAACAGCTGTGGTGTCATCGCGCAAGGCCTTTACTGCGGGGAGCTACGACATCCTGACTGTATGAGTCTTATTTTACCTGTTTGCAAAGATGCTACCATTGTGTTTCTCTGGCATTGCTTGAATATCATTTAATTTGAAAAGGAGAGGTGTTTTGAAAGCCTTTGGTCACCAAGTCTGATTTACAAGGAAAAAATACAGAAAAACACTTGGAATCCAGAGGTGGCAACTGCGCTTTTAAGAGTTAATCATAAAATTATTAGAAATTGTGATTAACGTGGTAGAAATAAGGTAATTGTAAATGTCAACGTAGCGGTTTATTCACTTGAAGTTATTATCTCAAGTCAATAGAAATCTGATTTTACATTTTTTTATTAACTTTTAGGTTCAACAGAGACATATTTTTTTGCCATTTTGTGTCTTTAGATCAAAGCATCAGACAATGGCCGTCCCCAAAAGTCATCAACAGCTCGACTTCATATCGAGTGGATCCAGCGACCACCTCCTTCATCTCTTCCATTGCTCTTTGATGAGCCGTTCTATAACTTCACCGTCACAGAGAACGACAAGGTGGCTGAGATTGTGGGTGTGGTGTCTCTACAGCAGAACCCATCTCCAGTTTGGTTTGATATCACAGGTAAGGTTCCCCTGTTGGTGTACAGCTCTAAACAAATGTGCTGCTCTGGCTCAGGAAGCTGGTGGATAACAAACACATCAACCTGCATTATCTTTAATCTTTTAGTTTAAACTTAGAACTGTAAACACTTTTTGTGTATATTCAATGTTTTGCCAGTTCATAATTAACAATAATAAGCTCAGAGTTTGGTTCACACAGATGAAAATAAATTAGTTCCTGTTCATAGTTTAATTTTTCAAAAAAAGATCTAAGTTCACAAACCTATAAATGAAGTAGTTCATATTCATTTGGTAAATGAAGCCAAATTCTCCACAATAGAACCTCATATTTCACCCTTTAAATGTGTGATCATAATATATAGAAAGAAATGGAAAGTACTGGATGCAGTCAAGATATACTAGATGTGCAGTGAAGCACATCTTTTTTTAGCTGAATTACACAGAACCTCAGAAACATACAGAAAATTTCAGGTTCTGCTGAAAAGATCTGGATCCAAAATGATTTCTTGTTTACTAAATATGTATTCCTGGTAGCTGAAAAAAAAATGTTTTCCTTGTCAAACTGACCATTTTAAACAAAATGAAATCCTTCACATGTAGAATAAACATTCTGAATGTTAAGAAATGAACTATAGCTGTTAAAATAGCTTAATGATCAGCATTTGTATTATTTTGACTATGTTCAGTTAAGCTGATAAATGTCAAAACGGCCACTTCAAATTGTTAAACATTTCTAGGTATAAAAAACTTGATTCTTACTAGTGTAATTTATATTTTTTACTTTCTGAAATTCAGTTTCTGCTGCAAAAATGTTATTTAGAAAATATATTATTACAGTTCAGTCTAGGAGTGAGATTTTGATCATAAATAATCTAATTTTAGTGGAACAACTAAGAGCTGTGCTTTTAATAAATGTAAAATCAGCCTGCCATAGCCCACTTCAAATAAACCTACGCATTAACTTGAGCAACAATCTTCTCCTACGCCATCTTTCTCTCCTTTGTAGCTGTAGCGCTGTTCCTGTCTTTTAAACGCATTCTCCATTTTTTTCATTTCTTCATTAAAGTCTCTAGTTCCAGTGGGGTGAAATAGGCGCTTCCTGTTCCCTGTTGTCATGGCGACTCTTCAAATCGGGTTTCTGCTGATAATGGCATTTCAAACTTGTTATGCACGTGCTAAACTCTGAGTGGATCTAATAAGAGTTGATTCAACTTATTCATAGCAGCCATTGTGAAACCGAAAACTCAGAGTTCCCGACTTTAGATCAATTTAGAGTTGCGGATTTGAATCTGAGTTTATTAAACCTGCTTCGTGAGCGGACCCCTGACGTTATCCAATGAAAATTGTCATTATCAAATGAATGCGAACATGTGCTGTGTTTCTTATTCATTATTCTCACAGTGAATGTCACTCTTGTTCACGTTCATTACTTAAAAACTGGTCTGTTCAGTTCAGCTTTCACCACAAATATTAACTTATTCAGTGAAATAACCATAGATCCTGTATTCAGTATATATATCTAATTTGTCTGCAGCTTTAACACCAAGTCAAATTCCTTGTAAGTGCAAACCTACTTGGCAATAAACTTGATTCTGAGTCACAACACTATTTACGTACATAAAAGAGAACACTTCTAATTTAGACCTCACCTCAAGTCCCCAGTTGGATGCTTGATATTTCACAGCACTGAAATGGTTTTGGGATGTGGAGCACGCTGGCGTGAGGTGTTTTAAATGAGTCAAAAATTCCCCCTGACGCACACACACACTTTCAGACATGCATCTTTGTTCAAGAAATAGCATGAAGTCAAACACACCAAGAAGCTAAAATAAAGAACATTTACCTAAAAAAAATGTCTATAACCATTAGTTAAAGTTGTTCCTGTCATTACTTCTTTTCCTCAAAAATGCCTGTTCTTCCTGTTTTACCCTCTTTCCTTTTCTGTCTTTGATGCTCCGTGCCTGGAAGGTTCCAGGCCTCTCCGGGAGATGTTCTATCTCTTGCAGAGCACTTGTTTCAAGAACTGTTCCTCAGAAGGTATTCTGTCTGCCTCTTTCATTCCTGAGCACTGCTACCAAAAGGATTCCCTTCATTTCTCCTATAAAAATGGAATGATATTTTTGTTTACCCATACCCACAGTCCACCCTCCCCTCTCATTCTTGTTTTGGTGTGTAAGTGGAATGTACAACAAAGATGCTACAGTTGCATGTTTTTATTTGCTTTATACCTGTATCATGTTTTTATGGCTTTAAGCGTGTGCTGCTTTATTGCAATCCTTAGTTGTGACATTTTATTCTTCGTAGAATGCAAGTGTACTTCTTGATGTATTTATTTTGGCTTCATACGTCACTTGAATTACATATTACCTATTGAACTAATAACCAAACTAATGGGTGTATTAGACTGCTAGACAGTCAAAACACTTCTTAACACGTCCTAACCCCTATGTCCCTCAATCACTACGCAGGGCGGGGACTATATAGTGAACTCAGTTTACTGACCGTTAGGACAGATGATCACTGGCCACATAACTCCGCCTTCCCGCACGGTGCATGCGCCATCTCTGTATTTGTTGCCGCTGTCACAACAAATCCCATGATGCTTTGCAAGGAGAACTCTCGCAAGGCATTTTTCACTAGATGTTTGGACACTCATCTAAGATGCCGTAAACACTATATAGTGCCCTATATAGTGATTAGGGCAGATGTTCAGACACAGCCTTGGTTTGGCTAAATTAAGGGCACTGATTGTGGAACTGGTGCACAAATATCAAGTTTAGGTCATGTCAACCAAATCAAGAAAGGGCAAAAAATAGAGATACAGACAGAGATGTGGAGTCATTTTGTCATGATTCTAATTAAGATCTGACCCAAAAGCAGTAAACCAATACAGAAAGACCAGGGAAAAAGTTTAACAGGTTTATTTAGGAGATTGTGAAGAATCCAGTGTTGCTCTGAAAACTGCTCAACCGGAACTGAAAGGTGAGGGGAAGACACTGCAGTTAGTTCAGGCTCAGTGGGAAATTTGATTCTCGAACTTGAAGAGGAGAAGTAAATTGCTGACTCACCTTTCCAGAGAAGTTGTTGACTCTTTGACTCCAGTCTGTGTGCGGTAGTTCCAGTGTTTGTCTGATTAGGTGGAGGAGGGACAGGGTTTACCCAGAATGCGGTTGTCTGTAGATGAACGGAGAAGCTGACTGCTACTCAGATTTCCTGCGGTACTTGAACGGGTCGTAGTGGAGATGAATCCCTTGCTCAGTGTGAAGCTCAAACGATCCTTTGAGGAAAAGTTGATTCAAACCTCCAGTTTAAGACCCCGTCCACACGAAGTCAAAACGAACACGAAACGCTAATATTTTCCAGATCGTTTGTCGTAAAGACGGAGACGTAAAATAAATGTGATCGACCACACGAACGCATGAAAACGCTGCAAAATGTATGCCAGGCCTCTAAGTGGCGCTGTGGTGCCAAAGCAAAAATAGGCGACGAAATGTTGGGCATGCGCACTAATATTTATACAACAACCAAACCGGAAAACCGGAAAATGGTCTGCGGGTCCATTTTCGTGGTTCAGTCTAACCAGGGTGAGTATCATGAGCAGCAACCATTCAACACAGTACGGCGCCATTGTTGTTGTGATACTGTGTCGCGCATGCATGTTTAGAGGCGACGCTTTGACGCATGTGTGTAAGAAAAAAAATGCGGTTAGAGCTTAAAGATGGAAACGCAAAAACGGCGTTTCAAAATCTTCCCACTCTGAAGGCTAAATAAAAAAAAAGATTGTTTACAGACCCCCGAAACGCCGGCTTCGTATGGATGAGAGGCTGGTTTGGTGAAAAATTTGTGCGTTTAGGCCAGGGTTTGACTTCGTGTGGACGGGGCCTAAATCCTCAACTCAGCTTGAAGCTCAGATGATCTTTCCAGGAAGGGAAGGTCAGAAAAATCCAGTTTACAGGATGACTTCCTGCTGAGAGGCAAAGACAAAAAACAAGATTAAACCTCTGGTTGACAAGAACTCAGTCTGACTCAGCAAAACTCAGCTTGGCTAGAGTACCCAAAACTGGCAAACACTCTGGCGTCGAGGTAGTGGCAGTCAGCAGCTTAAGAACACTCCATTAATGAGGTAACTCACAGCAGATGTGTAGGGAGGCGGACCAGAACCAGGCGCCTCCTGGTGGAGGAGGGGAGACAAACACAGAAAAAACACATACACAGACAGGAATCCTGACACATTTAAAGAGTCAAGGTCAAAATTGTCTGCTTTAAGAAAAAGCAACAGAGTAACTTTGACCACATGGGGGTTGTTGCCAACGCAGTACTGGGTGTTATGGAGATTAGAAGTTGACCGTTATTTTTGATGATATCGTTGATGATACAGATTATTTTGACACCAGTCTAATCAATTCCTGATATGTACAGCTGATGTTTTTGGCACTCTCCCCCTCTATTAGGCCTAGTTTACACCTAGATAAAGCAATATACGTTTTAGAAAAAATATGCTTGTCTACGTGGATTGGTGGTTGGTTTGTATCTTGTCTCTATGTCAGACCAGCTCTGTTGGGGGTCGAAGCGATGTAACAAAGCTGCAAAGCAATAACTGAGCAGAGACAAAGGGTTCAACACATCTACAGGAAATGTGCTTCTTTTTGGACTTAAAGACACTGTACCTAAATTCTGCACTATTTTCACCATAAGTGACAAGAACAGATTATCCTGAACTGTAAGCCCCGCCCCTAAACTTCTCCCATTGGAAAAATCCTCCCACTCTGCTTGCAGATGATAAACACACACATCTCGTAATCAAAGTAATGAAAAGATACATGTCTGGAAGGACTACAGCCAGTTTTGAGTCCACAAGCTGTCAACAAGCTGTCCACCAAGGGTGAGCTGGTCCTGGATTTATACCAGCTTTTATCCTTCTTTGGTCATTCATGCTTTCAGCTCTTTTCCTGTTAAAGGGGAGTTTTTCCTCCCACTGTCGCTACAAGCATGCTTAGTGTCAGGGATTGCCTTCGAGTCAATGAGTCGATCCAATCAACTGGCTTTCCTTAGATGGAAAACTTTGAATCAATTTAACTGTATGATCTGGTGAACTGTAAAGTGCCTTGAGATGATATGTGTTGGGAATTGTTGTTATATAAATAAACTGAATTGAATGTAATTGAATTGGATTTTCCTCTGTTTTGACCCTTTTGGTCTATTTTGCAATATATGCAGCAGCAGCCAGCAGAGGTTTCCCAACTTTCCCTCTGTTGGCCGCCATGTTTCTCTGTTTGCCTTGGAGAAAATACCCCTTTTTGGAAAATGCTCTCAATGGCATATAGAAAACCAGAATCTCCACAAAATTAACCCTATTGGCAGAGAAAACCATCACATAGAAGTTAGAGGCTTACATTAATAAAGCCTAGACTCCTGCATATGTACAATCAGTGAGAAATGTATTATATTAAATGAACTCTTCTATACCAGGTAAAAAGCATTTTACTTAGAGATTAAAATAAAATCAGCTCCAGGGCCATTAACGAAACCCACAGCAGGGCCTTTAGCCATAGATTTTGTAATGGAGTCATGCTTCATCCACCATGTTTTTGTCAGCAATGCTCATGCCAACCGCTGTGGGTCAGGACCCCGAGCACATTGTCTCCGTCCCCCTGCAGCATGCATTGCCGCAGGCAACATTAGAAATAGAATGTCCCAAAACAAGTATTGACTAAGCTGCTCTTGAAATTCAAAGATTTGTACAGCTGTAATAACAACACAAGTATCCAGAACAAGAAAAAATGAAGGGAGGGCTTCAGTGGTAATTTTACTCCAGTTCCGGGTCAGTGCTCCAGATCACTTCTATCCAGTCTGACAAAAGCTCATCATACCTCTGGCTTTCCTACAAGTTAAGAGTTCACTTGAAAAATGTGACGGTCAACTGCTCCAAACTAAACTAAGTCCACATTTTTTCTGGTCCAAATGCCCTCCCTGGAGCTTCATGGTTCATTCACACCATTGTGGCCGTCAAATCGCTCAACCATCGAAACTAGGATGACCGATGCTCTGGTTGTTTATCTAATCTGTTCTGTTGTTGGAAGCTAGAGAGAAGCTTGGCTATATTTAGTAGTTTTAACATGTTTTTAAGCAAAAAAGTCCACCTCAAAACGTCCCCTGTGAGTCACTTCCTCAGAATTATGACCCTGCTAAAATATTCTGTTCTTTTGTGGAGCACCACATCCATATAAGAACAATTTTTTGTTCTCCATTCAAATGGCAAATGTATTTTTTACCAAAGAATATAACAATTAGACCTGCAGCAGAGTACACTGATGCCCCTATAAGATCCCCCTTTTACACCTTGTGAACAGCAGCTAATGTGTGGTTAAAAAGAATGGGAGGGTTGAAGTTGACCCCCTCCAATCCACCACATTTCAAGGCACCAAGAGCTTTATAATGAAAGTCTAACCAATTAACTTGCATTTAAAGTACTGAACACTGAGTATGGAGACCTCCAGGGGGTCCGACACTCTTTATGCATGTTGCTGCATATTCTGAAAAAGACTTAAGGTTAAAAGTCTTCGTAGAAATGTGTCACAAAGATGTTTGACATCTGAAAGCATCATGTAAATATTGAATTGCTGATTTAAGTCATTCCATTTGTGGTTTGACTTATCGTCTAGTTACTGACTTAGAATGAGTAGCACAACGCGGTAATAATTTATAATAATAATTGATCTCACATTGGGGAAATTTACCTCTGCATTTAACCCATCCCCTTGGGGAGCTGTGGGCTGCCATTTTGCAGCACCCAGTGAGTAGTTTGGGGTTAAGGGTCTCGCTCAGGAACCCAGAGTCCAAGCTGTGGGGATCGAACCGGTTAATTGCAACCTTCTCAGAGCACAAGAGCACTACTCTAACGCACTAGGCCATCACTCCCCCTAAACTTTCCTCTGAACATTTAAACCACTGGTAGAAAATGCAGACACAGGGTTTTTTCTCCATTTTAAAGCATTGTAACTATTTTCAGCTATTTCCGACATTCTAAATTGAGCTGAATTAAAGCACAGCGATGCTGCAGAGTGAGGAAATGTGTAATGGGTTTGTGTGTGGATCTATGCCTATTCATCTGTTCATCGACATCCCATCACTTCACTGCTGTGGCTTCAGACAGGTTTTAGTCAAAGCTTCCAGTGAAAATAGACTGTTCAATACTGAGAGTTTTACAGGACAGTAAGTCAGCGACAGAATAAGAGAAAATTAGTTCATTTGTATCAAACACATTTTTTTGTGTGTTTTTGATCTTGTGTGCTCTTTTACTCATCCTTCTGAGCAGCTGGAAACAGTGACAGTGTGTTTGAAGTGGGGAAGACTTCGGCTACCATCATCATCGCCAAGCCTCTGGATGCTGAGCACCGCTCCTTCTATAACCTGACAGTGCTGGCCACAGACGGCACCAACACCGCATACACACAGGTGACCTCTTCCTTTTACCATCCATGTTTATAGATTACACTTTTTGATCCTATATTGAATCAATTTCCCAGGTCGAACATCTCTGCTGTGGCTTAGTTTAAAGCCTAATTTATCCCCCTAAAAATGTTGAAGTGGTTGGGATTTTTAATCAGAGTGTGTTCATTTAAACTGCCTTCTGTATTTTCTCTCTCCATTTCTTGCTCCAGGTTTACATTACCGTGCTGGACACCAATGATAATGATCCTGTTTTCTCACAACAAATCTACGAGGTCGTCATTTCGGAGGATACACCACCCGACACCGAAGTGCTCCAAATAAAGGCATCTGACCGGGATGTGCATCACCAGCTCACCTATGCTCTCCACAGCTCCATCGACTCTAGAAGCCTGCGTCTGTTCCACATCCACCCCACCCTGGGCACCATCTCCACAGCTCAGAGGCTAGACCACGAGGCTTGTGCCCAACACATTCTGACTGTCATTGTAAGTCATGCTTTGTTTAAAAATAAGCCAATTCTTTGTGTGAAGTTATACTTAAACCTATTTACCCTAATTAAGCTCTGGTCATTTAACAACTCTGTGCCTGGGCTGCATTAACTTCCTGGCTGACTAGATAGCAGATATGTTAAAGCAGCATCTTTAAAGCAATACTTCATTGAAATACTATTAATTATTATCAGCATTATATTAACCAGAAATAAAAATGCAGCCAAATGATGAGAAATCCTACAAAACATGCTAAATGTTGAATTCATAAGGCTTCTCACCACAGCAGTAGATGATAGATTTATGCATATAAAGACGTGTTTGCAATTTGGAAATAATTAAAACTTGCCCCTTAGTTTTGAGACAGGAGCGTGATCTTAATACTACCTTTATTTGAGAGAAGGGCATTATTGTTATTTAGAAGATCTTTACATGAATCTAAACATGATGTGACCCAATAAAGATATGATAAAATAAACCCTAGGAAAATACGATCGTAACTGGAATGAAAGAGAACCATTTATCTAATTATGTCAATCCTGATTGGCTAGTGATCAAGATGACTGCCTCACCTATCCACCACGATGCAATATTATTCAAAAACCTCATCTCGCTCTGAGGCTTATCTCAGAGCAGACTAGCTAAAATGTCCTTAGACAAGGAAATATTTTTAGCTAGCTCTCCATTGTTGGGCCTAGCTGCTAAAACTCCATTCTTCCCCCTAGTCATATACTGGCACTCCAGCTAAAATTACCTGTTCTGGGCTGTCATACCAGTCCGCTCAGCCCTTTTCTTCTCCAAATTCGACTAGCTAACTGGCTGCAGAAATGGACCCTGCTTCCCCTCACACCAGAGGAGATAGCAGCTCGGAGACTCACCTTTGTTAGTGCGGAAACAAAACTTCAAGCAAGGACACACACTAGGTATGCTCGACATGTCTCTACATATGCCAGCCTGGCGGTTGATGCCCCGGGTTCATGTACGGACTGTTCCTGCTTCATAATGAGGAGCCTCAGTAGATGGCTAGCACGTCAAGTTGGCCTCTCCGGCTTAGACCCGTATTTGCCATCAAGCGGGCTGCCAGGAAGGATTGACCACACCAGTACGAGTGCTGTGGCCAGCTGGGGTTCCCAAGCGTTTTTAGCCGCTACGCTCTCAGCGGTTGGGGACGTCTTAGAGCTGGACGAAGATGAAGATAAAGTCATCCAGAAGCTTCAGAGGATGACGACGAGGATAGAATCTTTATTCCAAGCCCAAAGGCTGCAAAGCCAGATGACCTGCTGGCTCACCAGGAAGGCAAGGGGAGTGCTGCAGAAAATCTTTGGCTCCTTTGGCAGCTTCCGTTATGGGGCAGCCGAACCAGACCTCCAATCATTAGTCCAGGAATAAGAAGAGGCTGACCTCTTGCCAGTGATGGAGTTTGGCGTGTCATCTTCACTACCTCTACACACACGGCCAAATGTGTGTTTCTTTCCAACCCTCTGCTTCCCAAGACAAAGGACGATGAGGCTAGACGCCCAGGAAAGCTGGATCTATCCCAAGTCACACAGGAATCGAACCTAGAACCTTCTTCCTGCAAGGCAACAGTGCTACCCAGTGCAGAGTTTTAGTTTTCATTTTGTTTTGTTTTTTGTTACATTGAATTACTATAAATACACTAACGTTTTTAAAAGAGTGTTCACAATTTTACTGGGAGGCTACTGTGTGTCAGGCCGCATAAACTAAAATGGAGTTTACTGTTTTAAGTCCAGTCTGTGCTATTGTGGTCACTATAATGTACAGTTTGTTAACTGACAATGGCCAAAGTTTTCTTTCTTTTTTTTGTTAGCTATTAACTCCGTTTTTCTTTTCTTCCTCTCCAGGTCAAGGACCAAGAGTTCCCATACAGAAAAAATCTTGCACGTGTACTGATAGAGGTGGAAGATATAAATGATCATGCACCCTTTTTCACCAGCCCGCTTTATGAAGGCTCAGTTTATGAATCGGCTGCTGTTGGGTCAGCAGTGGTTCAGGTTACTGCTCTTGACAAAGACAAAGGCAAAAATGCTGAACTACACTACTCTATTGAAGCAGGTAAGCAACGGATGAAAACTCACACCTATAATGTTCTTTTTTAGCTCTTTGTAAAGAGAATGATTTGTATATTTTTTCCAACAGGAAACACTGGAAATGCATTTAACATCGAGCCAGTTCTGGGTATTATTCGTGTTGCACGTCACTTGGATGTATCAAGCATTGGACACTATGTTATTAGTGTCAGAGTGACCGACAGTGGCACTCCTGCCCTGTCTGCTACAACAATAGTTCGCATTGCCGTCACCCTCTCTGACAATTCAGGTCCGAGGTTCCCTCAACCTGAATATCAAACAGAAATCAAAGAGAATGCAATTATTGGGACCTCTGTCACCACAATCAGTGCGGTCAGTCAGTCTACCCTCACTTTTGAGATCAAGCAAGGAAACATAGGACACGTTTTTCAGATTAATCAATACAGTGGAGTCATCACAACTCAAAAGCCCCTTGACTATGAGAACATAGCTTCGTATACCCTAATAGTGCAAGCTACCAACATGGCTGGTATGGCCTCCAATGCTAGCCTCTTAATTCAGATAGTCGATGAGAATGACAATCCACCAGTGTTCCAACATCTTCACTATCATGGTAGCATTTGTGAGTTAGCACCAATCAATAGTGTTGTCTTGAACTCGGAAAATCTCCCTCTAGTAATCAAAGCCACTGATGCTGACTCCAACCAAAATGCCCTGTTGGTCTACCAGATTGTGGAGGAGACTGCAAAGATGTTCTTCTCTGTAGACTCGGTTACTGGGTCAATTAGAACCATTGCTAATCTGGATCATGAGACCTTTTCCGCCTTCCACTTCCATGTTCATGTGAGGGATAGTGGTAGGCCCCAACTAACTGCAGACAGTCCAACTGAGGTGACCATACAAGTGATCGATTCAAACGATTCCCCTCCTGTCTTCAAACAGAGTACCTATGAAACCGTTTTGCTACTTCCTACTTATGCTGGAGTAGAAGTTGTGCAGGTAACAGCTGTAGACCCTGACACAGATGTCCCTACAGATCTGACGTATTCTTTGGCTGATGGAGTGCTGGAGAATTTTTCCATTAAGGCTTCTAGTGGTATTATTGTAGTCAAAAATAGCAACTTCTCCAAAGAGGTTTTCCACCTTACTGTTAGAGTTTCAGATGGCAAATTCTCAAGCACTGTTTTGGTGACTGTCTTTGTCAAAGAGGCTCTTGATTCCGGTTTAAGTTTTTCCCAAAGGGTCTACACCTCATCTATTAAAGAGAATGTGTCAAATATCACCATAGTCGCTGTCGTCAGCGCTGTGGGAAACCAACTCAACGAGCCTTTGATGCATACCCTACTGAATGCTGGTACAAAATTTGAAATACGTCCGACATCTGGAGTCATCCAAACTACTGGAATACCCTTTAATCGGGAAGAACAGGACTTCTACGAGCTGATTGTAGAGGCGAGAAGGGAGCATGATCAACAGCGTGTGGCCAGAGTTCTGGTTAAAGTTCAGGTTGAAGACATAAATGATAATGCCCCTGTTTTTGTTGGACTTCCATATTATGCAGCTGTTCAAGTAGAAGCTGAGTCCGGATTTCCAATTTTCAGAGTCTCCGCAGTGGATGGAGACAAAGGTATAAATGGAGAAGTGGTATACTTTCTGAAGGAAGATCATGGCCACTTTAAGATTGACCAGCAGACAGGAACCATTAGCCTCAAAAGGACTTTTGAGTCAGATTTATCTAATAAGGAGTACCAACTAGTGGTAGAGGCCAAAGATTGCGGCGACCCTCCCCTGTCTTCTACCATCACCTTTCCCATCACTGTAGTCAACAAAGCCATGCCTGTCTTTGACAAATCCTTTTACTCTGTGTCTGTGAATGAAGATGTGGGCGTTCACACACCAATCCTCGGCATTAATGCAACTAGTCCTGACGGGCAAAACATTATCTACACCATTGTTGATGGAGATACAGCTCTTCAGTTTGGGATTGGATTTGATACCGGAGTTATAAGTGTAATTAACTCTTTGGACTACGAAGACAAATCATATTATCGACTAACCATTAGGGCCACGAACTACGTGACTGGCTCCCATGCTGAAGTTGATGTCGATGTTTTGGTTCAAGATATAAATGATAACCCGCCGGTCTTTAAAGAGATGTCCTACAGAATTGTTTTGTCTGAAACTGTTATGATTGGGACTCCAGCACTTCAAGTCATTGCCACAGACAAGGACTCAGAAAAGAACAATATTGTTAGTTATCAGATATTCTCCAAAGAGCATAACAGCACAGATTATTTTCACATCGATAGCAGCAGCGGATTAATCCTTACAGCACGGATCCTAGACCATGAACTTGTCCCAGAGTATGAATTTATTGTCCGGGCCACGGATAATGGTTTTCCTTCATTATCCACCGAAGTCTCCGTCACAGTTCTGCTAAAAGACATGAATGATAATCCTCCAGTTTTCAACCAGCTGCTTTATGAGGCTTATGTGAGCGAGTTAGCACCTAAAGGACACTTCATAACCTGTGTTCAAGCCTCAGATGCTGACAGCTCCGATTTTGACAAGTTGGTGTACAGCATTTTGTCAGGAAATGAAAGGATGGATTTTGTGATGGAAAGAAAATCGGGAATTATCATGCTGTCCAGCCATCGCAAGGAAAGAATGGAACCTACTTACAGCCTCAATGTTTCCGTATCTGATGGAGTTTTTACCAGCACTGCTCAGGTTCATGTTAAAGTCTTTGGGGCCAACCTGCACAATCCTGTGTTTGAGCAGAATATTTTTGAGGCAGACTTAAGAGAGAATTCTCCTGTTGGAACCAATGTAATTCAGGTGGGTGATTTTGAGTTTTACTAAACTTGAAACACGCATGTATCTATGCATGTATGACTCAACTTTTTTACATAAGGAGATTCTTTCTATTTCAGGTGAGAGCAACGGACGCAGATCCTGGAGTATTCGGCCACATAACTTATTCTTTTGTCAACGATATGGCTAGTGACCTGTTTGCCATTGATTCCAATGGTCAGATTAGCACAACAGAAAAACTTGACCGAGAGGACCCCTCTAGCATGGACATTGTTCTTACAGTGGCCGCTCAGGATTCAGGGGGACGTGTTTCCTATTGCACAATTCATCTCACTATCTTAGATGAAAATGACAATGCACCCCGCTTTAGTACCACAGAATACCGAGCTACACTCAGATTTGATGTGGCCAAGGGGTTCTTGATAACACAGATTCAGGCTCTTGATCCCGATTATGGCTCTAATGCCAAAATAACATTTTCACTTTACAGTGAGGCCCGCATCCCTGTAGCAGACATTTTGGACATAGACCCAGATAGTGGTTGGATGGTGACCAAAGGGAGCTTCAGCCACCTGAGAAACTCAGTATTATCCTTTTTTGTGAAGGCTGTGGATGGAGGAAATCCAGTTCGACACTCTTTGGTCCCAGTCTACATTCATGTTCTTTCTCCTGAGGCTTTCTTTCCTGACTTCAGTCAACACCATTACTCATTTAGCATACCAGAGAACACGCCCATAGGTTCAGCTATTGGGAGGGTTCACCCCAAAATTCCTCCTGGCCACAGCCCATTTCCAGTTAGCTTTAGCATCATTAATGGAGAAAGTAAGGAAAGCAACCTAGATGGGGTGTTTTTAGTAGAGAGGAATACAGGGGTGATTAAACTGGATAAGCCCTTGGATCATGAGGTGATGAAAGGATATAACTTTAAAATTGCAGCCACTGCACACCAGAGTAAGCTGGACGCTGTGAGTTGCGTTGATGTTGAGGTCAAAGTTTTAGATCTTAATGACAATAAACCAACTTTTGAGACAGACTCTTACGTCACGACTGTCATGGAGGGGATGGCAGTTGGAACAAGGATCATTCAGGTCAGCGCTCGAGACCCAGACTCAGGAGCCAATGGCCAAGTAACATACAGACTTGGGACATTAATCCGTGCAGATGAACATTCTGACACATTGGATCAGACTTTTAGCATCGACAGTAATACTGGTTGGATAGTCTCATGCAAAGAACTCGACCATGAGTCCAATCCATCCTACATATTCACAGTGGTAGCGTCTGACCTTGGAGAGGCCCTATCGTTTTCCAGTACCAGCACTGTGACAGTGACAGTGACAGACATCAACGACAACCCCCCCATATTCATGGAGAACCATTACTTCAGTTCCGTTCAGGAGGGTGGGCCCCCAGGCGAGGTGCTGGCTGTGTTGAACACCAAGGATAATGACAGCTCTGCTGTTAACCGCCATGTCAGCTATGTCATCACTGGTGAGTGGTTAAAAAAAAAACAAGAAACAACACCCCTAATGATTGAATTCTGCCACTGTAAAATGCTCCTTTTACCTTCTCAAGCTTTATGTATTTTGTAAATAAATTATTGGTAGGGTTTATTTCTATTTGCTAAAACTTATGATTTTGAATTTAGTCTTAATCCGTACAAAATTACATAATGTTTATTTTTTTTATATCAAGGGTTGAATGGTAAATTTAATAACGTAGTAAGAATGCACAGAACCTGTTGAAACCTTGCCAGAGACTGCTCTTTGTCTTTATTTTTACTGTAAACCCCATTTTTATGCTGCTTCACAGCACTGCCCTGCAGTGTTATGCAAAACCTAGAGGAGCTTCAGGGAGCAGGCATAGATTGTTTGATTAAAGCCAATCGTTTTTGGGCCGATCAGATATTCTCATTAGTTAGATTCTACAACCTTCAGCCTTTAGCCTTTGCACGTCTGTGTGCTTAGTGAAATTGAGACTACAGTCTTCTGAAAAGAAAAAAAATGCAGCTGACACGAATGTAGTAAACAGCTGAAGCTTGCCATAATAAAACTCAAAGCGTATGAAGCTGTGAACAGTTGCACGTGTCACACAGAGTACATGTGAAGAAATATTGGATTTTTTTTTTATTTCCATGCTAACATGTCATGTAAAGCAAATGATTTTGGGATTCCTTATAGTTCCTTAGCACCAGATAGAAATTTCATGAGCACCCTCTACTAAAGGAAATATGAAAGGAAGCATGAAGGCTCATTTTCTTCTTCCATCTTATTGCAAGCACTATCGGACATCACTGAACATGGTGGCCATGATGCACCTCTGCTTTGTCTCACTGAAAGTCCCAGTGAAACTGATCTATGTTGTCATTAAGACAGTGACAGTAATAGTCCTCCTATAAAATAGCATCTTAAATAAACAACATTATTTGACTTAAATGAAGAAAAAGACACAATTAGCCCACCTGCAGCTGTATAACACAGAACTAATATAAAACCCTGCACAGTGCAAGCCACATAGCTGCATGCAAGTGAAATCTAACGAAACCTTTTAGCTTTGGTCAAACAGAGAATCACCATGATTCAATCTTTACAGAACGGAGCACCAAAAAATTGAAATGCAAACTGATCACTAATGTTTGCCGTTAGACAAAGGATTGATGGCTGAGATTCTTGTCCAGTTTACGGTTCAGGTTTGCGATTTCTGAAGCATTTTTAAAGTACAGAAATTACTTTTTTATTTAATGTTTTTAAGGACATTTCAAATGATTGTAATATTTCAAATGGTTAGAATAATAAAAATGTCCTAATTTCACTATCTATCTGTCTGTATCCTCAGTTCAAAATTTCCTTCTGGTTTTTTCATTAATTAACACTAGACATAATTTATTTCCGCTATATTGGTGGAAAAAGTGGTCTTTCAATCATATTAATGGCATTTTTATTTGCCTCTTTTGCCTCCAGATTTCCTCAAAATGATGCTATTGTTTTGAATTTGACTGTATGATCTGGTTGAACTGTAGGGTGCCTTGAGATGACATGTGCTATGAATTTGGCGCTATATAAATAAACTGAATTGAATTGAATATACATTTAGCGCCGGATGTTCAAAGATTCAGAAAAAAGGGCCGTTATATATTGCGTGTGCAATTTTTTATTAGTATGTGAAATAAGTGGTCATATTGCAGGTGATCTACAAAAATGATTGTGCAAATTTGACATGCAAACTATTTTACTTTTGCCTATTCACCTGAGAAGATAGTGTGTTCTAAGGGAATATGAGAGTCATCGTTAAAGAAGGATGAGATGCTAAGCCATGTAATCGGAGGTGAAAATTATCAATTGTCATAAAACGGGACAGATGGACCCAGTATTCAAGGTGAGACAGTCAGTAGGAAAGTTCAAAGTGTTCAAGGCTACCAGGCATCCTAGAGCTCCCAGGCAGGTTCAGAGTCGTGAACAGGTGGTCACGCACAGAAGCAGACAGGATCAGGTGCAGACGGGCAGGCTCAGTGGAAGAGGGTAGCCAGACAGGACGTGGAACCAGAACTTGAGCAGGACCTTTAAACTGCTCTCCACCTTGAAACCAGGCTTACTGGAATAAAAACTGAACCTCCCCGAATAAAAAGCCAAAAACCCAGAGGTCTCAGCAGGGGAGGAACAATGGAAGAGCAGGAGATGAGACAGGAACAAAACCTTCTTTCCACCAAGATCCAGGACATGAACCGTCGCATAAACTGACCAGCCAGACTAACAGAAAACAAATAATGATTTGGCCCTGAATGCTCAGGCTGAACAGAATATAAACCAAAGGAAACAGGTGAGAGGAATAAATGATAATTGCGGCAGGGAGGGAAAACGGCAGGTGAAAGAAATAACCAATTAAGGTAGAGCAATCAGGCCAGATCATGACAATTGATATTATTTTAAAAATACTAATTATCATAATTGATAATAAATACTATTTATATAACCAATTACAGATGAAGCTGTTTTATAGGAGGACTTTTAGTGCCACCTTCTTAAGGACACTTAGAAAAACTAAGTGCTACAAACAAAGTAAAAAAAATGAAATGATCAAAATAACTTAAGATGAATTTTTATCTACCTATGCATCCATCTTCTCTAACTTTTCTGTCAGGAAAAGGGTCTCATTGGAGCTGGTTCCTATCTACAGCAGTCTGTGGGCTGTAGACCTCAAACTGGTTCCCAATCTGTAGCAGGGCAACACAGAGGCACACATAGACATACAACCATGCACACACTCCCACTCTAGAGGCTAAAGCATGCACAGGGAGAACATGTAAAATCCATGTATAATGACCCTGGGCCTGGAATTAGTGCTACAAACTGCACCACTCTGCAGCCCCAGGTATTTCCAGGACATTACAAGCTTGTTTGCACTATATACACTCTTTTTATATTGTCTGTTGTATTTTTATCTTTAATGGCATTTTGCTTTAACTCTTTGCTTTTACTCTATATATAAATTTCCCCAAGGGAGCAATCCCAATGATAAAGTTGAGTCTAAGTCTTATGAACTAATTTAATTTTTAAATCTGTTCTGTACCTGACTTCCAGTTCAAATTATTACAAGACAAGCTAGATTAGATTAGATTAGATGAGCTTTATTGATCTCACAGCAGAGAAATTCACTCGTCACATATTGGCATAGAAGTTACAGAAGGTGCAAACAGGGAGGATAAAGCTGCATTAAGAATAAGCAATATATATATATACAGTATATCCAGGTATTTACAGTATATCAAGATAAATAGGATTAAGGTGCCAGGGTACCTGTATCACACACAATGAAAAACTAAATATAAATAAGAAATAAAAAAATAAGAGATAAAAATATGTACAATCCGGATGGCTTATATACAGGTGGAGAAATATTGCACATTCAGCATATTGCACAGGATATTGTTCACAGTCAATAAATAAAACGCTATAATGTAGCTGCACAGTGGTTTTTACAGGAGTTATTGTGGTTATAGTGCATTATTATAGAGTCTGGTGGCAGCAGGAGCTAAAATAAAACAGCTTAAATCGAGTTTCAGATTTGAAACATACTTTATATGTATGTAGTAAATGTTTGCATTTGCATATCCTTCAACCATGAATCAACTTTTTTTTGGTCATTAGAATATGATTTGCATATTGCAATGACACGTGCAAAATACTCACTTTGCTTAACTGCATAGCCAATCACGTTGCACCTATTTTCAGTTCTGTTGGCATAAATAAACTTGCTCCCATTTTACGCTCCAAAATCAATCTAGAAATAAGTAAAAATTTCTTAAATCTAGTGTATTTACCCTTAATTTGAGTAGGTAAATAAGATGATGTTGATGTGTTTTTACTCTTAAATAACATAATTAGATAATATTCCCTTGAAATAAGACAATGCAATTGTTTTTTCTTATTTTAAATGTGAATTATCTTGCTCCTTTGGCAAAGTGTCTCACTTACCTTCTCAATTGAAGAAAAAAATTCACTTATTTGAAGAAAAAATAACTATTTAGATTAGATTTTTTTTTTTTTTTTGCAGTCTAAGATGCGCAAACCTTCTGAATGTCAGGCCCTTAGAGGGTTCAATGGCAAATTTCAAGATTTAGAAGAAAGAAAAAATCTATATAAAACAGGATTTAGACTTTTAAAGATCCTGAGAATAAATTCAAAGTTTTTATAACTTACTTGTGAGAAAGCCTTTTATCTGCATTGTTCATGACAGATTTTTACTTTTTGGATCTGTGTCATCCAGGTGGGAATTACCGCGGTGTGTTTGCCCTGGGCCTGGTTCAGGGTGAATGGAAGATGTATGTAAAGGGGCCACTTGACAGAGAAGAACGCAACCTCTACATCATCAATGTCACTGCAAGTGACGGACTCTTTGTTTCCCACACGATAGTGGAAGTGGCAGTGATAGACACCAATGACAACAGCCCTATTTGTGACCAGGTAAATGCTGAAGTGGTGTGTTGCTTTTTTGGTTGGTTCTATGGCTCTTTATGTCCGTGTGCACATGCCTTTTCCAGGCTCTATACACAACCAGCATTCCAGAGGACCTCCCCATGAATAGTGTGTTGCTGAGGGTTGGAGCTGCAGATGCAGATGCAGGAAACAATGCTCGGCTCAAGTACTCTCTACACGGTACCGGATCCCAGGACTTCAGCATGGATCCAGACACTGGTATGTTTACTTGGTCACTATGGAAACTCTCTTTTTAAGGCAACAAAATGAAAGGTGGATTATATGACATGACTAGACACAAAGAAATCCAAAGCCTTCGCAGGAAGAAAATGAAATACATTAAGATAACCATAATCCATGAAGCTTTGGTGTAAAAGAGAGCTTAACTAGTCGAAACCTTTTATAGCATCGCATAAAGTGACAAAATGGGAAAAAAAGAGCTAATTAACTCTTCAATCACCCATTAGTAGACAGGAAAACAGGTGATTAGTGAAAATCTTTGAAACATCATCTCAGGTTTCTTTAGGCAGATTGTTCCAGAGCTGAGAAGCATAGAAACTAAATACTGCCTCGCCTTGTTTAGATTTGGTTCTTGTGAAACCTGAGCTGGTCTCTAAAGACCCGAGAGGTTTTCAATATTCATAATGTACAGGCAGCTCTGAATTGTTTGTCTGCCTCAGGCCATTAAGCATTCTTTAGACAAAAAGCAATGTTGCGTGATGTGGTCTGTTGTCCTGCTGTTGGCCAGAACTCAGGATCGTAAATGATTTTACAGAATCAATTCATTTCCATTTATTTATAAACTAAAACACATGTCATCTCAAGGCACTTTTTAAATAGAACTGATTGCATTGACTCATCGACTAGACGGCAATCCCTCACATCAAGCATGTTACCGTAGAGATTAAAACTCCCTTTAACAGAAAGAAACCTCCAGCAGAACCAGGCTCAGTGTGAGCAGCCGTCTGCCGAGGCTGACTGGGGTTCAAGGAGACAGAAGCAAACATAGAGAATGAAGCATAGATACAAAAGGCAACTGTCAACCAACTCCACAGGCTGACCCATCCAGGAAACACACAGCCAGGCAGACGAGGTCCAAGCCAGCTACCACGTCAGAGGATAAAAGAGAGCACATACAGTTAGTCAGTCAGAGAAAGAGGACTACACTGGAAAACAGGCCAAGCTCCAACATCTATTTAACAAAGGTGTTGATGGCAGCAGCACGGATGATATTTCTCTCCAGGATGGAGTCACAGCCAAACAGGAACAGACCAGATGAAGCTACTATGAGAAAAATCAGAGGGCAAGTACTGCAGAATGGGAGAATATAGATCGAATAAAGCAGAATGAAGAAAAATGGGTCCCTATTTCCTCCAGAGGTCCAAGCCTATAGCAGCACAACTATAGAGATAGCTTTATCAAAAAGGAAAGTTTTAAGCCTAGCCTTAAAATTAGACAGGGTGTCTGCCTCACGGACTAAAACTGGTAGTTTGTTCCACAGGAGAGGAGCCTGATAATTAAAAGATCTTTCTCCCATTCTACTTTTAGAAATTCTAGGAACCACTAGTAAACCTGCAGATTGAGAGCGAAGTGCTCTGTTAGGAACACTATCAGGACTCCAGTAAATGTAGCATCACTTCAATCCAACCTACTGAAAATAAGAGCATTCACCAATTTTTCTTTAGTGTCTTTGTCTTGCAGTTGTTGAAATGTTGTATCTGGTGTTTTAACTAAAGCGCTGGGAAAGTATTGTTTGTTTTGTAAAGTATTTTTTGTTTTAATATCCTTGTTTGCTCCCTGTTCTCCAAATCAGCCTTTCTTTGCTCCTTCTCCTTAGGTGAAATAAAGTCATCAGTGATTCTCGACCGTGAGATCATTCCTAACTACCGATTGATTGCTAAGGCAACTGACGGTGGAGGGCGGTGGTGTGGTGCTGAAGTTCATCTAGTGATCACAGATGTGAACGACAACCCCCCACTTTTCACGCTGTCTCAGTACTATGCCAGTGTGTACGAAGATACACCAGTGAAGGCCCTGCTGACTCGCATCCATGCCATAGATCCAGATGAAGGTGATAACAGAACTGTTGATACGTAATGTTGGTTTGCATTTAGCCCCATGATAGTCGAGAAAAAAAACAGCTTGACTGCATGCACAGCAGCTCAGCTGATCTCATTCTGCAAATTTATAAGCAATAAATCAGAGATGCTAAAAATAGAAGGAAAATCAATAGATCATGAACACACATGAAAAATGATCAGAGGTGTCAAGTAACAGAGAAGAAATGTTGACTATATATTACAACTTTTTACTTCTAGTCCTTATTCTTTTGCAATTATCTCTACTTTCTACTCCTTACGCTTTATAGACTCATTAGTTCTGTTTCATTTTAGCTAATTTTCCTTTTTGGCCTGTTAGTATCTAAAAAAATCAAAATAATTTCTTTCATCCAGACAATTAATTTATATGAGCTGCACCAAAATTCAATAGTTGTTCAAGATTAAGTTAAATTTGGCGCTGTTGCCATAAGTTAAAAAACTACGAAGTATTAGGAAGTTATAATCCAAAATTATAGAAAATGTTCCTTTAATAGGGTAAAGCAGTAAACCATCTGTCCTTAACATTTTCTTCCTGTATCACTTTCACTTTTATACTTTAAGTAGTTTTAAAAATTTTACTTTTATACCTTTACTTGAGTAAAAAGCTAAAGTGGATACTCTAAGATCTACAAAAGGGATTTTAAACATTAGTATTTCTACTTCTTCTTGAGAAATAAATATTTATACTTTGGACACCTCTGAAAATGATTATGTTTGTGCTAGGTTTTTGCAGCAAAAATTTTCGTTTGTGCCGCTATTGTTTTAAAGATATAAAGAGATGTTTCTAGAGGTCATCAAAGGTCAAGCAGCCCCCCCCCCCACCTTATTAAAATCAGACGAAATAGGTGTCAATTAACTCAGCTCCGTTTGTGCTGGTTTGTGCAACAAAAATTTTCGTTTGTGCTGCTTTGGATTTGAAGAAAGTGGGGAGGGCTGGTTGACCTTTGATGACCTCTAGAAACATCTCTTTATATCTTTAAAATGAAAGCGGCACAAATAAACATTTTTGCTCCACAAACGCAGCACAAACGTTTGACACCAATTTTGTCTATTTTTAAGAAGGTGGGGGGGCTGGTTGATCTTTTGACCTTTACATTTTCATTGATATCTTCAAAGCCAAAGCAGCACAAACGACAATTTTTGCTGCACAAACCAGCTCAAACGGAGCTGAGTTAGTTGACACCCATTTCGTCTCATTTGAAGAAATATTTCTTTATATCTTTAAAATGATAGCAGCACAAACTAAAATTTTTGCTGCACAATCGTAGCACAAACGTTTGACACTAATTTTGTCTGATTTGAAGAAGGTGGGGGGGCCAACTTTACTCAGGTGGTTCAATGTTGGTTCAGGGCCAGACTCAGCAGTATTGGTACTATTCTATGACTCTGCTCCATTCACTGTTGTTTTAGATTATAATTTATGTTTTTGGAGTCCTCTATTACAAATACATCCTAATTGGCTGGTCTGGAACCTTAATATGTCAATTATAAGGAAAGAGGTCAAATGAAAGGCTTTTTATAAGTTGAACAAATAAGAGGGAGCTTCATTTCTCTCCCCTGTGACGGCCATGATGTGTGTCTGATTAAAACTATGGAAACTGACTGATATTATGTGGTAAATGAAAGTAATCACAATCTATTTCTACATTTTTACTTGTTAAAAAAAAACTCTCTTTACAGAAGCATTAACTTCACAAACTAAATACTTCTTCTCTACAAGCAGGTCCGGGTCGCATGGTGGTCTATTCCCTGGCTGACTCTGCTGGAGGTTATTTCTCCATTGACAAGTTTACGGGCATAGTGATCCTGGAACACATCCTGGATCGGGAAGTCCAGTCGACTCATCAGATAACCGTGGTTGCATCTGATCAGGGTTTGCCGCTTCCTCTATACTCCCTGGTCAACGTCACAATCACTGTGCTGGACATCAACGACAACCCGCCTGTTTTTGAGCGCCGCGATCAGCTGGCGACCGTTCCAGAGGACCTGGGAGTTGGCACTGAGGTTCTGAGAGTGTATGCTGCCAGCAAAGACATTGGGACAAACGCAGAGATCTCCTACAGCATCAGATCAGGCAATGAGCACAGGAGATTCCACATCCACCCACTGACAGGTAAGGGAGACTGTTCTACCTGTGTGATGCATCCAATGTCTTTTTAAGTCTAAGGTAAGCACATACAGTAGTAGCAATTCAAAATTTCCCTGATTTTCTTGATGGGTCCTTGGCTGGTCCCCCACAATTCCCTTTTAAACATCTGAAATATTCTTTCTGTCATGATTTGTGGATATTAAGATCTAAAATGAAGGATCATCTCCTAGTCAGACCCTGTAATTCAGTGAAAGGGTGTATTCAAAGTAAAAAAATATGCACGCCCATGAAAAGGCCAGAGGCAGGAAGTTGGAGGGGATATTGCTGCCATTTGGCTTCCATTGGGTTGGCTTTTTTCCTGGGAAGGGCCATTTTGAATGGCTGATACTGTAGAAGTGTAAGCCCTGAGAGGCTGCGTCCTCCAAAGACCCAGTCTACCTGGAGTGGGTCCTTGAAGGTCGATGAAAATAAGAAAGCCTGAAGAGTTTGGCTGTGAATTTAAACAGGTCCAGCCTTCTCCTGCTTTCTCTGCCTATATGTATACAACCATGACAGTTGACACACGAGGCAGGCAAAGAACGAATGCCGAACGTCTCACTCTTGTTCTGGGTGTTAAATGCATTGTTGAAGACCTTTGGCAGCAGTACTGTCATCACGAATATCATATTTATAGTCCCCAAACGGTAGATATGCTGGAATCTGACCTTAAATGTCAGCAACACCCATTTACACAGGGAAAGATAAAACCTTTCAATAAACCAAACATTATATTTGACTTAATAACCATTTAAAACAACTATTTTCAGCAATTTCAGACACAACTGTTCTTCCAGTATTCACCACTGTTCAGCTTCCAGTTTCTTGTGTTTTCATGCTGGTTTTAAATCACAAACTAAATATTCAGGATGTAGAATACAATTGAACAATTCTGGCTGTGTACCTCATGCAACTCTAAAGATATCCAGTATTAACTTTTTTTGCCAGAGGTAAAGCTCTCCCTCGTTGTTTGTGTTCATGAGAATAAGGTCCAAGGGGCTCTAAGCTGAAGCACTGCAGCTTTTCTCTGCTTCCCCAGAGAAAAAAAAACACTCGATTCAGCAAGGTTCCTTGCTGGCCACACCCATGATTCCTGAAATAACACCCTGACAGCCCATTGCTACACTACAGCTGCCATCTGTCACAAAGTCTTTAAACTCTAAGCAAGCACAGCAACTTAATCAGCAGCAACCAGCAAAAATTATTGCATCACAGTTTTCCTGGCAGCAGGTTAGTTACTGTGCAGGAGAAATATCCTCAGAAGCATCAGGCATTAGCAGTGATCGGTAATCAGATTGGTAATCATCAGTGTCCCCAAGAGGCCAGGAGGCCCACATAGGCTGGCAGGGAGCACCGGGCCACAAGCCAGCGGTCCCTTTGAACCTAAACAGGTACTTTGAATTGAAAGTATTTTTGCATTGCGACTCAGAAATAATATCGAGTTTTTGTTATTGTAGATCTTTTTCTAACTTTTACAATGAATTCAGTTCAGTTTATTTTTATTGCGGCAAGTCACAACATGTCATCTCACGGCACTTTACAGTTCAACAGATCATACAGTCAAATTGATTCAGTTTTCTGAATCAAAGCAGTTGATTGTATCGACTCATTGACTCGAAGGCAATCCCTCACACTAAGCATGCTTGTAGCGACAGGGAGTAAAACTCCCTTTTAACAGAAAGAAACCTCAAGCAGAACCAGGCTCAGTGGAAGGTTTTTCAATTCAAAATGTCAGAAATAGCGTTGAGTTCGAGATTTTATACAGTAGCCAAACACAGCCTTGTTATTGTTTAGAAAACAAGCAAACTGAAATAGATGATGAGGTCCACCCCTTTGGAATGGTGGTTGTTTGGCTTCTTTTGTTAGCCTGCAATGCCCCATACCTGTCTATGTCCAGCTTCTCTTGGTTGAATATGTTTGGTAGCTAAGTGCTTTTAATGCAGCTAGTTTTACAAATCTACATTTTTGACTTTATCAACGGATAAACAACAGGCTGATTTCAATGTCTTGATTTCTTAACTTGTCTATTTCTACTCTCAGAAGTGTCTTTCTTTCCACCACCTCCTTCTTCTTCAGGTGCCATTTTAATTGCCCAGCCTTTGGACTATGAGACCTGCAGGGACTATTTCCTAACAGTGGAGGCTCGTGACGGCGGCACTCCACCTCTGAGCGCCATTACTACTCTCAACATAAACCTAACGGATGTCAACGATAACGCTCCAGTGTTCAGCCATGACCTTTATACTGCTGTTTTGCCAGAAGATTCAACAATCGGACAGTTTGTAGTTCAGGTAAATTCAAAACATGCATCAGATTATTACTACATGGAAGGTAGACCCTGGTAGAAGATGCCATACTGGGACAGTTGCTGGTTCGTTCGTAACCTAATAGTCAACTGGACTCACAGTTACAGGTGCAAATAATTATTGTTTTGCTAATCAATTAATATGTTGATTGTTTTTTCGATTACATGATTAATAATCGGAAAGGTTCGTTAAAGAAGATTAACAGTTTCAAACCTGGTGAAACTAAAACATTTCTACTAGTTCTGGATAGAGCAGATTGACAGATGAAAAAAATGTTTTATGTTAAATAATGTAGGGTTTGTGTTAGTATGTTTTTAATAAGATTATTGTCGTTGCATGGAAATACATATTTCGCATCATCAATCTATCACTCTCTGACTTGCAGGGAAATTCTAAACCTCGTGAAAGGAGTTAGACAAATATGTCAAAAGAATTGATTTATACTCACAGTTTGACACATTTATTTTCTATTAAAAAATTTGTAAATAAGCTGTTTAGAGAATCGAACGTGTGAACTTCTCCATGCACAGTTCAAAGCTGCAATCTAAAGTCAAGGCTAAGCTTAGCTTCCTCTACAGAAACCGCTCTTACTTCACCACTTCTGCAAAACTTACTCTTATCCAAATGACCACTCTACCCATTTTAGACTAAGGAGACACTATATATAGGGTTGCTTGCAAGTCCAATCTATCAAGACTTGACAGTCTTTAACATTCTGCCATCAGGTTTGCCATAAATGCTCGTTTCAATACACACCACTCTGTATTCGCTGTCAACTGGTCCTCCCTTCACAATCAATGCAAAATTCACTGGTTAATCTTCCTTTACAAGACCCTTCTGGGCCGCTCACCACCTTATTTAGGTCACCTGCTGCAGCCAAAGCTGTCACTTACAACAATCGCTCCTCACTTCATCTACAATTACTTATTCCTAAAACCAACAACCCATCGACCAATCTGCTTCCGCTCGTGACTGGAACGATCTGCTAAATATTCTTAAACTGGATAGACTAATTTCAGTTTCATCCTTCAAAACAATTATATCATCCTTGTTCACAGACACTTGCAGCTGCTTCTTTACAGTCATTTTTACCAGGTTATCACACCAGTATATTTATATGAATGCCAAAATCAAAAAACATTATTAAAACACTTTAAAAAACAAAAAAAACATTATTTCATGCATGGGTTTTTACTTTTTGTTAGGTTTAAACACCAAACACCTTATTCAGCAACCTGCACAAAGAATGACACAGAGAATTTAGTATATTTTACTTGCAAGGAGAGGGGATCAGAAACTGCATTCAGTTACAACTTCAAACCCACTCTGAAGCAGTATCTGCTCTCCAAGCCCTTTATTGAAGAAACGCCCTGATTACAATGTGGTTTCAACCGCTAAAGGGGGAGGGAACAGAACCCAGTTGAAACCAGAATTTTCGTACAACATCATACAACATCATACAACATCATAGGATAAGGAGAACCCCTCTCCTTATCTAGTTGCACAGTTCTCCATTCTCCTCCACACCCTTAACGACATCTGTTAACAGCAGTCGCAGTCAACATCCCTCCTGCACAGACTTAAAAAACATTAATGACACAGCAAACAAAACTAAATGTTTTAACACTCTTTGTAATATGAGTAAGATAGAGATAACAAAATGTGTAAGTATAATATGATTAAAGTAATATGATTAAAGTAGAATAACTTATGTACAATTAATTAACCCAACATTTCCCTCCTGTTTATTCACTTTAAGCTATTTATTTTTATCATTCAATAGTTACTTCTTTTCAGATTTTCAACTAAGAAATCATTCTTTTTTCTTTTTTTAGCTGTAAAGGGTACACTCAGAGGTACTTTAAACTGGTGGGTTATTGTCGTTGGGATTAGGATAAAAGTCAGGAAAGTGTAAAGAGAATTCATCCTCTTCGCTGTCTTCATCATCCGATAGGTGTTCCTCAGTGGACATAAGGGCATACATTTCTGTTTTCATGGGTTGTATTGCAGTGGTAATTAGTCTATTTAGCAGCGCTCTAATACATGGAATACAACAACATCCACATAAGGTCAGGATGGCGGCAAATATAGCTACAGACATCAAAATAGAAAGTACCAGTTGTTTGTATTTACCAAAAATGTCTCCAGATCCATCCCACATTTTTGTGTCAACTCCAGAATGGTCTTTCATTTTGCTGTTAAGAGAGCGAAGGCCTTCAAGGGCCTTTGTGAGGCTGCCATCTGCAGCAGTGTTGTTGGGAATAAAGGTGCAACACTGATCTCCAAAAATAGAGCACACACCACCTTTTTCAGCTAACAACATGTCAACAGCAATACGGTTCTGGAAAGCCATCAGAGAGGTAGCTGACAATTGTTCATGGACGGCGGAGAAGCCTTGTTCTGTTTTATTTCCCAGCCTCTGGACGTTATAATGGATGTAGTTGATCCTGTCTACATTTTTATTTATAGTACACCACCAGCATAAGAAAGATTCAAATCCTGCAGAAACTTGATTCACTAGTTTATACTCATCTGGAACACCTCTGGGTACTCCAATACTGTCAATATAAGTAGGGTCATCTGGACTCCACGCATTTTCAGATGCCCTCCTTCTTCTAGTATGCCATGTGTGAGGAAAAATACTGTTTACAGTCGTTAACAATTCATCCATTGTGAGTGAAGTAATAGAAACAGGTAAAATCAAGGTGACTGCAGCACACAATCCAGTGGTGTTGCATGGAAGTCTGTCAAACAATTTGTCATCTCCACACCACCACCAGATGTCACTGCGGGATTGAGGTTTTAAAAAGGTGGATACCAGTAAAATACTTGCACATTGTTTTTCATTTAGTGTACCCAATTTTGGGCCCACTCCGGTCCTGTTTACACAGGTGAAATTTGCCACAGCCACTTTCTTCAAAAAGATTGGTTTTTTCTTCTCATCTGTGGTCAGGGGATAGATCTTATCCCAATAGGTGCAATTATCAGTTGGAACTGTATAATTCATTATATTTAGAAGACATTGAGGAGTTATGGTGGCAGGAACCACACGTAACAGCGGTCTGGCTCCCATACACACAAGACAATCATTAGACACTGTTTTAGCTGCTTGTTCTGCCATTAAAAGCCAGTTGTTTGTTTGCCCAGAGATTCCAGTGGTGACTTGAAACAATTCATCCGGTTTAAGCGGGTCATTAATATTTTGAATTTTTATCTGTTCACCTTGGGCAGAAGTAAGAATCCCTTGTATCTCATTTTCTTCTTGTGTAACATTTGCAGAGCACAGATACAATGTCCAACACGGATCGGTTTCACTAGACCGTGCACATATAAATGAGGAAGAACAGCCTTCCTTCTCAAGGGGTTCTGCTGTGGAGTTTATTGTCATAGTGAAAACTTTGGAGGCATGGTTAACAGTGAACCCTGATATTCTACTCATCCATTTCTTAGCTAAAGATGTCCATCCATATGATCCTTTTTTCCACTGTCCAGTGGTTCTGAAAACGTCTCCCCAACTCTTTTGAGTTCTTTGAACTACACGGGGATATAGGTAGAAATCATAACCTCGCCAATCTCCCGGGTCAATTTTAAATCTTTGCGAGAATGTTTGAAAAGGAATAGTCACTACACTGATTACTCTAGTAGAGTTATAGCAGAGATAGACGTCCCTTTTACAAATAGCTGGCTCATGGGGGCAACAAGAATCCTTGCACTGAGTGAGAGCTAAAAACAAAACTAATATGAAAAGTTGCAACATCATCTAGGTTCAAACTTCAAAAAGTTTCCTATGGGTAATCTTTTACACAGTGGTCTACTTCCTATGACCTCTCGGCAGAGTTGTTGAACCTTCACCAGTTTGAGATGGTTGTATGCTAAAAAATACAACCCCCTTTGTACGATGGACTTCCTCTGAAGGTCGGTGAAGGAGACCAAATGCGTATTCTATAACAGGTACCACAGTAGAATTACTAGAGTGCTAAGCAGTACGGTAAGGTTCCACAGAATAATTAAGAAAGTGATTTTACACATTACTCATCTGATCTATCTATCACTTTCTTGCAGTGTGACAAGTGGATCCATGTGCTTCTTTCAGCTATTTTTAATGCAGTTGGAGTGGTCAACAAAACCTGATAGGGTCCTTCCCACTTAGGTGAATACCAATGTTTCCTCTTTATGCTCTTTATGAGGACCCAATCACCTGGTTCAACTAATTGGTTTTCCTGTGGAGACACAGAGGGTGGGACACTGTCAGTTTGGTTCAGCTGTTGCTTTTGTTGCTCCAGCATCTTTCTCATGTAGTCTGCTAGAGTACTTTCATCATCTGTTTCCCAGCTATTATTAAAATAGGGAAGTCTATATGGTCTGCCAAATATTGTTTCATAAGGGGTCAACCCGGTCGTACTTGTAATATTTATGTGTAGTTTAACTAAATCCAAACATTGAGTCCATGATCTTCCCGTTTCTTCCATACATTTCCTAAGTCGGTTTTTAACGAATCCGTTCGTTCTTTCCACAAGGCCTGCGCTTTGTGGATGATAAGCACAGTGGTTTTTCAAGTCTATGTGAAAGGCTTGTCCTATTTTGGTTATTATCTGATTTACAAAATGTGTGCCATTATCACTATAAATTTTCTCTGGAATCCCATAACGGGGAATTATGTCTTTGCATAATGCTTTTGCGACTGTTAGTGCATCTGGATGTTTTGTAGGAAACAGTTCTACCCATTTAGAAAACGAGTCAACTATTACTAAACAGAACTTTTTACCTTCACTAGGGCTTAGTTCTATAAAATCCATATGTATATGTTGAAAGGGGTAGTTTGGCTTTGGGAATTGTCCTCTTTTAGGCCTTAGGTTCCCCTGAGCATTGTGCTTTGCACATATTAAGCATGCTCTACAAAAATTTTTTGAATAAGCATTAAAACCATAGGTCGTATATGTTTGGTTTACCAATCCTACCATCCCTCCGGTTGACACATGGGTTTTACCATGGGTCAATATAGCTGCCCATTTGTATAAGTTTTTTGGAAGGATTGGTTTATTTTCTGGTCAGGTGTAAATCCCCTCCTTTAATCGTGCTCCTTTGCTTTTCCATTGTTCTTGTTCCTGTTTAGGAGCTTGCTGCTGCATGTCTTGTAAGATGTCGTCTTTTAGTGAATTGTCTGTTAATGTTAATACTGTTATTTCTTTTAAAGCAGCTTCTTTTGCTATTTTATCTGCAAAGGAATTCCCTTTTGAAACAGCATCTTTTCCCGATGTGTGGGCCGCACATTTGCATATTGCCAGCTGCTTTGGCAGCTGTACTGCTTGTAAAAGTTCTTTCAGTAAATTGGCATGGGTCACTAGTTTCCCGGTTGATGTTATCATGCCTCTGTTTTTCCAATGTTGTGCAAAGGTATGTGTTGTAGCATAAGCATATTGACTATCTGTCCAGATAGTTACTATTTTGTCTTTCATCAATTTGCATGCTTCAGTAAGAGCAATCAGTTCTGCTGCTTGTGCAGAGTAATGTTGTGGTAAAGCTTCCGCTTTTAGCACAGCGGTATGTGTCACTACAGCATAACCAGTTCTTGTTTTCCCTTTTTCATCTTTTCTTTGTCTCTCCTCTCTCTCTCTTTTAGCTCTGCGCTCTCCCTCTTCTCTCTGTCCTGCTAATTTCATCCAACCCATGGTTTGCATGTAACCTTCTTTTGCCATCAAAGTGTCTTTATTTTTGCTTTTTGTTTTTATTTTTTGCTGCAATTCCTTTATGTTTGTGGTGCTCAATTTACCATTAAAACCGTAGTTTTTTATCCAGTAACACAACGGCTCTACCGCCCATGGGTCATCATTTTCAACTGCTTTCCAGTCTTTACACTGGAGTTCCTCCAATAACTTCTGTTTTTCTTTACTTTGCCCCTTTCCCATTTTGAACTAAATTTGGGCCCAGTGGGTTTTCAACACCTGTCGTGTTCTAAACACTGGGGCTTCAGACAAGATGGTGATCAACGACTTTTTGTGGTAAAACTCACTTCAACCCTTACAGGTGGAGTTTTCTTGTCTACAAACATCCACAAAAGCTCACCATTTAACCCTTGTCTTTTTGGTATGAAATACAGATATCTAGTGATATCTATATTTCCTTACACACGCACACACACACACACACACACTCACTGCGCAGTTAACTTTTACTTTATTTCTGTTTACTTATTTTAAACACAGAGGACGCCGCTATCCTATGCAGAATTTAACTAGTTTACAACTCGGGGAGCCTGCCCTTACAAACTAGGGGAGCCTGCCCTCCCGCGGACTTTAACTGTTTTAAAATTTCTATTTTACCTGATAGAGTCTAGAATTGTCAGGGTTTTAGTACAAAAGGGGGACCTCGTTACCCCATGCGGAATTTAACTATTTAAGATAGAGGACACCGCCGTCCTTCACGAGGTTTAAACTGTTTGCAAAGGGGAATCTCGTGACCCCACGCTGAGAGGACTTCAAAAGGGGAATCTCGTGACCCCACGCCCTTCACTTCGATCTTTTTTTCTTTTTTTTTATATTATTATATTTTTATAAATTTTTTATATTTTATATATTTTTCTTCCAATAATTCACTCACTCCTTATTAAAAGAAAAACTACTCACAATTCTCTGCGTCCTCGAAATGCTTCAACCGTCGGACCCCAGCTTGTAAGGGAGAGACCAGTCCCGTAAAGGGTCTCTTTGCTGCGGCCGCAGGCTTATCTGGATCTCACTCACCTGCTGGGGGTCGTCGGGTATCTTGCAATCCGGCTCGAAGGACCAATTAATGTTAGGTTTAAACACCAAACACCTTATTCAGCAACCTGCACAAAGAATGACACAGAGAATTTAGTATATTTTACTTGCAAGGAGAGGGGATCAGAAACTGCATTCAGTTACAACTTCAAACCCACTCTGAAGCAGTATCTGCTCTCCAAGCCCTTTATTGAAGAAACGCCCTGATTACAATGTGGTTTCAACCGCTAAAGGGGGAGGGAACAGAACCCAGTTGAAACCAGAATTTTCGTACAACATCATACAACATCATACAACATCATAGGATAAGGAGAACCCCTCTCCTTATCTAGTTGCACAGTTCTCCATTCTCCTCCACACCCTTAACGACATCTGTTAACAGCAGTCGCAGTCAACATCCCTCCTGCACAGACTTAAAAAACATTAATGACACAGCAAACAAAACTAAATGTTTTAACACTCTTTGTAATATGAGTAAGATAGAGATAACAAAATGTGTAAGTATAATATGATTAAAGTAATATGATTAAAGTAGAATAACTTATGTACAATTAATTAACCCAACACTTTTTGTACATAAATCTTGCCCTTCTGAGGCTTTGTGAAGGCAAATCTGGGTTTTGAATGGTCCAATATGGTGTCACAAACCTAAAACATGTTTTTTACCAGTTTAATAATGGAGAAGCTATTAGTCAGCTTTATATTTTCTTAATATATAAAAACTATTTATTTTCTAAGTATGTGTTTATTTAGGAGCAACTATGCAAATTAACAAACACCTAGAAGAAGTAGACTATTCTATTATTTTCCATGTGAATCCCAGATTGTTCATTCTTCTTTTCCTTTTATAAAAAGTGCTTTATATCAGTCCTACCTGTCTTTATCCATGCTGGGTCAGATCCTGACTTTTGAAAAAGGATGCAGGGACAGCAGAACACAGCATTAGCCTCACTGCATGCAGTTAGCCAAGCCTTATAGTCAAACCAGGTCCTGGAACGAGACAGAGTGTACCGTCTCCATCTGTCTTTGGACTGCTGATTAGTTTTAATGTTCAGCTGATCAGGTCCAAACGGTTTCACCTGCAGCTTTTCCTTGCTTTAAGGAATTTCATTAACGCAACTCAAACTGTAAATCAGCTGCACTACGACTGTGACACATACGGCTCTTCTGCTCTCCTGTCCCTCTGTGTTGCAGTGGAGGTGCTGCGAATGTACAACTTTTAACGAGAGTCTATGGCGAAAGATTTTTACATCCCAGGACGGAAATACGTCACCAATCCGACGAAAAACAAAACAGCTTTACTCATCATTAAAGATTAGATATTTATCTTGCACATCTAACAATAAATGTATTGAGTTCGAATTATTTTTATTTTACAATTTATTTTTGTCTTAATCAAGGTCATTGGGTGAGTGGGCGGCGCCCTAGCGCCCTATATTGACCCGCCTGGTAACATTTTGTCACCTAAAGGCATGTGGAGGGCTGCATCCTAGAATCCTGGTTAGATCAGTATGCTGACCTTATACTGTAGGCCCGAGCCAACGACTTCCCCCTTTCTGAAGAACTTTGGATGTGAGCCAAAGAACTGCGGTTTTATAATGAACGACTTTTGATCCCACAGAGAAACTTCCACGCCACAAGAGGGGCGTCACCAATGGCGTAACGACCCAAAAATAGGCCAGTAAGCAACATATGGCCCCATATGAAGTACAATACCCCCATCCCCTACATGCCCCCCCATCGCTAACACATTATACGTAACGGTTATGGTTTTAATCTACGCTCTGGGTTACCCATAATTCCAAGTGGTATTGTAAAAAATAAAATACTCAAATACATTGTTCTTTTAAGATCTTTATTGCAGTTTGAAACATATTATATGAGTGTATTTTTTTACCAACTGTCTAATAAACAGTTATTAACATAGTAATTTAAAGTACCACTGTATGCTTTACTATTGGTGTCGTGTTTTAATGGCTCACCATCATGTTGAAATCTGCCATGTGTTGCGGTATAAATAAAGTACGGTCAGTCAACCATGTATCAGGTGGGTTAAAGAGAAGTCCTAGTCTACATTTGCATAGGGGGCCAGATTTTCAGATGTCAGTGACGGGGCCCCTAAGAGGTTGGGGGCCCGTAAGCAACTGCAGTCTCTGCTTACCGATAGTTGGGCGTCACCTTAAACTTGTCTTTGTGCTGTTCATGTCCCAGTCAGATCAAGTCTTTCACTAAAAATGTCAAATGATAAGTAATGAAACTGCGGCGCTGATAAATATTGATACTCATATGACATCTCTGACATCGCACTTTAAAACTGACGTCAAAGTTTTTTCAAATTTTACTAAAAAGGTGGTTTATGTTTCTTTCATGACTGATGTATGTATATTACATAGAGCTCACTCATTTATAGAAATAATTTTACAATAATTGAGTACAGTATTTCATTTTCTTTTCTCATTCAATTAGTAGCATATTATATTTTGTGGTTCTTAGTTTCCATTAATTTATTTCTTTTTTATGTGCAGCTTATAGCAGAAGATGCTGATAGTGGTCTGAATGGAGGCATCCTCTACTCCATTTTCAGCGGAGACCAGGACAACGACTTCTTCATTGACCCTTTTAGCGGGATCATAAAGGTCAACAAACCGCTGGACCGCGAGACAGTAAGGAGACATACGTCTTATAATCCTCTCCTGTTTAAAAAACATTCCCTCATTTGATTCTGTTCTCTTGGGTAGAGATTTACCGATCCATTTTTCATCTGATCAAGTCCGATGGATCATGAAATCATCACTGTTGCAATCATAAGAAGTCACTAAATTGCTATATATCTATTTCTTTGTACCATATCAGTAAAAATAGGAGTGCCTAGATCGGATTTCCGGCATTATTTATCTGATCCAGCTTCCTTCTTAAGATAAGTTTTCTCTGCAGTTATTGGCTTCTTGGTGACTATTAAAGGAAAAGTCTGGTCAGCAAGGAATAATCAATGGATCATTATTTACACCTAAAACTAATATTTTTGCAGTGATTTAATGAATTTGTCGTTAATCAGTAATAAAATAAAAACAACAATGTTTCCTGCAATCAGTGAGTCTGGGAGCGGCCATTTTTGCCCAAATATAGTAACCCCTCCCTCCTGGCATCTTCCAGCAGTGACGTCACGGTGCGGCAAGCCTAGCGCCATTCTCCCTTCTTTACAAGCAAAATCAATGGGAACTACTAGACACATCTGCAATCAACAACAATTATTGAAGATTTCCAGAGGACTTCACCATTGAAATTCACCAGAGCTATAGTGAAACTGACAATGCCCACGTGCATGGCAGCTGGATGCTGGAATACATCGAGTAAAAGTGAAAAAAAATGAGTTATTTCACCTTTCTGATTCCTGATCCTCCAAGGACGGGTTGGTCGTTGGATCGCCAACTAGAAGAGGGAGGATTTGCCATCGAACTTTCGGCCAGAGAAAAAACCCGTAATATGTAGCCAACATTTGGAAGAAGAATATTTTCAAGATGACTTGGATAATAGCGCGTTGTGACAAACACCAGATACAGCACTGGGACTTGATCAACAGCCGATACCGCACCGTGACGTCACCAACCAGTAGGTGGCAGTAGTGTTCTTTGACAAACATGGATGCCTCCAGTGAAGTACATTCAAATGAAATTACTCTTAATAAAAAATACTTATCAGTTATTGAACAGTATGTAATAATTTCATATTTAAAGTACTTTCAGAAGTTTGAATTCTGAATATGACCAGACTTCTCCTTTAAAGGGCATGGTTGGAGACTGGTAAACAGTTGAAAACACTTGTACCACCAGAGATGATGAATAATTAATTCAGCTACATCTCTATAAGAAATGTGATTTTAAACCTTGTGCAACATGATGCAGAAAATACCTTTTTTTTGTCTTCAGCCTGCACCGTTGATTCTATTCTCCAAAAAGACCAGAGCGTATTTAGAGAGTACGTAGCAGAACAATTAGAATGATGTCTGTTTATATGAGTCAGATCTATTTGCCCTGTACCCTGAAGTTATATTTGAGGTAAATGTGCACACTAAGCACCATAAAAGTGACTTGAAATAACTGCTGACCATTCAGGTCGACCAAATTCCTATACAAAGCAGTTAAACCTGTGAAGTAATGAAAAAAGCTACCTGTCAAACTAAGACACTTAGTGACTGTCACTCTGTCCTAGCTGTTGATCTTTGCTTTTTTTTAACCTACATTTAGGTACATTCTGACTTCCCTTTATGAGGCCACTTTAGGGAAATGTGTTTGTAGCTAGTAATAGTGGCGGCAATCACATATTGAGAGGTGTCAAAAGTATTAATGTTTATTAGGAATAGAACTCCTACTGTTTAAAAAGACTTTTGTAGAAGTTAGAGGTTAAACTTAAGCTTTTTACTCAAGTAGAAGTGTAAAAGTAGAATTTGTAAAACGAATTAAAGTATAAAGTAAAAGTAATGCAGGAGAAAATGTTAAGGACAGAAGCTTTACTGCACTACTCTAATAAAGGAACATTTTTCTACAATTCTGGATGATAACTTCCTTAGCCTTCATTTCCTTAGTTTTATCACTAATGGTAAAAGTGTCAAATTTAGCTTTTAATCATCTTAAAAGACAATTTACTTTGGTATGTAGTGAACAACAAGTTGGGGCAGCACCGAGGCCAACCACAAAAAAACATTTGTCTGGATGAAACAAAATATTTCGATTTTTTTTTTTTATACCAACAGTCCATTACGAAAATTAGCCTAAATAAAACAAAACTAACACGTTTAGTTTTTTTAATGTAAGGAGTAGAAGTTAAAAGTTGTCTAAAAAACAATTACCCCAGCTAAGTATAGATAGCCAACATTTCTACTTAAGTAAGGTAACAAAGTATTTTAAAGTATTTTTGCTTTGTTACTTGAAACCTCTGCATATTCACACAGGGAGGTGCTAGCTCCCCAACTTTAAACTGGTTCCTATGCTGCTTTACAGAGGGAAGGATTTTATTATCAATAAAGCACCACAACAACCATGTTGATTATGGCACATATCACTATGCTCTGTCTCAAAGTCCCAACTCTCTTTTGTCTTCATAGCTCCATTGCTGACACTGAATCAATACGTTTGCGATGCACTCTGTCCTTGTAGGTTCCCAGCTACTCACTTGTTGTTAGAGCACTCGATACGGGAAGCCCACCAATGTCATCCACTGCCATGGTCAGCATAAAGGTGTCTGACATCAACGACAATCCACCCACCTTCTTCCCAGCAAACCTTACTGCTGTCATACAGGTAAACATGGCTCTAACATTTCAAGTCCAACTGAAGATTGTGATAATAAGCCCAAGAAAATCAGATTTGTTCATAGTAATCTAAGTTGTGTGCTGTTTAATGAGAGTGCAGTTAACAACTCTGACTGCCAGGCGAAGAAGGCTCAATCTATAAACCTTAGCCAGGCTCTTTCTCTCTCTGGAGGCTTTGCACATGTTCTTTCTGTCTCCACCAGACCAACTCTAGATTCTCATTCTTGTCTATGTGTATTCCCACAATCCTCTGGGGCACTGCAGGGTGATGGATGGTCCTTCTCCATCATCAAACAGAGATACAGAACGGGCTTATGTTTCACAAATGATGCAGAAGATAAAGCATCTCTAAAGACCCAATTGGAATAGACAAGAAGTCAAACATGACAAAAGTAAACATATCAGATGTATTTAAAAGAGACATTTAACCCCAGAAGTTAACCAGAACAGGTCAGACCAGGTTGCAATAAGTCAGGTAGTCTCTTGAGTTATTTGACACTATGGACGAGGAAAACCAGAAGTTTACTGTGACACTTTTTGGTGTTTTTATCTTTTATATTGAATGCTGTGCAGCTAAAATTATTTTGCCCATATATTTTATTTTTGGACATCTTTTATAAAGCTTAACCATAACAACTATAACAAGTTGTTTTTTACCCCTGGGAGAGGCTCATTCAAATTTTCAAAGCTTAAATAATTACTTCCCAAAGTCCTAGTTGAATTGAAAAGGGGGTGCCAAAGTTAAATCAGAGTAGAATCAGAACATGTTACTGTGAAGTTTGTTTTTTTCTCTGCAACCTAGATATTAAACTGCTGGCATCTAATAACCATCCATATAATTTACCCAGAAAGTTTGCCAGTGTTGTTTTGGCAGCTGTTTACATTCCACCCTCTGCTGTAGCAACACTGACACCCAAATGCATTTGAGGCAATGTGATTTAAATCACACCTCACTCTTTGATACATTTCAACAGTTTTTCTGTTGCCATAACAGAGAAACCAGAACTTCTTACCGTTTTATGCAAATGCTAAAATAAGACCTTTCCTTTGGGAAGTCAGATCACTGTGCTTTATTTCTTAGCTAAGGAGAAGCCTATTATAAGCCCCATTATAAGAGGAAACCTGCACTGAAGAGAACTGTAAGAAGGATCAGGCAAACAGAACACTAGTAGTAACGCTAGAAAACGTCTATACCAAAGATTAAAGAAATATTCTGGCCCTGATGGCTGGAGACATGCAACATAAATATGGGCAGGAAGAGATGGATCAGCTGAGCAGTGATGAGAAACAGGGCAGAGCTAGACAGGTGAATGAAATGAGCAATGAAGCCAACCATCCGCACCAAAATCATGACAACTTAAGCTCAAGATAGCAAGCAAGGAGGCGTGCAGGAAGAAGCTCGACAACAAGCTCCAGCAGATCCAGTTTTGTATAAAGTACTGAAATCTCGGAGTCAAGTAAAAGTAAAAGTACCTCTCCAAGATATGACTTTGGTAAAAGTCCAAGTCACTGACTTAAATGTTACTTGAGTAAAAGCCTTAAAGTGTCTGAAATGGCTTGTACTTAAGTATAAGAGTTACTGTAAAAATAGATGTACTCAAGTAATGTAGTGAAAAGTATAAGTAAAAAGTAAGTCCAGTTTGAATGACATTTTTTTTTACATTTTGGTCAACTTTGAATGTTAAATTCACTTAAAACACTATACATAACCAAGTGTAGGATAAATTTAGACTGGCTTTGCGAAAAAGACGTATTCTATTGGTGTTGATGTAAAGGCCCAGGCAAGACCCGACTTTGTAGTCAGTAGGTGGGGTCAAAACACTTGCGTTTCTCTCGCTCTCTCGCTCATTTTTTTTATTTTTCTAAGTAACTAAACCAAACATTGAAAATGTATCGGAGTAAAAGTATGCAATTACGTTCGTAAATGTAGTGAAGTAAAAGTGAAAGTTCTCAAAAAAATGTATACTCTTGGAAAGTATAAAGTACTCCAAAATATACTTAAGTACAGTAGTGAAGTATTTTTACATTGTTACTATACAACACTGAGCAGAAGAATATTAAAGATAAGTGGGCCGGGATGGAGTAGATAACATGCTTCAAGCAGAGAGAGGATAAGACAGATGGAAGCCTGGAAACAGCCAATGAAGTGAATCCATTGTTCAATAGGTTTCAGTTCTGGAACAAACTCTGCATCCTTCTCTACTGTCTACAGTCAAACGTGTGTCCCACAGACCTATCAAGGGGATTCCTGAGGGTCCTGATTTTTTTAACACTCACTCTATGTGAAAGTGTCTTTTTTAATATTATTTTCTTAACTCCTTCTTAATTTTTTCCCTCTGCTCCAGGAAAATAAGCCCATTGGCACCAGAATTCTGCAGCTGTCAGTCATCGACCAGGACTCCACTCACAACGGCCCGCCTTTCTCCTTCAGCATCCTGTCTGGAAATGATGGCAGGGAGTTTAGGTTGGACTCAGATGGCACATTGGTGGCAAATCAAGTCTTCAGAAGGGACATAGCAATGGATTATGTTCTTCAGATCCAGGTAGAGTTTAATGCTGCTCTTTTTGTGTCCCAAGGTGAAAAAGATCTAGTTAAGTTCCATGATTGTATTTTCACATCATAAAGAAGAGAGAAAAGATTGAAATAACCATTATTTGGTAAAAGGAAGAGGAGGACACAGCGACCTCTGCTGCTGTTAATTTAAAGATTGATATGACCTTTGGTGGAGATTAAATGTAAACATTTTCTGTCAAAGTTCCTGTTTAACCATTAAAATTATTCGGTTCCTAAAAATAAAAGGCAGAATATCAGGAGCACCAACAAACCACCAGAGTCCAGACATTGAGTCAGTTTTCAAATTTCTTTTGGGCTCTGAGGTAACAATAAGAATACAGGAGAAACCTAAAGGCAAGCCCGTAAAAGGCAAGTGTTACAGCGGGAGCTAATTGATATGTAGCCTAATACATTTGTCTTCAGTTGTTTATAAACATGAAAATATATTTGTATTATGTAAAAATTAGGATGTATAAAATGACTTCATTAATTTATGAGAATTATTTGCAACACTGTCCGCCAAAAGCAGAGAGGTTCCACAGATTCAAAATGTTGCTCTAGCTGCTCAGAAAAATGAAAAAAAGTAATAAGATCAAAGTTAATAAGATTATTGTTTCTGAATCAGGTAAATTCCCGCCTGCATCACTCAGAGCAAACCTGTATGATCTGCGGTGAACAGGTGCATTATAGCATGGATGCAAGTCGGATAGCAGGGCACCTGTAGCTCTTTGATGCCCCAGATAATTTGCCAAACATTAATGTTTTATTCAACCCATTCATCCAAATGCAGCCTGTTATATATTGATTTTTTAAAACTGGGATTGAAGAGTAGAACGTCTGCCGAAACAGGTGCTTTTTCTTAACTAAAGCCAACTTGCACATCCAACAGGCTTAGATAATTTGTGATCGCTCTCATGAAGACAAAATGCTGTAAATGTCCATAACAAAATAAACATTAAGAAAATCTATTCCCTATTCATTTGTTATTTTATATATTTAATTAAGTATGGCAAGGAAAAATATAAAGGAATTCGTCTACATTTTTCTTTGTTATGTAATGTAATGAATTTTGGGGGAAAAAAACAATGTTTATCCTATTTGACTTATTAGTTTTACATTGAAAGAAGGCTGATACACAGACTCAAAGCGGTACAAAAAAATTATGTCAATCTAATTGATTACCATGTAATGTTGGATTTTTTTTTTTCATGCACTGCACAGATTTTCTTGTGCACTGACAATGTGGGAACATTGCACGATTGCACAATCGTGCAGCTTAGAGGGAACATTGCACATTATTCTACTGTATGGTTTGTAAGTTAGGAGAATTGACAAAAGTGATTTACACTACATTCAGTCATTCACCCATTCATGTACGCCTTTTCTGGCTTTTAAGGGCCAGGGAAATGGCCTCGACAGGTCAGCCTTGAGTTTGATAGAATTCAATTGAATTCAGTTTATTAATATCGCTCTAGTTCACAACACACGTCATCTCAAGGCACTTTACAGTTCACCAGATCATCCAGTCAAAATCACTCAAAGTCATATAGCTCTAGAGCAATAAACAATCCTATCAGAAACTAGACTTCAAAATGTAAGGAGAATAAAAAACAAAATTTAAAATCTCCTGACAATGCAAAATGTAATATGGCTTATTTATAAAGACTCTGTCAATCTCTGAAATATTTGTTTATCTCATTTTTTAAGTTTATTTATTTGTTCTGTTTGGCTTCCTTTGTGTCCTCCCCTGCTTCAGGTGTCGGATTCTGGCAAACCTTCATTGTCCTCCTGCTCTAATCTCACTGTTCGAGTGATTGAGGAGAGTCTTCATCGGCCAGTAGCCTTACCAATGGAAATTCATATAATCACAATGGAGGATGAATTTCCAGGTGGTGTAATCGGGCAGCTCCATGCCACAGATGCCGACCCTTATGATGCACTGACCTTTGGACACGCAGCCCCCTCCCAGCGCAGTCTGTTCAAGATCAGCCCCCACGATGGGAAGATCATTGCCCTCAGTGGGTTGGATGCAGGTGAATACTTCCTCAATGCCAGCGTTAGCGATGGCCGCTTTAACGTGCCTGTTCCTGTGAGCGTGCATGTAGAGCAAGCATCCCCTGATATGCTTCGTGACGCTGTGACTGTGCGCTTTGAAAGTGTAGCGCCACACGACTTTGTAGCATCATACCTGAAGAGCGTGGTGAAGGTGATGCAGCAGGCGGCCACCTCCCAACAGCACGACAGGCTGCACCTGCTTAGCCTGCAACCAGTTGGTGGAACACAGCAACTGGACCTGCTTGTTTCCGTGGAAACAGCAGGAGGGGGTTACTATAAGGCCGCTTACCTGACTCAGAAACTTAGCACCTCACGGCGGAAACTGGAGGATGTGCTCAGAGTCTCAGCTATTCTGGATAAGAACTGTTCTGGGTTGGAGTGTCGGGGGGCGCAATGTGAGCAGAGTATCACTCTGGATTCACACAACTTGGCGACATACAGCACTCCTCGAGTCAGTTTTGTCTCGCCTCGCTTCCACAGGACTTCACGCTGCACATGCCACGGTAAGAAATTGGATCTCCTCCTTTTATTGGCAATTACTAATTGAGAAAAGTCAATAAAGTGTTTATTATGTAAAAAATATAGACTTCAGGAGGTAATGGAATTTTACTACAGCTCAATTTTTTAATAATTGGTCCATTGCCGCATTATTTAATACAATAATTACAGTGTGACTGTGTGTTATTAAAAAAATATAAATAAATGATATGAATGTTGTGATTTAAAGTCATCATGAAGATATAAACATAAACATAATGATCACACAATGATGGTGGTGCATACAGAAAACAATTCCCTTGGTCATTCCTAGTTCCTCGTATCATGACTTCTCTGTTATTAAGCTAACTAAACTGTGCGCTTGTTTTGATACCAGTAGATATATAGACAACTTAAAAATCGCAAAATAAATTACAATTTACATTTTTTCAAAAAAAACATGAGCGGAAGACTTGTTGAGCGATTGCAATTACAGGCATTTCAACCTTCAGACCTTACCCACAACAGTTTTTCATTTCTTTTCTTTTCAGCATTACAGGCTGACTGTTCCATTGCTTTGGTCTAAGCTGTTTTTGTATATAGACACATATCTGTTAAATTTAAAGTGGAACTTACAAATAAAATGACTTTCAATTACAATAATTTGACAAATCAGTTTTTCATTCAGCCTTAAGTTGGATATTCTCTGCAAACAGTGAGATAAAACAGCTAAGGATGTCCTAAACTTATTTGCCAAATGACTAATGACATAAAGGCACTCTCCATGGTTCTGAAAATCGGATCACCTTTAGGCTAATTTGTTAATAAAAACTTTAAACAAAGTATCTTTAGTTTGTGTTTCAAGAGAACAAATCCTACATGGAGAACTTCCAACAGCATAGAGCAGGTGAATATTTTAGTTTAATGAAATTACTTTGTGATTTTAAATTTTTTTGATTAACATGTGGGATCATATACTTTATTAAAGTAGTGTGCTTTTGTTGTTGATAAAACAAAGGTTGTTCTGTAGAAACGTTGTTAACATGATGTTACCATAAGGGAATCAAAGCTGAATACAAAACTAAAACCACTATTGTTTGGTGGCTATCAATATGCATATTGATTGATTGATTTGTGATCTTATTTGTTAAATACTGAATCACATTATATTTTTTTCTTCAAAAGACAATCTGTCACATTTTGATATAACCACAGCAAAAAAAAATTGAATAATGTTAATATATAATGAAATAAATTGGAATGCTTCCACTGATGTTGACCTTTTGGAGGCATTTATTTCAATAGGCAGTTGTAGTCATGTTTTATTACAGTTTTAAGTTTAAGTTATTACATAATGCAGCATTACAAGCACTTTGAAAATATAAAGTGACATTTAGAAACCATTGTTTTCATTTATACTCTCCTTTTACCGGTTTGTCCTTCATAAAGATTCATAATTGCAAATAATTTCTAAAACTGCAAGAATATCATTATTTCTGATTGGCCTGCTTTACTCATTTTAATATCTATCTGAAGAATATCCTGATATCTGTCAAGAGAAGCGGTGGTACCACTTCCTCATTTTCTCTCTGTCCATGTGTGTTTGTGCACAGATGCCAGTTGTGCGGTTCTGCTAGAACAGTGCGAGGACCAGCTGTGCCCACCAGACATGCAGTGTGTTTCAGTAGAGCCCACCAGAGGACGCTACGCATGCCAGTGTCCGCGGGGCAAACTGGGGGAATGTGCAGGTGTGATGGGGATGAACCTTTGCATTTGAGCTCAGAAGCAGAGTGGTGTGTTTACAATGACCTTCGGTGTTGTGCTGCATACAGGTCACACGTCACTGAGTTTCTCAGGCAACAGCTACATTAAATACAGACTGTCCAAGCAGCTGCAGATGGAGCTGAAACTGACCCTGAGGATCAGGACGCTGCAGAGCCGAGGAATCATCATGTATATGCACAACGAGCGCTGCGTTATTCTCAAGGTAACTGCCCACACACACTCATAGCAGTTGGTGAAACCAGTGTTTTAACGAAGGCAAACTTTAGAGAAAATGTTCTGTGGATCTTTTCAGAAGTTCCTTGATGTGTCAAAGTTTCATAGCATTTCAGAAACTCCTGTCCCCCAAGGTGGTGGCAGTGTGATGGTCTGCCGCTGCTTTGTTGCATCAGGATCTGAATGACTTTCTGTTATGGAATGAACCAATCCATCCTGTAGGACAGTGTTTCCTAACCGAGGATACGCTTACCCCTAGTGGTCCGCGAGTGCATTGCAAGGGGTACATTAGAATATTTTATTTATCAGGTAATAAAATAGGGCTAGGATGTGTTTTGCTTTCTCAGGACCCGATTAAAAAATTAAACAAGCTTTTATCGACCAAAAGGTACGTTTTTGTTAGATGTTTGAGTTTACCTTCAGCTTTAACAAACATCCAAAACAAGCAGAGGAACAGACAAGATGTGGAGAAGAGTCTGGTATCAGCTGTTTTTCATACTGAGCTGTCGAAGCTCATCAAAGCAGCTCAGGTGTCTTGATGAAAACAAAGTGAAACTAATTAAGTAAGTCTGACTATCATTTTTGTCCAGTATTTAGTTCCATATTCATTGAATTTAAGTGTGATTATAAGGAGTTACTCAGAGGACCTCCAGTTTTATAAATACAGGTTTATAATAGGATCTTATTTTGTATTTATTTCGATTTCTTACGAACTTTCAGGCATCATATGTATGATGTTTTTTTCTTTATTTGAGATGAAAAGCATAAAATTATAGAAATTAAATGCTCAAATTAAAAGATTAGTAAAATAGTCCTCGTCACAGTTATTGTATGTTCCACTTTTGGACAATCATAAATACTTTTGACTGAGGGCGACTCATAGAATTCAACTTTATTGTCATTACACTGTCACAAGTACAAAGCAATGAAATTCACTCTCTGCATTTAACCCCTCCCCTTGGGGAGCAGTGGGGTGCCATTGTGTGGCACCCGGGGAGCAGTGTGGGGGTTAAGGGTCCTGCTCAGGGATCGAGAGTGGTAGTCTCACAGAGTTCTTGTACTCAGAACCTCAGGGATCCAAGCGCAATGCCCTAACCACTAGACCACTACTCCCCAGCATTGGCACAAAGGGTACACAAGTGAAAAAAGGTTGGGAAGCACTGCAGTAGGAGAATTTCCAACCCTCAGTTTTAGACCTTAAGCACAGGCATGCCTGTATTATGCAGCAGGACTGTGATCTGGAGCACGAGTTCATCTGGAAACTTCTCAAAGAACATCTGGAGGCTTCAAAGTAGATTTGCTAACACCTGTGGTTGTTCATGCTGGAAAACCCTGCAGTGGGTCAGAATTTTAAAATAGTCTCCCGAAAGAGTGGCCAAAACTGTGATGGAAAAGAAACATGAGGGCTTTATGACATTAGTTCATCAGGGCAATTTGTTTTTGGGCCAGCTTGCTTTAAATTATTTATTCCTTTGATAATTAAAAGCTCAAAATGTCAATATTTTTTATTTTCTCAGGTTATGTTTTTCTGTGGTCTGTTTCACAAAGCAGGTTTAAAATAATTAAGATTAAAATCCTCAACTCTAAATTGATCTAGCCTAAGGTTTCACAATGGCTTCTATGAATTAGTTCAATCAACTCTAAGTAGGTCCACTTAGAGTTAACTGGTTGATGACAGGGTTAAAAAGCCATCATTAGTGGAGCCCCAAAATCCACAAGTCACCATGACAGCAAGCAACAGGAAGTGCCTCTTTCACCCCGCAGGAACTAGAGATTTTAATGCAGAAATGAAAAAAAAAGAGAATGTGTTCAAAGACAGAGAAACATTGCAACAGCTGCAAAGGAGTGCAAGATGGCGAAGGCGAAGATTGTTGCTGGAGTTAATGCGTACATTTATTTAAAGGGTTCATAGAATAAGTGCTGGTCCTTAAGGTCTCTGAATAGGGTGTGTAACATTGGTTGGGCTGAAAATGGCTTATTTCCTGTTCTATGAGCCCTAATGCAAGCCTGGTTAAAAGCCCTAGAATGAAACGACAGGTTTTCTTACTTTTATGGTATGATCATGAATATTTAGATGAGCTGTGCTCTGATTGGTCGGTTTACAATGAGTGAAGCTGCTTAGCAAAGACGCATCAAAGCATTATGATGACCTGCCTACCGTAGTGGATTTTTTGAAAAGTGGAACAAGACTATTTACATTCAAGATAAGAAAAAAACAATTGCATTGTTTTATTTCAAGTGCATATTTCTAATTATCTTTTTTTAAGCATAAATATACTAATTCCACTGACAATTCGTCTTATTTACCCACTCAAATAAAACGTGAATACATTTAATTTAAGAATTTGTTACTTCTATCTAGATTGTGTTTGTAGTGTTGTTATCCCTGTTGTAACAAACCAGGTCTAATTAGTGGAGGAAGGGGCTGTTCTGGTCTCTGCAGCAGAAAGCCAGCAGAAGTCATTGCGTGTGTCTGTGTTCCTACAGTTGGACGAAGGGAAGCTGTGGTTCCAGCTCTCTTGTGCCCCACTGCTGAATGGAGGTTCTGACGGTCCTGACATGTTGGGTCCTGCTGGACGTTGCATCAATGATGGGAACTGGCACACTGTGGCACTGGAACTGAACCGTAATTTCAGTAGCCTGGCTCTGGATGACAGCTATATCGAGCAGCGGCACCCCCCCTCCCTGATCCAAACATTATCTCCAGATCGAACGTTCTACTTTGGAGCGCTGGTCAGTACCTGCTTCATACAGTCACTGCTGTTATGATTATCTGCTATTCTAGTTTTGCACTCTTCATTATTCATTTTGTTTTATAAACTCAGTATAAGTTGGAGTGAGAGAACAAAAACTTCTGTTAGATTGCCTTAAAAAGTATTAAGCTGCTTCAGTAAGCTGCATTTTTAAGAGGCTCCCATCTTTCTTATTAGTAAGACCGATGAGACTATCAGGTGTAGATATATCTGAATAATAGTAGGTGAATAAATAGATAATCCTACTATAAAACCTCAACTTCTGAAAGAAATACTTTGACCGTAATATGTTGCCTAAATCTAAGCATAGCAGAAGTGTATAGATGGGATTACTGCAACTGCAGCAGGTATGGAAAAAATAATGTGCCTCGTATTCAATATATTAAAAACTATAAAAAATGTATTTGTAAATCTGAAAAGTTAAATAACACTTGCAATAGATGTATCAGATTACTAGAAATATTTTTTATCCAAAGTAAATAAATAATGGATTATTTCATTACTTCATTAAAGTTATCAATGAAAAACATTCATGTTTTTACTTTATGGTCATCATTAATTTCTTTTGTCTTTCTATTTCCAAGTTAAAATCTGTTTTGCTACAGAAATATATATTTACACACACACAATGAATGCCATTCTATTTGGTCCCTGGCCTGTTCAATGTTGTCAGTTGGCCTATCCATGTCATAAGCAGAATCCTGAAACTGAAAGGAAATCAATTAATTCAATTCAATTCAGTTTATTTCTATAGCGGCAATTCACAACATGTCATCTCAAGGCACTTTCCAGTTCACCAGATCATACAGTCACATTGATTCAAAGTTTTCTATCTAAGGAAAACCACTTGATTGCATCAACTCATTGATTCTTCAGCAATCCCTCACACTAAGCATGCTTGTAGCAACAGTGGAGAGGAAAAACTCCCTTTTAACAGGAAGAAACCTCCAGCAGAACCAGGCTCAGTGTGAGCGGCCATCTGCTGAGGCCGACTGGGGTTCAAGGAGACAGAAGCAGAGATAAAGAAGCAGAGATACAAAAGGCAACTTTTCAAACATGACAAACACATGATAATGGGCTCAATTAACAACTTTACTACTTCTTGAACTTAAAGGCATACTATGCAACATTTTTCAGTTAATTAATGTGTTCCATAACGTTTTGGATGATTAAATGAGTCATTTCAGGTTGAACAAAGGTATTCTCGGCCGCCCTGGTGGTCTGTGGGGGAAAAACCGCACTTGCAATTGCAGGAGCACCGACCCGCACCCACAGGCTCAAAAGTCTCGCGAGAGTCGGTCTTGCTTTACGGCGAGAACTGCTACACGCCCCCCAGTTAAAAGCATGCTCATTGCTAGCACAGTTGCGATCTTTATGCAGCGCTGCTTTCACACCAGACACAGCAAAAGCAGCAAAATCGCGTCTGCTGCTTCATTTTTACTGCTTGTACCAGTTCTGACGCGCGGCTGAAGCAGCTTTGCTGCTCTGGCTGCGCGGTGCAAAAGTGTGTCTGACGCGCGTTGGGCGGAGCTTCACTATCCTTTCTCTGCCTTGCAGCTATATTTGCTGTGATCAGTGGGAATAAAGTAGTTTTAATATGTTTTTAAGTGAGAAAATACACCTGAAAACGTAATCAGTGCATTCAGTTCCTCCAGATTACAATCCTGCCTTCCAATATTTTTTCTGTCGGAGCCGCTCAGACCCCCACATAGCAGCGGTGCGCCGACAGTTGGAATCCCTTCATCAGCAGCCTCTGGCTGGGTCGCCTCCTCGCGGTTCACGGCGGCAGCTGGTAGGTGTTTTTCATCTAAATAATCCGATCCGCAGGCAGCCGGATAATAAAAGCGAACATATTCTGCCGGCAGATTTCTGCATTTTAAGTTAATTTAGGCGTCAATAAACTGTTTAAGAGGAGTGATAATAGCGCTCTGATCATCAGCGCTGTGTCTCTCTCCCTGCCATCTCCCAGATCAGCTTCTCTGATTGGTTGAGGCGGCGCGTCGAGCAGCAAAAATAAAATTTTTCCATCTCGAGCAGGAGCGCGTTTGCGGTGCGTCACACGCGTTTTCCAACTCGAGCAGCAGTGCGTTTGCGGCGCGTCACGCGCGTCAGATGCTTAAACGCGCCTGACGCGCTGCTCAGACGTGCTGCGCCTGCTGCTCAAAACGCGCCGCGGGACCTTTTGCTGCGCCTTGACGCGCGTCAACCATTGACTTTGCATGTAAACTCGCTGCTTCTGTCGCGCCAGCTGCGTTCGCCTGTCTGCTAAGCTCAAAACAACCGCGCCTGGCTTGACGGAGAAACCAGGAGAACAGCTGAGCATATTTACGACAGTGCACTTTTACTTTCGCCCTCTGGGGGGAGTCTCGCTGGAAAATCAACACTGGTTGCATAGTGTACCTTTAAGGCAGCCTATTTTTTTCTACTGGATGAATTAATTAATCCAGGTGTGCCTGGCCTCAGTAACCATGGCCAGACACACCTGGATTAATCAGTTCATCCTGTAATGAAAGATAGTAAGATAAAAAAGATAATAAGAAGCTGCCTTAATTTCAGGAAGTAGTGGTGTTGTGCATAGAGCCCATAGAACGCACTTCAAGCGTGTTTTCCATTTGCCTCTGACTTGGATTTATAGTAATATATATATATATATATATATATTATCTTGTGTGGTTTGTTGTATATATATATTTAAAATTGTTTGTATATCTGGAGTGTGGAACATAAGTAATTTCCCTCTGTGATTATTAAAGTATGCCTGATTCCGATTCTGATTCTCCTTGAACCCCAGTCAGCCTCAGCAGATGGCCGCTGACATGAGTCTCCAGCTTCTGCTGTCAGTGACTGGATGCAATCAGACTGAATGATCTCTCTAAACTGCACTTAGATGACATATTGTGAATTGAATTTAAAAACCTCTCTCTAACCTGAAAGCATGTACAAGCAACAAGACATTCAGCTTACTCAGAACTCAGGAAGGCTGATTTAATTGATAAAAACTCTGCAACTGTCTTGAATTGTTACAAATTTTTGCCATTGAGCGTCTTTGGTTTCAACATCCTGCCTTGAGAAGTTCACTCAGCCTCATGCTGAGGCCCCGTCCACACGAAGTCAAACCCTGGCCTAAATGCACACATTTTTCACCAAACCAGCCTCTCATCCATACGAAGCCGGTGTTTCGGGGGTCTGTAAACGATCTTTTTTTTATTCAGCCTTCAGAGTGGGAAGATTTTGAAACGCCGTTTTTGCGTTTCCATCTTTAAGCTCTAACCGCATTTTTTTTTTTTACAGGCATGCGTCATAGCGTCGCCTCTAAACACGCATGCGCGACACAGTATCACAACAACAATGGCGCCGTACTGTGTTGAATGGTTGCTGCTCATGCTACTCACCCTGCTGTCGGGCTTACAACAGAATCTTCTTCTTCTGGAATATCTCCAGGAAGAACAGAGCAATATCGACGACATAGTTCAGCACCTGAATTTGACTGAACCACGAAATATAAATATTAGTGCGCATGCCCAATATTTCGTCGCCTATTTTTGCTTTGGCACCACAGCGCCACTTACAGGCCTGGAATACATTTTGCAGCGTTTTCATGCATTCGTGTGGACGATCACATTTATTTTACGTCTCCGTCTTTACGACAAACTTTCTGGAAAATATTAGCGTTTCGTGTTCGTTTTGACTTCGTGTGGACAGGGCCTTAGACAGTTGGTCATTATGGCCCAGTCGGTGTTACATGTGACCTCATTATTATATGACTGAATAAAAAGTCTTACTTCTTATTGAAATCACAGCAGGAAACACATTCATATTGAGGATGGGGCAGAAGCACTAAGGCTGCAGCTAACGATTATTTATCAATCTGTTGATTTAATTAATCGATAATCAAATAGCCAAAGGTTCCTTAAAAAAGTTTTTTTTTTACTAAATTAAACCAGGTGAAACAAAAACTTTTCAACTTGAGTAGTTCTGGATAAAGTATATTGACAGATGAAAATGTTTTTTATCTTAAATGTAAAATGTTTATATATTTATTTTACAATCTTGGTATAATTGCTGCTCTATGTGGGTGGCTCTGTCAGCTAAAGGCATATTTTACAGTCACTACACTTCAATTAATTATTAATTGATTACTAAATTAGTTGACGATTATTTCAGGCGATTATTCCCAAATAATCAGATTAATTGGTTCAACCCTACATCACACCATGCCTCTCGTTTTCAGTGTAGATAGAGATTTAAATGATTTCTTCTTGTTTTGTTTTTATTCACCTATGAAATCTGAACCCTTAATTTTCAGGTACAGCCGCCACATTCACGTAATCTCGTAGCCTCCCAGAAGGACCCACGGGTGTATGAGGGATTCCAAGGATGCCTTGATTCAGTCATGCTGAATAATAAAGAGTTGCCTCTGCAGAACAAACGGTCGCAGTATGCAGAGGTAGTGGAACTAACAGAGCTGAAGCTTGGATGCATTCTCTACCCGGATGCCTGCCAGCATCAACCCTGTCGCAACGGCGCCACTTGTACCAGTCTGCCCTCTGGTGGTAAGTCACACTAAATACTAAGATAAGAGAGAAAAAGCAGTGCTGATTAGAGGAATTATTCAGCTGACAACCTTTTTATCCACTAACAGTATATGCTTATATCCCAGGCTATTTTACTTCATACATTGATTTTTATTAAGTGAATAAGTAAACGTGAAATAAGACGCCCTTCCCTTCATTCTTTTTTTTTCAACATATTTTAGGGTGAAACTGAATCCACATTTAGTTTTTGTAGACTTTTTACGGCTGTATCATCTTCTTAAAGCTTATACAGTATCAGCCATTCAAAATGGCCCTTCCAAGTCAAAAGCCAGCTGAATGGCAGCCCACTTCCCTGCAGCTGCCAGCAAAATCCCATCCAACTTCCAGTCACTGTCCTTCTCTAGGCGTGCATATTTCTATAATATTTTAGTACAAAGATTGATGTTAATAAAGGAATTGCAGGGGATCAGTCAAGGGCCCATCAAGGAAAGTGGAGAAATTTTGGATGGTTTTTACTGTTGCACATCCCATAATGATTCCCCAGCATTTAGTCCTTGACAGCTTTATTTCAAACTCTAAAGGTCTCATCTTTATTTCATACTAAACAACAAATTTTTTCTAATCAATTGTAAGAGGATTGGCAGAAAGAAAGGTGAAAATGACTAATAATTTTTGGCAGCGATGCATTGGGAAAATAAACCGTAGTTCTGTAAATAGTGTGATACAGTTTTGTACTTTTCACCAACGAAAAGGCCAAAGTATTTTTCTTCTCTCTGTGTGTTAAGTGCTGAAGGAAACAGGGAAAGATGGCCCCTCTCTTCCTAATGCCAAAGACTAAAGACTTCCTGACTAGAGCAGTTGGCATGGAGGGATTGTTAATTCATGGATTGCACTTTTAATCAGAAAGAGAATGTTTCTCTGCTGGCAGGCTGCTGAACTCCATGCTTTTTAACGGAGAAATGTGCTTTATTTTTATCTGTTTTACTTTTAAAAAAAATCAGAGGTAATGTTAGGTAAGAAAGTCTGTTCAAGGACATTTGATGACCTTGATGGATAAACTTAAGAGATATAAATTCTGGTTTAATTTAGTGTCTATACTGAAACACACATTTTCTTTTGTGTTTCTTGTCGTTCCTCGTGTTATAGGGTCTTGCCATATTTTAAATTTTCTTTGTCATTTTAGTTTTGCCGCTGCAGTTTAGTTTAGTTTATGATAATTTGTCAGAGATCATGGATGAAACCATAAATCTCACAATGAGAGGAGATGCCTTGAACCAAACTTAGCTAAAGCTAATTTACATCTGCAGTCCTTGAGAAATTGCTGGTGAAGATTCTCAGTCATCCAGATCATAGTCATTCAAGACAGTCATTCATGTTTCCAAATTTGAAGACATTTCGCTTCCCATTCAGGAAGCTTTTTAAAACCAAAATATCCGGATTAGCGTTGAGTTTGTAGCTCAACAAAGCTTTGTTTTTGTTTAGAAACATGCAAACTGAAACGGACGAACGGGTCCATCCCTTTGGAATGGGGGTTGTTTGGCTTCTTTGTTAACCTGTTATGCCACATACCTGTCTATGTATCTGAAAGGGGGGGGGGGTCGTTAAAGGGAATTGTTGGCCTTGTTGGCGAGGTCTTCTGTTCCCCTGTAAAGGGGTCGGGGTTGTGATCATAGCGAGAAAGGGATCAACTCAATTGCTGCATTGTAGGTTTTTTTTTTTTTTTACAGGGCTTTGTTGAGCTACTGTATAAAGCCTCGAACTCAACGCTAATCCTGACATTTTGAATTGAAAAAACTTCCTGGATGGGAAACGAAACGTCTTCAAACTTGGAAACAAAGTCCAGTGGATTGTTTTTTTTTTACTTTTTTGGAATGTCCTTGAGAAATTGTGAACAAAAAAAGCCTTTAGGAAATTCTCTTTGCTGATGTTTTCATGTTAGAGCATTTCCTTATTCTTGGCTTTCTAGGTAATATCATGTTTGTTTACCTTTGAGTTTTGTCTACACCTATTTTTTGCTAGACTACGTCCTTGGAGCTCTGATTAGTTTTATTCATGCTCATTTTCAGCCTCTGCCATCATGCAGTCAGCTTCTTCCTGTTTATCTATCCCATAATTATCAGTCTCCATGTATCACCGGTGTGTGGCACATTATAGACCAGTCAGTTCCCTTAACTCTCAGATCATACCTTCCTGTTATTCTTCATTCATGCCATCCCATAATTGTCATGATGGGTAATCTGAGCTAGCCCAAAATGCAGAACACACACGGAGGCTGATGAAAAGTTTAACAAAGTTTATTGAAACATAAGCACATGAATATTGCACTGGAACTGGTTCTGGCCAGGGAGCAGGTTCACTGGAGTCTGCAAGGATGATAGTTCAGTTAGCTCAGGAACTGGGAAGTTATGAGTCAGAGAGTTTGCTGATGAATACCTTAAAGGAGTCCGGGTATCTCTTTGAGAGAGGAACTGTTGGGTCCAGAGACTGTTTGGTTCAGCAGAGTACAATAACTGCTTCAGCGTCTTACTTCTGACTTTGAGGGCAGACCTTGGTTTTGGTTTCCAGCTCTTAGCCAAGAGCTGCAGGGAAATCCAGAGAAGAGTCTTCAAGTTTGGCTCACGAGGGCAGGCTCCGCAGGTTAAGCTCATCCAGAGCTTCAAGGAGTACAGGATTCCTGTGAGACAGAGACAAAGAAGAATTAGAATCTTATCTCAACAGAGATAGCAAAGATTCTCAGGTTTTTGCTAGGCTCAGGTGCTAACCAAACTGGATCAACACTGCGGCATTGAGGCAAGGTCTGAAGGCAGGTTATATACTGGAGGATCCTCTAATGACGAGATGCGCCACAGGTGTGTTGGGGGCTCAGCTCAGGAGGATCCACGGCGCACTCTGCTGGAGAAAGGTGGTAAAGCTCCAGATCCCAACAATAATCATGATCTCATTTTTCATCTACCTGCTCTGGTCCCACCAGCATGTCTGCATATATGGTCCAACTCCAAGTATCACATCCCTGACATTAGCAGCACAGTTCAGGCAGCTCTAAATGGAAAATAAAACAGGGAAAATTGAGATATTGCAAATGCATAAAAGGCAGGTAAGGATACACACTGACATTAATGATGCTTTAGCCAACAGTTTAAATAAAACGCTGCTACTTTATTATTTATAAACACTTTAAAACAACCGGAGCTGCTTCATGGTCTCAGGCTCTTCCAAAATCCTAGGAATTAAAATGTGGCTTTAAGATTTTTTAAAGTGAACAGTCTGACAGCTAAAGAGATAAATAGCTCAGTCAAAGGCCAATTAAACAAAGAGACTTTTCATCTTGACCTAAAGCCACTTTAGATTTAATCACTTTTACTGTTTTTTTTTTTTTTCCACATTAGCGGAGAATAAGACCTAAAAGCTTCTTCTCCTTATTTGGTTCTGGTTATGGGTATGCAGAGTAATCCCAGAAAGATCTGGGTGGTTGATCCACTGCCAGCAAGTGATTTGTAAATAATAGATGTATGTACTAATAGATGTATTTTAAAATCTGTCTTATGAGATACAGGGAGCTACTGGGAGGACTTCAGAACTGGACTGATATTCTCTGCTTTCTTAGTTCTAGTGAGGACTCAGGCAGCAGCATTCTGGATCAGCCGCAGCTTTATCCACTTTTTTGGCAGATCTGTGGAGCTGCAGGGATCAATTCTATTAAAGATGAAAGCATGGATTTCTTTTTATTATCCTGCACATATATTAATGCCTAAAACCTGGAGATGTTCTTCAGATGGTAGAATGACGATTCTGAAGATTCAGGTCGAGTCCATCACTGAATCCAGATTTCAGGCCTTATCACTGGCTTCTAACTGAAGTAATTGAAGCTGTGTGCTAATGGCTTGGGTAACAGCATCAGAGTTAATGACTTAAAGAAGCTCAACAACTGGTTCTGTTCTTGAAACTCCTCTAGAACCACTGGAGATTAGAAATAGAAAAATTCTTTATAAAACGGGGAACATATTGACAACCATGAGATTCCTCTTCGGAAGACCGTTAAAGGAAAAGTCAGCAAGGAATAATCAATGGATCATTATACTTAAAACTAATACGTTTGCAGTGATTTAATGAATTTCGCGTTAATCAGTGAAAAAATAAAAATCATTTTCATTGCGATCACTGAGTCTTGAAGTGGCCATTTTGACCCAAATATAGTACCACCTCACTCCTGACATAGCGGTTACATTTAGGCCAAATTAAATCAACGTTACAAAGTTGATTTAATTTAGTTTTGAATACAGTTTTAACAAATCAAGTAAATAGAAATACTTATTTCTAGGTGAACTATTGCCTGAATTGATTATTTAATTGAATTTTTTTTTATTTTTGCATTTCTAATTAATTTTATTAGTCTGTTTATCCACTACAGGTTTAAGTTTTTGGATTCAATTTTTATATTTCTTTTTTTAATCAGGATTTTATTACATGCCACACAATTATGGTTTGTTTCATCTGTAGGTGAGATACCAGGCATCCCCTAACTTTCTTCCTTTTCCCACCTTTTTGTCTTTCAGGCTTTACATGTAGCTGTAATCCTCAGTACACCGGACGAAGCTGTGAGACGGAGATCACAGTGTGTGTTCCCAGCCCCTGTCAGAACGGCGGCGTGTGTAAACCCATCGGGAACGCATTCCTCTGCAGCTGCAGGAGAGGCTTCAGGGGCCTAATGTGAGTTCAATCCAAACAGCTCAACTCATCATGGACCATTACAGCAAACACCAGAAATGGCTCAGCTGCCTACTTCATGCTTTTTCATTCTAAATGTTTGGCAGTTATCAGTTAACATCAGATAATGATCACACTGAGCTGGTGTTCTGCCAGATCAGCAAACCCTGTCAGACCAGCATACCCATCATCAATACCCATCGGCAAGATGTCAGAAAATGCAATTTAAACTACCTCGACAGGCGTGTATCCCTTTAGTCATGTACAAAATAAACTATTTAAGGTCGGATCATCATACGCTTCAAACACCAAACAGTAGGTAATTAGATTGTTTTTTGTTTTTTTTTACATGACTAAAGGGATACACACCCATTGTGGTAGTTTTAAAGTATTTTTGTACAAAACTAAAAGGATAAATGGGTATTGACTATGGGTATGCTGGTCTGACGGGGTATGCCCATCTGACAGAACACCAGGTTAGTTTGGAGATCTTCTTTGCTTTTAAAAAAAGCAATTTATGAAAACTACCCAGGTGATATTAAAGAGTTTGATCTGAAACATCCCCATATAATCAGAAAGAAAAAAAAAAAAAGAAAAAAAAACAGAATAAATCAATAAGGAGTTGGACATTGTGACTTTATGTCGCTAAAATTCACCGTCTAACACCAGACTTCCTTGAATCCTTTAAACTAGGCATACCCTGAGCGATTTTTTCAATAATTGCACGCAGCTACAGCTCACAATCTACGACAAAACCGCAGTGTTTCGTCGTAGATTGCGAGTTCACGGCTGAGGATGTATGTTCTCACACTGTGTGTGGCCCGACGCTCTGATGCGGTCTACCTGCTCACACTGTAAGTCTGAAAACAACATGGGACTCAGCTCCGCAGTGAGATGGCGCTACTCTGACTCATCTATCCGGAAGTAAAACGAGTAGAAGAGGAATATGAAGCTCACTAGGGTGAAATGCGCTGCCTTGGCAATTCGGGCAATTTTATGCTGAAAGCCCTAAAAAATAAAAATAAAAGGCGACGACGTATTTGGACAAAGACATGGCCGAGCAAAATGTGGCTACTACGGTCTGTCAATTTTATAGAAAGAACTCCATTTCACTCATTGCACCCCTACCATGCTTCTGGGTTTTCATCTGAGACGAAGAAGAACAATCCAGGTTTGCCCACTGAGCGATTTTTTTCCCACAGTGGCCAACTGAATTTTAAACATGTTTGATTTTCTCCCAACCTGACGATTCCTGGTGGGGAGATGGTCGTTAGAGGCTGATCGCCCCTCGTACACTACATGATGCACGATCAGGCTGAAAGTCAGATCGAAAAATTCATGCACGACTGGAGAATCGGCCTGAAAAGTGCAACAAATCGTACAGTGAATGCCCGGGGTTAGCTTTCTGACTGAAGTGGACGTTTGCTTTTCAGCAAAAACAGACATCTTTGTTATGACTGGCTGTTGTAGAGCAGCCTCACTATTAGCCGTATTAACGGTTCTGCCACTGTCACTCCAGCTCCCAGGAAGAATGCCATGTTTGACACAAGCTTTCACATTCCAATGCCTTGAAGCTGACTTGTTAGCTGTTTGCATGCATCAATGCAATCATGTGCAATAATCAACCTAAAAATTGTGTAAAAAGGGAGCACAGGTGTTAGCCAATGATGCCACTTCAAAGAGTAATAAGCAGAACTTGAAAAACTGACAGCTCTTATGCTACGTTCACTCCGGATGCAGCAAAAGCAGCGAAATCGCGTCTGCTGCTTCATTTTTGCTGCGTGTACCAGTCAGTTCTAACGCGCGAATGAAGCAGCTTTGCTGCTCTGGCTGCGCGGTCCAAAAGTGTGTCTGACACACATTGGGCGGAGCTATTCTATCCTTTCTCTGCCTTGCAGCTATATTTGCTGTGATCAGTGGGAATAAAGTAGTTTTAATATGTTTTTAAGTGGGAAAGTCCACCTGAAAACTTAATCAATGCAGTCAGTTCATCCAGATTACCAACCTGCGTTCTAATATTAGTTCTGTCAGAGCTGCTCAGACCCCCACATACCAGCGATGCGCTGTCAGTAGGAATCCCATTCCACAGCAGCCTCTGGCCCGGTCGCCTCCTCGCGGTGCGGCGGCTGGTAGGAGTTTTTCATCTAAATAATCTAAACTGCAGGCACCAGGATAATAAAAGCGAACATATTCTGCCGGCAGATTTCTGCATTTTAAGTTAATTTATGCATCAATGAACTGTTTCAGAGGAGTGATCACAGCGCTCCATATCATCAGTGATGTGTCTGTCTCGCTGCCAGCTCCCAGATCAGCTTCTCTGATTGGTTGATGCGGTGCGTCAAGCAGCAAAAGTTCAATTTTTCCATCTCGAGCAGCAGTGCGTTTGCGGCGCGTCACGCGGGTCAGATGCTTAAACGCGCCTGACGCGCTGCTTCAGCTGCTCAGACGTGCTGCGCCTGCTGCTCAAAATGTGCTGCGGGACCTTTTGCTGTGCCTTGATGCGCGTCAACCATTGACTTTGCATGTAAATTCGCTGCTTCTGCCGCGCATGCTGTGTCCGGTGTGAACGCAGCCTTATACTTGTTAGGATTCAGACTGAGGACCCAGATACAACAGGAAATAACTTAAAAAGATTTATTGAAGAAACTGCAGGTAATTCGGGATCAGGGGAACCAGAGCCTCTGGAGGGGAGAGAACGGGTTAGTGGCTGAGATGGATGATTTAAAAGTTTGTAATGCTAAGCCACTAACCTTAAATATCAAGGCGGGGAGTCTTGGTTTCTGAAAACTTTGGTTCCTTTACAGTTATTTCTCACTGAGGCTTGGCAGGTAATCGTGGTCAAAGGAGGTCCAGGGTCAGAGCCAGGTGGTCAGATCATGGGCGTAGGTTTGCATAGGGACCATAGGGACATGTCCCTACCAAAATTTTGAACCAACCTAATTGTCCCGACCAATAATTGGATGTGAGCAACATGTTTATAATTTACAGCAGTAGTTGTTGCAGCAGTGGCTTCTTTTCCTCTCGCAGCTCCTCTGCCTGGTCTCTCCTGTCCCTTTCATGTAGCAGCGCATGGAACTGTGCTGCGCTGTTTAACTCAACTCTCATTGGTTGTTCTGCCTTAAGTTCCGCCTTCTCTCTGTCTGATTGGCTGTTTTCTAGTCCGCGTGTGCTTGGAGCACAACATTGAAAATTTATTTACACTAGAATGCAGCGGTTACTACAATTAATATTAGGCTACAAAACTAGTCCCAATAAAAATATCATGAATATCATGTACACTAAAAAACAAAAACCTTTTTTTTTCCTTTTATAAAACGAAATATTCTGAGTGTGCCAGGAGTTCTGAAGACTGCTGGAAAAATTGATAAATAAAGGCTGTAAGCCATCAACATTTCTGATTCTTAGCCACAGCCAACTAAAAAAGAAAACATGAGGGTTTCCTTTTTACCAATATTTAGTTGATATTACTGTTTTCATTTTTTTTGTTTTTATTTTTACAATTTTGATATAATAACTGATCTAAGTGGGTTGCTCTGTGGGGAAAGGCACATTTTAGTGCCTCTATAGTGTCTCTATACTCCAGTTAATGATGAATCACTTACTAAATTAGTTGATGATTATTGAAATAATCAATTAATATGATTCATTTTTTTCAGCCCCAGATAAAATACATGAAATGGGCTACACAGAGTAACTACAGCCCAGATGTTCAACTTTTATAGTGAAGTTAATATTTTAATGAATGTATTATTTTGCTTGATACAGAGAGAGAATAGTAGGTACAAATATTAGAGTGGGGTTTAACTCTGCACAATTCTATATCTTCAAAAGAAAATACTGTATTTACTTTCTCTCTTAGTGGCTCAAATGAAACAGTTTTCAAAGTGGAAAACAGTCCTAATTCCACATTCATCAGAGCCGGTGATACTTCAAACATTGATAAACAGCATCTCTGTAGAGCTTATAACATTTTTAATAATGGAGCAAAATGTTGCTTTTCTCTTTTAACAATGAATTCCTCTTATCAGTACGGATGCTCACATCGAGCATAAAAAAGGGCATATTGCATAGCACCAATGACACCCGACCAATAGTGTCGCTACCAAAGTTCAAATCAAACCTACGCCCTTGGGTCAGATATTCAGAGAATCCAAAACAGAATCCAGGGACAAAGTCAGGGCACAGAAACAGGTCAGGGATCCGGGCAGCACAAAAAAGATCCAACAGGGGCTAAGCAGGCTCAAAAATCAGGAGGCAGAAACAGGTCAGGATCAGCAGACAGGGGAAAATATTGGATGCTTACTAACCAAGGCTTTTAGGCAATCTGTCACCATCAACTAGTCAGAGGCCTGCTTAAGAAGGCTGGCAAACAGGTGAGAGGAATCAGTGATAATTAGGCTGAGCAGCAGCAGCACAGGGGGGTCAAATAAACAGGCAGAGCAGAAGGAGGAGGGGAATAAAATGACAAACAGTAGTTGACGGGCCAGAAACATAACAATACTGCTTTGAGTTGGTAAGAACCAATTTACCTAAGAAAAATGAACAAACCACAGGAGAAAGTTGAGGAAAATGAAAAGGCAAATCCAGTTAAACTAAGGTTGTATATGATCCTGGATTTTTTGCTGATATTTTCAACTCAACCGGCTAAAAAATAATACTGATATTTTTCCCCTTTACCCATTCATAGACGCTATGTAGTTTTCTCCCCTCTGTCCTTTCTAAGTTCAGCATTTCTGTCTTTCCTTTGAGCATTGAGGGTTAGTATGCTAACAAGGCTAACATCTGAATGTCTCTGGTAGGTTTGTGGATGTTGTTGAGGACCTAAATGCAGAGATGAGGAGCCAGAGATTATTTCTTGCAGTTTTAATTTAGATCTAGATGGTAACAGAAGCACAAAGCCAGAAATAATAAGCAGGTAAGCAAATCTAGGAGATGCCAGGCAGAAACATGCATGAGGAGTGAAGAGGATCCTGCAACATGGAACAGCAGAGGAGGAGTACAGGTGCTGGTCATAAAATTAGAATATCATGAAAAAGTAGATTGATTTCAGTAATTCCATTTAAAAAGTGAAACTTGTATATTATATTCATACATTACATACAAACTCATATATTTCAGATGTTTATTTTGTTTAATTTTGATGATTACAAATGACAACAAATGAAAATCTCAAATTCATCATATCAGAAAATTAGAATATTACTGAAGACCAATAAAAACAAAGGATTTATAGAAATGTTGGCCAACTGAAAAGTATGAACATGAAAAGTATGAGCATGTACAGCACTCAGTATTTAGTTGGGCCTCCTTTGGCCTGTATTACTGCAGCAATGCGGCGTGGCATGGAGTCGATCAGTCTGTGGCACTGCTCAGGTGTTATGATAGCCCAGGTTGCTCTAATAGTGGCTTTTAGCTCTTCTGAATTGTTGGGTCTGGTGTATTGCATCTTCTTCTTCACAATACCCCATAGATTTTCTATGGGGTTAAGGTCAGGAGAGTTTGCTGGCCAATTAAGAACAGGGATACCATGGTCCTTCAACCAGGTACTGGTAGCTTTGGCACTGTGTGCAGGTGCCAAGTCCTGTTGGAAAATGAAATCTGCATCTCCAAAAAGTTGGTCAGCTGCAGGAAGCATGAAGTGCTCTAAAACTTCCTGGTATGTGGCTGCGTTGACCCTGGACCTCAGAAAACACAATGGACCAACACCAGCAGATGACATGGCACCCCAAACCATCACTGACTGTGGAAACTTTACACTGGACTTCAAGCAACGTGGATGAAGTGCCTCTCTTCTTTTCCTCCAGACTCTGGGACCTTGATTTCCAAAGGAAATGCAAAATTTACTTTCATCAGAGAACATGACTTTGGACCACTCACCAGCAGTCCAGTCCTGTTTCTCTTTAGCCCAGGCAAGACGCTTCTGACGCTGTCTGTGGTTCAAGAGTGGCTTGACACAAGGAATGCGACAGCAGAAACCCATGTCTTTCATACGTCTGTGTGTGGTGGTTCTTGAAGCACTCACTCCAGCTGCAGTCCACTCTTTGTGAATCTCCCCCACATTTTTGAATGGGTTTTGTTTCACAATCCTCTCCAGGGTGCGGTTATCTCTCTTGCTTGTACACTTTTTTCGACCACATCTTTTCCTTCCCTTCGCCTCTCTATTAATGTGCTTGGACACTGAGCTCTGTGAACAGCCAGCCTCTTTAGCGATGACCTTTTGTGTCTTGCCCTCCTTGTGCAAGGTGTCGATGGTCGTCTTTTGGACAACTGTCAAGTCAGCAGTCTTCCCCATGATTGTGTAGCCTATAGAACTAGACTGAAAGACCATTTAAAGGCTTTTGCAGGTGGTTTGAGTTAATTAGCTGATTAGAGTGTGGCACCAGGGGCCATCAATTTTGAACCTTTTCACAATATTCTAATTTTCTGATATGATGAATTTGAGATTTTCATTTGTTGTCATTTGTAATCATCAAAATTAAACAAAATAAACATCTGAAATATATGAGTTTGTATGTAATGTATGAATATAATATACAAGTTTCACTTTTTAAATGGAATTACTGAAATCAATCTACTTTTTCATGATATTCTAATTTTATGACCAGCACCTGTATATATGGGAGAGGACAATACACTGTAAATGGAGTGATTAGCTAATAGGGAGCATGTGTGGACTGAAGCAGCTAAGGGGAAAGGAGTAAACAGGCTTATCTAAATCTAGAAACAAACTTAAAAGAAGCAAAAGACCAATGACTAGAAAACAAAGGATAGGGCTTTGGAGAGAAAAAAAACATCGAACAGGAATAGTGACTTGGTTTTGGTTCTGTTTGTTCAGTTTTCTTTTTGAGTTTTCATTGGCTTCATTTTATGTTATTCTCTCTGTTGCTGTTTACCCTCTGTTGCCCCCTAGTTTCAGTCTCCTTCCACTAGCTCCCTTCTAGATGTCTCCATCCACACTTGCTCCTTGTCAGCTTATTAGCAGAGTCTTTGTTCAGTCTCCCATATTAATTCCTGCTGTGCAGTTTCTTTGTACTGGTTCCTCTTCGCTTCTTAGCTCCTCATGTGTGTTTTGCCTGACGTTTTTTTTTTTTTTTTGGTTTTGGACTTTACCTTCTGTTGCCTTTGGATCTACATTAAATGAACAAAAACTAATTTCTGCCTCCTTCTGTCTATGCATTTGGGCCCTCTTTAAACCTCTACCCAACCTGACCAATAGTAAAACTAATAAGTAACTCAACACATAAAATAATTCTTAACAGTGAAAACAGAATAACAAATCCAAGCGTAACTGAAAAACCAAAGTTAAAGCTAAACAGAATGTCTGCAATGAACCACTCAATGGCATCACGGTGCACCTGACCCACAACCACTGCAGGCATAATCCTCATTTGTTTGTCTTAAAAACAGTTTCTCTTTTATCTGTGAAATGATCAATGTTCAATACAATATTGGCCATTTTAAAGCTAATATTGGCCGATAACATTCCAACAATATTGTGCACAATTAAAACAGATCATAATGTTTTTAAGATTCCAGTGTCACTTGATGAGGAAGATAGTGGTTTTGATCTTTAAAATGAGGAACTGGTATCAACCAGTCAGGCATCAGCTGATGATGCAGAAACAGTGGGTCCTCATGTGATTCAATTCATCCTGGAAAGGGGATCTCCTACTGGCACACTCAGCAGCAGGCCAAAAATAGGGCCACAAATAAAAGCCGGCCGTGTCTCAGTGTGACAAAGCATGGGAGCTGAACATCACAGGAGAGGAGGGAGTTAGCCCAGGTAGTAAGGAGTGCATAAGGGATTATTGGATGATGCCAGATCAGAAACATTGCCTAGGATCCATACTAAATGTGTGTATACACCGTAATAATCAATATAAATAATTATAAAACCATGGGCATGGTCACAAGAACACAATTTTCCCTAGAAATCACTGCTGTACCTCAGTATTAACATACGTGGTTCCATCTCATGTTCTGTCCTATATTTGCCCACAACCCCTCTTAAATATTCAATGCAACTGGCCTTGTTTTATTTTACTGGTTACTATGGCAGCCATTGAGAATAAGGTTAAGTGCTGGACCCAGGTCAGCAGATAAATCCAAGAACGATGCTTTAGGAAATCTAATACAGCTTGTAAACCAGTCATCATCATGGGCCATGGGTCATTTCCTCCTAATTCTCCATTCTACGTTTTTTCCTACAGAGCCAGTTCTGCCAGTTACCTTACAAGCTGTCAGGTTGGGTGGGGGTTTGAGAAGACCCAAATGCAGAGACTGAAGCTGAAGGTGGTTACCTGCAGATTTAATAAGAAAAAAAGGGTAACAGAAGCAAACATCCAAAAACATAAATCCACAAAAACTGAGAACCAGGAATACTTACAACAAGGGGCAAAGAAATTACGACAAACCAGCAAACAGTGACTCAGCAGGAGGTGCATATATAGGAGAGAGAAACAAAGACCAGGCTAATCAGCAGATTGGGAGCAGGTGTGAACAGAGGAGGCTAGAAGGGAGCTAGGAGAAAGGAGACTGACACAAGAGGGCAACAGATGGCAAACAAGAAATACATAAGGACTCAAATACAATCAAAAATAACTAGAATAACACAAAATGGAAATAGAAGCAATATAAACTCAAAGATAAAACCTAAACAAAACCAAAACCATGACAACACCTGGCTCACACCTTGTCACAATTTGAACGATAAACTTGACTTATCCTGGGTTTTAGCTCACAGGCAGCCATAATAATTCCAGGGATTTTTTACACACATTTATTTTGGAGTTGCTAAATGGAATAACTACCTGTCTCTTCTCATTTCATTGGTCTTGCAGGTGTGAGGAAGACGTGAACGAATGTGACCGAAACAACCCTGAGGGTGAATGTGAGAATGGAGGCACATGTATCAACACTCCCGGCTCCTTCTACTGCAACTGCACACCTGGCTTTGTGGGGCAGCGCTGCACTTTACGACCTGTTGTTGTCCCGGACATGCAGGCTGGTCATGCTGTGGTTGGCAAGGAGGAGTTGATTGGCATTACTGGAGTGCTTTTTATCATCATCATCCTTATTGTTCTCTTCATTGCTTTCCGCAAGAAAGTTTTTAATAAAAACTACTCAAGAAACAATCTATCCATGGTCCAGGATCCAGCCACTGCAGCACTTCTTAATAAGGCCAGCTGTGTTCCATTAAAGACTCTACACTGCACTCCTGGAGAACACCAAAACCTGTACTCAGAGTCAGGGCTGCAGACCACCTTGATGGGAGGGGTTGGTGTCATTGGACCCCCTCAGGTCCCTGTAAGACCTATGGCATACACACCTTGCTTTCAAGGAGAACCACTCTCTAAACTAGAAAAGCTGTCGGAAAAACAAGGCGGGGAGCATACAGAGATGAGCACCTTTCACCCAGAATCACCAAGAATCCTTTCTGGAATCATCAGAAGAGGCATTGTGGTGTGCAGTGTGGCCCCCAACCTGCCACCAGTCTCACCCTGTCGCTCAGACTGTGACTCCGTACACAAGAGTCCTTTGGCCAGCGATGAGGGTAAGTTTGCCACTAGCTGGCTGAGGAGGTAACAGCTGAGCAGGGAGCTCCCTGTGTGAAGCAGACTGTTAGTGGGTCTGTATGGTTAGAGGAAGTGTTGTGTTGCATATAGATCATAGTTCAAATATAAGTTTCTTACCAAATATGTCAGACTAATGTTTTTATTCTAAAAGGACCGAAGAATCTCCTTAGCATTACCCACCACCCTTTAAAACAGCTCTGACTCCGTTTGAACACATTATAGTTATACCTCAATTCAGCTTCTTTTTGAAATTTAAAAAAACAAAAGCATAAGTCAGCATTAAGCCAGCCAGTCCACCTTAATTTTAACCTCTAATTTGCTATAAATATTTATGTAAATATTTCTCTCTATCAGTCTGAGGCATTCAGTTACATGTTGGGGTTCAGTTATTTTCTTTTTAGCTTGTAGAACAACCGAGCTTTCCGAGGTCCCAAAATATGACCAAGCTCTATTAAAAAAAAGATGTTTGAGTTAGAAACCTGCAGATCGTTTTGTAGAACTGTTTAGAAGCTGTTAAACTAGGGTCAGATGTTCTGAGCATAATTTGTACTCCCTATTGTCAGGTAGCATTAGGGCCGATCCTCATGAACGCGGACACTCCTGCTGAAACTCAAACAGAACATCAGCCTCATAGTCTGGAGTGGCACTAGCTGCAATTTATGCAAATACCACAGAGATTTTTATTCTAATGAATTTAAGGTTTCTACAAGTATATTAGCGCTATTTCATTTCTCCTTCAGTAACAAGGCAAATAGTTGAATTGAACTTAGATGACATCAGAAAGAGCTTCAGAATAAGAGAGTAGAACTAGTTGTCAACTCTTCATAATTATGTCTTTAAAATTTTAAACTTTAAAGTCATCATATTGTCTTTACCCACAATACGCACTTCAGTTACCACGATATTCAATCACACAAGGGATAAAGTAGCAGCAATCTACCAATAAATAGTATGTCACATGTTGATGTCTTTCTGCAGATAAAGTGGTCAACGTGACAGAGGAGGACACATGTTTCTCAGGTAGCAATAAAGGCTGTAACTCAGAGGCCCAGTCTCTGAGTTCCTTTCAGTCCGACTCCTGTGAAGATAACGGTAAGAAACATTCTCTCATTGCAAAAACTTGGGTTCTTCATATGTTGCTTTTTTCAGAGCTTAATTTGCTTGTCCTTCATTTGGTTAAAGCAGATCAGTCCTGATTTGAAAATCGACTCATCAGCACCAGCATTTGCATCAACCTTCATTGAAATTAGCTTACAGTTTAAGTTTTTATTCAGAAGTCAAGGTCATAAAAATGTAAACACAGGATCTCATCTTTATTTGAGTGCTTCAATGTATTGTTTTCTAAGACATCCTAGTTTTTTTTTTTTTTTTTTAATAGGAAAATCTGAATAAATAGGAGCAAAGAGTTTCAACTTGGTTTATTCATTGTTGTTCTGGATTAAACAGACAATATAATCAGTTTCGGTTTTCTAGGGGGAACGTTTGTCTATTTTTTCAAGTGTGGCTCACCCTGATTTAAAAGCATTACCAAAATGGCCGGTGCCAAGACACCATGAGTGGACGGACTAAGCATAGGGGTTCGACAAGCTGTAGTCAGGAAGTGGCAGCTAGCTTATCTTAACCCAGCCTTATTAAAGCATGGATCGGAAAAGAAAATAACTTAGGAACTGTAAGCCCAAATTACATCTGCAATACATCATTTGAAAGCTAACACCCTGTAGTTTCCTGATATATAAATTAGGTGACTAGAACACAGACCAACCTGCATCTGTTCAAACATAACTCAAAGTTGTTTTTTTATTTACTCCTCGGAAATGATAGGTCTTTTTTGAACAGCAGTAATAAAGACATTCTTGAGAAAAGGCAGGTTTTATTGTATTATATTTGTTCTACATCATGTCAACCACAAATGCAGAAAATTTCAGACCTCTAGATATAACAGTTCCAGAGCTGTGGGTTTTGGTGTCAGCTTGGAGCTGCGCGCAATGTCTCCACCTGCCACAGAGGTGCGAGTCTGAGTGAGTCAGAAAATGTAACTGCTATCGTTGCCCTAAGAGGGCAGCACTGAGACAGTTTTAGACACATGTTGCAGAACTAAAATGTCACTCATGAGAATGTGAAAATGCAGAGTAATAGGACCATGGCATCCAATAGATAGCATCACATGTCATCATACATCCGGGAAATCACAGCTGATGACCGCGGGACGCCATTACAGGAGGGGTAAACAGCAGCATGGTAAACACTGACTTCATATAGACAGGCCTGCTGTCAAATTCATCCTGCCAAAGTCTTGTGTTGCATTTGGATGCAATAATCATGCCTGGGAGGCTGATAAACCGTCTTTCTATCGTTTTCAAACAGAGAAAGGACCAAAAAGATCAGCTTGGGTACAAGCCTTAGTGAGGACCTAAGAAAATGGGAAAAACCTGAAGTCCAAGGTTGAAATGGACCTACGTGTATAGTAGGCATTGACATTGTATTATTATATCTAAAAATTATGAAATAAAAAAGTATCATGAATTGACCACTGGGTAAAGACGGACATGCACTGTGCGAGTTTTAAGCCTTTTCGAGACGATTCTCCAGTCGTGCTGAGTTTCAGCCTCATCATGCGTCCTGCATTGTTTAGTATACAGGGGGTAACGAGGGGCCATTAGCCTCTAACGAACACCTCTAGATCAGGAATCATAAGGTCAGGAGAAAATCAAAGGTGTTTGAAACTCAGTTGGCCCTTGTGAGGTGTGTCATGATGGGTCTCTAGTGTTTAAACCCACATGCAGAACACCACAGGAAACAGGGTAAAAGTTTAACAGTTTATTGAGTGAGAAGCACACAGAATAATAATGAGCAGGTTCTAGTACTGGTCCGGGACTGGAATCACTGAGAATCTGCAGAGATGGATGGTTTGGTTAGCCAGGCAGCGGTGATGACTTTTCAGGTGTTTGATTCTGGTTTGTACCTTGATGGAGTTCCGACAGATTGTTGGAGAGGGGGAACCGGTTGGATCCAGAGACTGTGGGTTCAGCAGAGAGCTGAGCAGCAGCAGCGTCTAGCTTCTGGCTAGTGAGGTTCAGACCTTGAGTCGATTTCCTAGCTCTCCCTTGAGAGCTGGTTGGGGAATCCAGACTGATAGTCTTCAGGTTTGGCTTCCTAGGGCAGGCAGGCAGGTTTCCAAGCTGAGCTCCTCCAGAGCTACAGACTTCAGTCGGGCTTTCCTGTGAGCAGAGAAGACAGTGGCAGATTAGAATCTAGTTACTCTCTTGAGCAGACAGAGATTCTCAAAGTGAACTGAGGCTCAGGTTCCACTAACCAAAACTGGTCAACACTCTGGCGTCGAAGACAGGTCTGGCTGCTGCTTATGTAGGAGGTCTCCTGATGGGCTGATGATCCTCAGGTGTGCTGGAGGCTCCAGCCCAGGAGACCCACAGCGCTCTCTGCTGGAGACAGGTGGCAGATCTCCAGATCCCAACAAGGTGTTTATGGGCAAATCCTGCTGTTGTGGGAGAGTTACAAGCCGTTTTACCAAAACATAGCACACTGCGCATCTGCAAACAAGGGAGTTCTTCTTCTTCTTCTTCCAGATTGATGAGTCTGAAAAGCACCATCTCTCAGCACTGAGTCCAACGTGTTGTTTTTGAACATACACTTTGAGCAGTTAGATCACATCAAAACATTGGGTTGTACAGTGTAAGAACATGCTTCGTGAGCTGTGAACTTTTAAACCCTACGGTTTCATCGTAATGAAGGAAGCAGCTGTGTTCTTAAGAGGTTTGTTGCTTTTAATAAAGCCGTTTTAATTCAGCCCTAGAAGGACAATTTCGCGGTCCTACTTCCATCACAGACACCGGCCTGCTGCTGCCTACTTTTCCCAGGTCTGCTTCTCTGAGCGTCCGCTGTCGTCCCATCTCCCACAGTTAGCCTAGGCTAGACTCGGTAAGCTATTGCCTTTCCCCATCTTTGCACTGTTTCTCCAGTGGATTAGAGCAATTTTTTCGTCATATCTGCCTTTATCTTTTTGAAAGAAGGTTTTCCCGGTATTTATAAATCATTATGACTCAAACCAATTGCATTCTAAATGTCTACCACTTTGGCTGCCAAGCACATGTTTACCCCTCCTAAGATGGTGGCGATCCTCGTTAGGCTTTCACTCTGATGCGTGACATCATCATCTAAAGACCTAGTTTATACAGTTTAAATGCAAAAAAAACCCTGTTTTTTGGGGCTATTTAGACATAAAGTACCACATCGGGTGGTTCTACAGTGTTTGGAGGTGGTGGTGTTCATAAAACTTCATGAAGGTGGGATATCCAGACCTGCTTTGGGTCCGTGTTGCTGTGCTTCTGTTGGTCCCACAGAGGTGACTTATCCAAACAGTTTAATAAATGTTTCTTTGACCCAAAAAAACAAATGTTTTAAATGAAAAACACCAAGATTTTAAACATCAGTCAAACTGATCCTTCGTCAGCCACTGCAATATGCTAATATTCTCTGGCTAGATTTGCTTGATATGTTTCCAGTTTTAAAGGGTTTGGCATGGTAAAATAAATCTGCTATTCAGTGTCTTTGCCTTCAGGCATCTTCATGGGGTACTATTTGAAGGTACATAGTCATGTTATTTTCCAAATGTATATGCCTGTAACAGACTCTGGTTGCATTCGTTTTCATTCTCCCGCTGGCCTAGTGTTTGTTATAAGTTGTTTATAACAGAGGAAAGTGTCTGTCCTGAAATCCCATCATCGACCATCAGCCAGGGTGGTTGTTTCCACATGGTCTTCGTCTTCCACCTCTCTGCCCCTCCCACGTTGCAGCCAGGAGCCACTTGTTTACAGGCGTTATGAACGGGGCTGAGCCTAAACCTCTGGGTCTCTCCTGGTCCTGAAATTATTTCATTCTACAAACATCTATCAAAGTCCTATTTAGAAAAAATGTCTTTGAAAGAGACATTATTCCAAATAAATACAAAAAATATAAAATCCTTGAGTTTTATGGGACATTACTTTCTTTCACTATGATGGTTTGCTCTCATGCCTGTTAAATAACCCACAACAATCTGTTTATTTTTCTTTGTAGTTCAGTCTTTTGGATAAATTATAAAGCAAAAAAAATATCCCATAATTCATCTTTTTATTTTAACTTAGTATGACATTGATTTTATCCTTTATTTTAAATTTTAGTTCTTATTCTAGACCAGGAGCCTCAAATGAGCGAGCTCTAATCAAACCAAAATAATTGAATAACATCCAGTAAAAGGGAAGACATGGAGGACTTTTTGGCTCCACATCTCCCACCTCTGCATTCATGTGTATTTTCTGTAAAATAAGATGGAAGAAGTCATCAGATCAGGCTGTTCATGGTGTGTTTCTTTCAGTAACAGTGATGAGTAGGAAAATCAGGCCTCATTACCACCATGCTGAGCTCTGTTTCTCTATGAATGTGTATTTTTTAAAAATGTCTGCTCCTTGTTTCTCTCTTCAAGCCTCCATTGTGACTGTCATTCGACTTGTCAACGATGCAGTTGACACAATCGAAAGTGAAGGTACCATGTCTTATCTTTCTTGTGTCTCTTCACTGGCTGTTCCAGTCCTTGGATTATTTCTCACTAATTCTACAAATGATCCCTGTTAGCAGTTCGGCAACCAGAATCTGACGCCTCTTTTATTGGAACTCCGCTGTCAAACTTCAGCCACTAAGAGCCAGTGTCTGCAACTTTGTGATTTGTCCCTTTAATCTGCGGGATGAAACACTTCTTCAACAATAAATAACTGAATGATCTAAATCAGGATGTTTTTAAGCAGTGAAGCAGCTAAAGGTTGCAGTATACTGGCCCTGGGGGACTGCAGTTTGAGTCCCTCCCTTTAGGGAGTATATACAATAATTCTTTACTGCAGGATCTGCTTCCTGGTATTTAAATGGAGTATTGTTATTGCAGCAGCATAATGTCACACTGGAAAAGAGCAGAAAAATTTACCTAAATGTATTCAATAGAGGAAATAGTAAATGTTAATTCATTGTTGCTTTTTATAAAAAATTACCAATAGCATAGTTAGTAAAACCAGTTAACGATAATAAAAAAAATATAAGCTTATTCAATGTGCAGATGATGTTTAAAACTTATTATTTTTACAATTTAAAAGTTTGCATTCACCTTTTGCTTTTCACATGTCAGCATTGGGGGATTTTAGGAGCAGCAGCCCTGCTCTGACCTTATCAACCCGTTCTAAGGGCGTACCTGTCCCTATTTTCTTTCAAAGCAGGGAGCTCTGATAAAAGAGTCCAACAGGCAGTATCAAAAACATCACTCCCAAACAACGTCTGTTGTAGTGGCTCCCTACCAAAGGATGACACTTAATTTCAATAGTTGATATTTTCAGACCCTAACCCTTAATTTACATTGAAAAAGAATGATTTAGTGAAAAATCACTCGTCTTTGAATGAATTTAAAACATCAACATTTAACTCACTCACCAGGCCCAAAATCAACCTTTCATCAACCTTCCTACTCCTCCACCTACTCTTTCCCAAACAGAAACCCAGGAAAGCTAGAAGCTGAACTAAAGAGCAGAGCCCATTCTATTCAATTCAACCAGATCATACAGTCAGATTGGTTCAAAGTTATCTAAGGAAAACCAGTTGATTGCATCGACTCAGTGACTCGAAAGCAATCCCTCACACCAAGTATACTGGTGTTGACAGTGGAGCAGAAAAACTCCCTATAACAGGAAGAAACCTCCAGCAGAACCAGGCTCAGTGTGAGCGGCCCTCTGCTGAGGCCGACTGGGGTTCAAGGAGACAGAAGCAGACATAGAGAAAGAAGCGTAGATACAAAAGGCAACTGTCAACCAGCTCCACAGGCGGCCCCGTCCAGGAAACACACAGCCAGGCAGACGAGCTCCGAGCCAGCTCCAATGTCAGAGGATGAAGAGAGCACATCCAGTTAGTCACAGTCAGAGAAACAGGACCACACTGGAAAACAGGCCGATCTCCAACATCTAGAAACAAAGGTGTTGATGGCAGCAGCACAACTGATATTTCTCTCTATGATGCACAGATAAACCAATCATAGTTAGAGGAGTGCTAATGATCTTAATTTTAATAGATTCAATCTTATTTTTAAAGAATCTCAGAAAATTCTATGGGAGATTTCCTCTTTGAAAACTTTCCATTAAAGCCATTTATTTGATTTTTTTTTTTTTTTAAGTTTCTGAGTTTCTGAGATTCTGCTACTCCAATTAAAAAGTTTAATTTCCTATATAGGATGTTAATCAGCTGAGCTAATAAACTTGATTGTCTTAATGTTCTCAATAAATATAATTATTTGTAAAAGCAATGATTCAGGATTCTGAGAATCGATATGTGTTTATTTCATGTGGTCATGGTGGAAAGCTAAAGGCTGCTGTGTTTTCTTGTTCTCCCATGTGACAGTGTCAGTTATGGACCATTGTGAAACCTACAACAGAGGTGACTTGTTGATTCTGTCTGTCTGTTGTCCTGTTGTCCATGTCTGCTAGTGAACAGCAGTGCGTAGACAAAATAATCATTCCCAAGTAAAAACGGTTTGCGTTCTCCATTGAGGCTATGAGGTCCTACAGTCATTATTAGCGTAGTAGTTTAAATGAGCGGATTGGGCCTTTTGGAATAAAGCACCCCAGGCTTAGGAGATGTTAAATTATAAGTCTTGTACTGATTATTTGAATTTAATGAGCCATTCATCACCTCTGATGCCTGTAGTGCCTGTTCAGATTTACTCAAACTTTCTTCTTCTGCTCTGTTCAGAAATGAGATCAAAAGAATAACTTAGGAAATAAAATGCCCATAAATACAGTAGAGCTTTTGTGGTTATTTTAAGTCAAATAGTAATTTCATTTGGTCCGTCTCGCTGCCCCAGGCAGGGGGTCTGCTGCCCTTCCTCAGTCAGAGCTTTGGATCGCTCCATGGTGTTGCTCTGCTTGTTGTGTGCTTTGATAAATGCTCCAACCTTTAAACTGTACATGTTTCATACATGGACACCTTTTATTGGCTTATAAACATGCAAATTGAACCTGACTGGTCAGGTTCAATTTGCATGTTTTCTAAACCAAATCAAGGCTTTGTTTTCGGTCCACTCTATAAACCTTCAAACTCAATGCTATTTCTGACATGTTCAATTGAAAAACCTTCCTGGATGGGAAGCGAAACGTCTTCAAACTTGGAAACAAAGTCCAGTGGATTGTTTTCTAACATTTTGGGAATGATCATCCAGAATCCATCTCAGGAGCTACTGGCCAGTAAAGCACTCTTGGCTGATTTCATTCAGTTCAAGTTCTGAAGAAAGAAAAAAACAAACAGATTTTTTTTGTATAATATGTATTTTCGGAATAATGCAAACATAGCAGACCCTGTGTTTTAAAAAAGTTTGTTTCAAGCAGCACATGGTTCTGTTTGAAAGTGCAGGGGTTTGTCTACCTGCCTGTGAAGCAAAACTCTGGGGTTTGGTTCCCTGATGGAGCATGCAGGATTTTTTACAGAAGTTCCAAAACAAAAGTAGTTTCTGTTACATTATGTTTGGGTTTTTTTTGTTTCTTTATCAGGTATGTTTAGATGATAAAGTGCGTATGTGAATGGGTGAATAACTGAATGCAGTTTGGTCAAGTCTTCCGAGTTGAAAAATCGCTATATAAGTACGAGCCATTTACCATTAGGGTTGGTTACATGTTATTTCTGCAATCGTTTCAGCAGCAGAAAAAATTATTTTATTGCTCTGTGACTAGATGTAAACCTGCTGTAAAGTAACAACATTCAGAGTATTTCTATATAATGAATGTTTTCTGGTTGTCATGATGGGTTCACTGAAGGCGACCCAGTTATGCAGAACACCACTGACGGACACAAGGATGAAGAGTTCAACAGTTTATTAAAGCACAAACACACAGAATGTACAGATTCTGGTTCGGGGCCTGGATACTGGTTCACCGGAGTCTGCGTGAGAGACAGCACAGTTAGCGGTTTGCTGGCAGGGTTTTACTTCCAGAAGTTCACTGATTGTACCTTGAGGGTTCTTGAGGTTAACTTTGGGAGAGTCACTGTTGGTTCTGGAGAAGGGTTCATCAGCAGAGTCCGTTAGCTGCTTCAGCGTCTCACGTCTTGTTAGAACAGACCTTGGCTTGGAAGTCCCAGCTCAGTCCTGAGCTGCTTGAGGTTTCTCAGAGGGATCTTCAGGGTTTGGCTCAGAGGGTCGGCTCGGCAGGTTAGCTCTTCCAGAGCTTTCTCAGAGGAGGCACAGGTTTTCCTGGAAGACAGAGATAATAGTTAGAATCCAGACTGGATTCAAAGTCATGGAGATTCTCAGAGGATCTAGGCTTAAGCGCTGACCAACTGGAACAACACTGCGGCGTTGAGGCAAGGTCTGAAGACAGCTTAAGTAGTGGATCCTCTGATGATCTTGACGAGCTGCAGCTGTGCAGGGAGCTCCCTCAGAGGATCCACGGCGGACTCTGCTGTAGAAAGATGGGATTTCTCCAGCTCCCAACAGTACCCCCCCCCCCTCAACGACCGCCCCTTGGCGGTCCGGAAGAGGTAGATGGGCGGGAACGCTCGTACTCCTCGATGAGTGCAGGATCGAGGATGTACAAGCCTGGGACCCACTGGCGATCCTCCGGTCCGTAGCCCTCCCAGTCGACGAGGTACTGCCATCCGCGACCTCGTCGACGGGAGTCCACGATGCGGCGCACTGTGAAGGCCGGATGGCCATCGACCTCCAGGGCGGGTGGTGGGGAGTCGGACGGTGGGCACAAAGGGCTCGAAGAAACAGGCTTGATCTTGGACACGTGGAATGTAGGGTGGATTCGGAGGGACTGAGGTAGTTGGAGACGAACAGCTGAGGGGTTGATGACTCGAGTGATCCTATAGGGTCCGATGAATCTTGGGGAGAGTTTTCGAGACATCCCCTTGAGGGGGATGTCTCGAGTGGAGAGCCATACCTCCTGGCCCTCAGAGTACTCGGGGGCGGGACGTCTCCTGGCGTCAGCGAAGCGTTTAACAGACACTGATGACTGGTTGAGTGTGGCGATGGTCTCCCTCCAAATCCTCTGGCAACGGCGGATGTGTTGATTGACGGACAGCACCGATATCTCTCTCTCATCTGCGGGAAAAAGAGGTGGTTGATACCCGAGACTGACCTGGAATGGGGATTGTCCAGTGGATGCAGATCTGAGGGAGTTATGGGCATATTCAATCCATGGAAGAAATTGGCTCCAATCCACGGGGTTGTTCGATGTGAGACAGCGAAGGGTGGATTCCAACTGTTGGTTCATGCGCTCGGTCTGACCATTCGATTGGGGGTGGTAACCTGAGGTGAGAGAGGGTTTGCAGCCGAGCGCAGAGCAGAATGCCTTCCATACCTGGGAGATGAATTGAGGACCTCTGTCCGAGAGGATCTCTTGGGGGATGCCGTGAAGCCGGAAAACGTGTTTATTGAGGAGCTGAGCTGTCTGGAAGGCCGTGGGAAGCTTTCTGAGGGGAACAAGGTGGCAGGACTTCGAGAAGCGGTCAACAATGGTGAGTATAGTGGACATACCTCGAGAGACAGGGAGACCGGTGACAAAATCAATGGCGATATGGGACCAGGGACGCGAGGGAACAGGAAGTGGTTGAAGCAGGCCAGAAGGAGGTTGGTGTGAGGCTTTGTTACGGGCACATGTGGGGCAAGCCAACACATACTCCTTTACGTCCTTGTGGAGAGAGGGCCACCAGAAGCGTCTGGAGATGAGAGCTACTGTTCTACTGACTCCAGGATGAGCAGAGAATTTGGCGGCATGCATCCACTGGATAAGACGGGACCTGACAGAAGATGGAACATATGTACGGTTAGATGGACCGTTACCTGGATCGGGTTCAGAGGCCAGGGCTGAGTTGATGAGGTCAGTTATCTCCCAGTTGACCACTCCCACTGTACATGAAGCTGGAAGGACAGGTTCAGGTGTCTCGGGATGATCGACGGAGTAGAGACGAGAGAGAGAATCGGGCTTCACGTTCTTGGATCCGGGTCTGTAGGAGATAATTAGGTTGAACCGAGAAAAGAAGATTGACCACCTGGATTGGCGAGGATTAGCCTGTTTGGTGGACTGGATGTAAGCCAGGTTCTTGTGGTCTGTCCATACAAGAACCGGGTGCTCAGCTCCCTCCAGCCAGTGCCTCCATTCTTCCAACGCCAGTTTGATAGCCAGGAGCTCTCGGTCACCCACATCATAATTTTGTTCAGCGGAAGAAAGTCTACGGGAGAAGAAAGCACATGGGTGTATCTTTTGGTCTGAATCGAGCCTCTGGGACAGGACAGCTCCAACACCAGAATCTGAAGCGTCCACCTCTAGGATAAACTGTTTAGCAGGGTCAGGTTGCATGAGGACAGGAGCTCTGGAAAACAAGGATTTTAGTTTCTCAAATGCTGCTTGAGCCTCGGGAGTCCACTGAAAAGTGCGTTTAACTGAAGTCAGGGAGGTTAATGGAAGGGCGGTCTGGCTGTAGTTTCTAATAAACCGACGATAGAAGTTAGCGAACCCTAGAAACCTCTGTAATTGTTTGCGGTTTTCTGGAACTGGCCAGTCTAAGACTGCTTTGATCTTGTCCTCTGAAGGTTTTACCTGGCCGCCCTCGAGCACAAACCCCAAAAAGGTGACTGAAGATTGATGAAATTCGCACTTCTCGGCTTTCACGAACAGCTTATTCTCCAGTAGTCTCTGTAAGACAAGACGGACATGTTTCTTGTGTTCATCGAGGTCCTTGGAGTAAATGAGAATGTCATCAATGTACACGAAAACAAACACGTTGAGAAAGTCTCTGAGAACATCATTTACTAGGGCCTGGAAGCAGGCTGGGGCGTTAGTTAGACCAAAGGGCATTACAAGGTATTCGAATTGGCCCAAGGGTGTTTTGAAGGCAGTTTTCCATTCATCGCCCTCACGGATCCTAAGGAGATGATAAGCGTTTCTTAAATCCAACTTAGAAAACACTGTTGCTCCCTGTACAGGTTCAAAAGCAGAGGCGAGAAGAGGCAGTGGGTATTTGTTTTTAATTGTAATCTGGTTCAAACCTCGATAGTCAATACAAGGTCTCAAGGAACCATCCTTCTTACCCACGAAGAAGAACCCGGCGCCCAATGGAGAGGATGATGGGCGAATTATTCCAGCAGCTAATGATTCATTGATGTATTTTTCCATCGTTTCTCTTTCGGGCTTGGAAATGTTATACAATCTGCTGCTAGGAAGAGGAGCACCAGGTAAAAGTTCAATGGCGCAATCGTATGGTCTGTGTGGAGGTAGGGACGTCGCACTGACCTTACTGAAGACAGGGGCTAAGTCATGATACTCAGGGGGAACTGAAGAAAGGTCAGGAGAGTCCATCTCCCCCCCACCTCTTGGAGACCCCACCACGGGGGCAGCAGAACGTAGGCATGTTTCGTGGCATGAAGTGGACCATGATTCCAG